ACCAGCTGTGTTATTTAATATTTATATGACTGCCTTTTACTTTACTTCTCATTGGAATCTACCTCCCCGTTTACTTTATCTCATGAACCGTGATAGGTAGACAGTTTATATTTTCACAGATGATGTATTTTTGTTGCCGTTATAACACCAAATACTAAAAGACGGATTTTTTTACACAAGATTCTCTAGTCCCTAACTAAGCAATGCTTGTACTATGGGTACTAGAAAACTGATAGACATACTTAAACATACTTTTCTTTTGTAAATAAATACACATTATACATATATAAACACACAGACACTAGAAAAACACTATGCTCAACACACAATATTTTTCCAGTAGTGTGGATCGAAACCACACCCTCTGGCGCAGAAGGCAGGTACACTACCGACTACGCCATTCGGGTAATAATATTCAAATGGAACTCACAACAGACATGACTCTTTTTGCAGTTTTTATAAATAATGGCACGGACCCCTTCGTGGGCGAGTCCTGATTCGCACTAGGCCGGTTTTTTATTTATCAAACTTGATGCCCTTCTAGAGAAACAGTGACACGTCTTCAGATTTTACACCGACCGAAATTACGAATTGTATGGAATTATATTCGGGCTAATTCTGTTTACATCACCCGAAAACCTTTGGTAATTATCGTTTTGGTGAGTCAAATTTGATTAGTGTTGCTCGAGTTAATTTGAAGCTCATTGAGCTCAGTATTGTGGTCGAAAATTATGCATGTGGTGTCTACTCGTATAAGATCTACTTATGTATCAGAACATATATTATTTAAAAATTGTAATATAATTTTTAAATGGTCCAAATGTAACATACATGTCAAATCAATGTGACAATTAATGTATTATGTATTGATGTAATAATTGAACTCATAAGATTTCATTGTTGGTTGATTTTATTTTGACTATTCCCTGTAATGCCAATAAAAAATTTATATGGGCCAAATATGTATGAACTCACTTTTTCTCCCTCAACTTTGTGTCAATTGGTTATACTATTTACAAAGGGGTTCTATATGCTTATTGTAAGTGGCTGTAGAAAAATTTTATACGTTTTCGTCAAGTAATCACCCATTCCAAAGTACGCAAATGTCCTAAATTTATTCTTATATTTTACTGTGGTAGAGCCACGCAGCAGCCTCGGCTGTTGCACGAATGGGCAGGCTCGTCCGGGTTAGTACCACGACCCCACAGAAGACCGGCGTAGAGTGAAAGATGACAAATACTTTCGCGTTTCGTCTGGTGAGTGAGGTAGCTGGAGCCCAATTTTCAAAAGGTTGTCAACGCATCTGCAACCCTCAGGGGTCCATGGGCGGCGGTATTCATTTAACATCAGGTGAACCTGACCGGCCTGCTCGCTTGTCAACTTTTCAAATAAAAAAAATATTCTACAAGACTGGGATCAGGCGTGATCGAGCTAAACCAAGAAATTAATATATATTTGTCAATGCATAATGTTGTAATTCGTGAATAACCTCCGCTTATCCTTTTATATAAAGTAAAACTACTAGAAGAGACGTCATAACAAATACCAACCAGTCTTATACAATTTCTGAGTCATAAGCATAATTTAACACCGATTTATAATTGATAAATCAAACCACACATGGTTTAGACAGATCTCATCCAGAATAGGCGGTTTCCATCCAGGCATGAAAGCTACCGCCATTATTTCAATGGAATCTATGCCGGTGGGGCGTGGAACTATTACTACCATAATCTTTATTGCTTTATTTCATTGACCTTTTATATATAGATACGAATTACCTTACTATTGGAACTATAATACATAGAACTAAAGACTTCATCGTTCATTACGGTACAATACTGATATTACTGATATTACTTGTTATTCATTGTGTTGTGCCATGCAGCTGGTTTTTCTATAGCTAATATTCTTAGATGAAAGAATACATTATTTCATAAAGAATAATTATTAATATATTATTTTTCGACTATTTAACTGTTTGGATTGAGTTTGATTTATGTAAGAAATATAAACCGTTTAATCGGTGTTACGGGTAATTTAATTTGTCAATTTTACAGTATCCCAAAACCGAGAAGCCGTGATAGCTCAGTGATCGGGCGCTCGTTTTTAATTCATTATACTCGAGCAACCTACGTTCACATTCCAGTGCTAACACCAATGAAATCATAAAAATTTGTGGAAAAAGTACGGAAAGATTGTTGCCGCTGTGACAATCGAACCCACGTCTTCGGCATTCGCGGCATGACGCTTTAACCTCTAAGCGGCTGATTGCCACACCAACGAAAATCTTAACGTCTTTTATCTACATTGTTTTTGCCAATGAAATCGTTAATTTTAAGTGCTGCTTAGCCTTGTGATCAGCGGTGAAGGAAAACACTTGCATATTTTCGAAAAAAAAATAACAAAACAACCAATGTTTCGAAAATATCTGAAGTCTGTCAATCCGCAGTGAGGTCGCGTGGTGGACTTATGCCATTGCAGACTAGATGGCATTTGTTGTTAGGTTTTTTTTTATTTGCAAAGAAACATGACGCTTGGATTGGAGGTATCTCATGAGCGTTATTGCAATGATCACAAGCCCAAAACTGAAAACATGACAGCATCGCTAGAAAAAAATTTACGCAGAACGCTCGTAAATACGAAAATAACTAGTTTTTGTGAACATTCTGGTCTTCATGGCTGGTTGGTTCGATGCGACTCAATTCTCTGCGTACATTTTGATCCGTACAAGTTATGTGTGTTCATTTATTTATTCGTTGTCATTGATTTGTTCATTGGACAAATTCCAACAGTAATCTGTACACACCATTGCTTTATAATTATTGATGACGTAACCGTATAGAAAGTGTTACTAACGAAAAGTTATACTAACACTGCACAGCAGTAACAACAGTAAAAGTAATTTACGGACTCTATCGTTTTGAATTTAGATTTTTTAACTTCGCGATAGTCTTTGGCCACAGGACAGACTTTGTTGTTTTATGCATAACTTAACCCGACCTAACGTCAACTTTTTGATTTTCATTTCATCATTTCCTTTCATAATGTCGTAAGTAATATAGTAATAGTGCTTGGATTAAATTTTTTTATCTGTTATTTATATCGTTATTGATTCACTAATGCCAGTGGTCGCCTAATGGTCGAAATTCGACCATAATAAATTATACAAGGTATATTGTGTAATATTTTTTTAATTGATTTAATTCATTTTTTATTTATAATTAAAAAAAATATCATTCTGCACTCCTCTATATAAACTATAAGTGTGGGAAATTTCATACTGCTAGGTCCGCGCAATTTACGTAAAAAGGGGTACCTACAAAGTATTTGCTTCACGTATGAATATATAGATTTAAACAATATTTCATGTTTTATTAATATTTAAACAATATTTTATATTATAATAATAAAATTAAAATAAATTCAAAAGTGACGGAATCTTTGAAGATTAAAGTATTTCTTACAATCCTAATTGTACTAGATTTGGCAGAGAGTAGAGCTAGAGTCAGTATATACAGGGTGGCTTTTCTAAGTGTATCCATTTTTTGATTAAATTCTAGACATAAATAATGTTGTATAAAAAATTATAAATATTTAAAATCACTCTTAAGTAATTGATTACATTCATTTGAACTTATCTCAAAAAGTGCGTGATTTATGGGCAACTCATTTATTTTACGCGCGATCATTCATAACTAACACGCACACAAGTTCGTGCACATTAAAATTTAGGTATTTATGAATGACTACCGCATTGTCACGTTCTGTTTTTTAGGGAATAGAATAGAATATTTTTTTGAAAAAAAAAAAAACTTTGTTTTTTATTTCAATAAACGATTATACTACCGAGTCTGAACCTCCTGTGTAAATTTGGGCACTTCTCAAAAAATCTCCCTGTATAATGCAATAATAGATAATAGCATTGAAGGCGGATCATTTAGAATGTACGGAAACAAATTACATTTAACGAATGTGTTATCAAATAATTTTGTTTACTTTGTAAGTCGTTACTTTTTTCATACAAACACCTTACTGTGTACACTATATGTCATATTTTCACTCTTTTATTGGCTCGAAGGCGCAAGAAACCCCACAGGTCTGTGATAAGTAACAAGTAACGTTTATCGCAACGGAGTGCACGTTTATCACGACTGTTTTTGGAGCAAACAGAGATAAATACGTATCTTAACAAATTGTGATTATCTACATTTCTGTAGCTACAGTGTTGTTTACAGGGGTCACAGACGGTTGAGGGTCTTCTAACATGGATTGCTAAATCAAACACTTATTTATGAAATCAGATCATTTTGATTTAAAATGTTGCTTCTTTTTAATGCCTTCAATGTCTTCTTTAGAATGTGTTTATTAAATTTTAATTATTGGATTCACAGATTAAGTTCGGTCACCTCATTCTTAACAATTTTATTTCGTAACGTAACATACTTTCTTAGCACACTTTCTTTACAAACATTATATTTGTGATATTTTTATCTGCACATTTTAAGTTTACTCTTACTAGCACTATAATCGAAAATACAACAGCCAGCTAAATTTATGTATTCTCATTGCATTTTTCCATGTGAGAAGGTGGCAAGGGAGCTGGCGGTTCACCTGATGTTAAGTGATAACCGGCGCCCATTGATATTTGCAACATCCGTAGGGTTGCAGATGTGCTGATGATAATAAAATGGGCCCCGGCTACCTCACTCACCAGACGAAACGCAGAAGTATAACACTTCCACTTCCCGCCGGTCTTCTGCGAGGTCACGGTACTTCCCCAGGCGGACCTGCTCATTCGTGCAATAGCGAACACTGGTGCCTGGCCGACCACTTAAAATTGCATATTACTCTCATTTATTTTGTTTCAATTGGACACATTGTGGTCTATCGAATAGAGAAATTTTAAGAAGAAAGGAACGTCTGTTTCTTCACTCTGGAAAGACATATTCCGGCAGTGAGGACACTAATCTAAGTATTTATTCTCATTCTCATTCCAGAAAAATACGATCTCGTCGGCAGACTTCTCAAGCCCGGAGAAGAAGCCACGAGCTACTCGGACGAAGAACTCGAAGAGACCGACAACTCGACCGCCAGCCCCGAAGAGAAGAAAGAGAAATAGAGACATCCAATGTCAACTCTTCTCTCCCAACGGCTCTTATTGCCCAAATTGATCTAATATGTCCGTATTTATATAACAATATTCATCGTTTTTGATACTTAAAGAAACTGCTTTGCTAAGCGAATACTGTTCACAATGAACCTGATTATCCGGAGGTCTTTTTTGAGAGCTGGCTTTATATTAAAATTTGTATGTATTCCGTCTATAGTCAGAGGTCATTTGTAGCAAACGGTTATATGAGTTTCGCCATAGTGGACTAATATATAGAGAATATTAAATCATTTATCAGAGTAGAAACAAGTCTCTCTGATGAAGTTTGATATAAAATCACAATAAAAAGTCAGAATTATCTGGTGATTTCTGCTACTGATTATGATAATATTCTTCTATTATTTGAATGCAATTTCGTCATCGTCAAATAAATTAAGTGAAAAGCGTTAATTTTTAACTAAATCTAGCTGAAAACCTGTTCTGTTTCTGATGAAATTTAGAAATTATTTTTCAATATAATTAACGAACGCTATTCGCGTTATTGAAATTATTCCTAACAATAGACAATAAAGGCACCCATAGATGAATCATTCAGATTTTTTTGGGATTTTTACTTTTACTTTCCAGCCACGGGACTTAAATAACTGATCGAATGTAAACCCTTAAGAGTGAGTTACGGATGACATTTTATTGTATATTTCGATTGATCTATTGTGCAACGCACTTAACTGTTGGTTATTGCAGACTTATAGATATGTATTATATATATATTTATGTGATGTTTTATAAATTGAAAGACTGAACGATGGTATGTAAGCTGCACACAATTCTAAGGGATGGAAGAAAATTAAACACATTCTTAACATTCCTGACCAAATTTTGCAATATACAAGTACATTTTCCTCCGTAACACCAGAATCGTGAACATCTACAGTGTTACGAAACTGGTAAGAAATTGGAAACGTAATTTAAACATAAAAAATTCACCCTCAACTGCTTATTTTGTGTGTATTTGTCGACTATTTACACTATTTGAGTAAAATTGAAATGTTTAACTTGGAATATATAATAACTCAACATACTTGTCTGTACTTAATTTTTACACTAATCTGGCTTAAGTTTAATGTTGCAAACGGAAAAAAGAACAAAAAAAAGAAATGCATAATAAAAACTTAATCTTTTTTACTAAAAATGTTAGTAATTGTTCTGTGTATAATTAAAATATATCCGTTATTTTTCAAATCATCGTGTGAAGTATTTTAGTATCACACTGGCTTTGACGTTGAGTAAATACAACCAATTTTTTCCAATTCTCTATACGGTCTTTCGTCCATAAGGATGCTGTGTAAAATTTCCAATCAGACTCCAATCTGCAAAGACATCAAAATTACACGTAGATCTTATGTTCTTATGATTGATAAATTATTTATTATTCAGGTTCTTAAGAAGAATAACTAGATAAATTGCCAGTTATCATTAAAAAGAACGATGAGTTTATCCTGAAAAATTATAGTTGCCTGTTTTTATGAGAAATAAATTGAATAAAATAAATTTGGTATCGCCAAACGCCAATACTTTTAAGAAATGTAATGTAACGAGATATCACAAGCATTTATGCAACTAACGTAGAATATTAAATATGGACGTAGTACTGTAATTGAAAACGTCACGCGACGCTATTTATTTCCGTTGTAATCATATTATTTTTCATTAATAAATTAATGAAAAATAAAATTGTTATATTGTTAAGGTGCGTGTTTGGTTATTCAAGGATTTTGCGCTCTTATATTAAAATGCGCTGGTATGTTCGATACCCTGTTCCTAACAGTCGCATCAAAAGGACTAATATTATAAGAATAAATATGATCTTTGTCGTCAAAATTTTCCGGAAGCATAGTATTAGAATGAAAAAGTCTTTTGTATCGGAGTGTTATGTGTATCCCTTTGTTAGAAGTAAGCTTTGAATTCTTCGGCCTTTTTCTAATGTTTGGCCACGCCTAAAATGTTCAGTCATGTCGGATGGTTCTGCACTTGGTCGGTGGTTCTTACTCGTTTGAACCATATAAAAGTGTCTAATACTTATTAAACGTACTAATTAAGTTGTATCTGCTACGTTAAAGATTGTACGCTTAATAGAAATCACTACTTTGCTTGAATCGCGCGTTCGCTGTTCTGATTTAGCTTTTCCAATGGTTGCGGTTTTGAAAATTTTGCTACTCTTTTCACTTTCTCTGTTAGATCCACTCGACCGGCTGTAGCGTTGGAAGTGGGTACTTCAAATTCAAAGTAACAAAAACCGGTGAAGTAAAATGTATTATTTTTGTAATAATCTGTATAAGGTACGTTAACATTTGGGACTAGTTAAGGTAGCTTATGGAACAAAAATTTTGTCAATTTACTTGCTCGGTGTAAATGTTATTTTTAACATATTTATTGTGTTTGTGAAATAATTTTTTAACGCACACAAACAGCGAATGTATACTCTCGAACAGTGTCCATATTATGAGTCGTTAAAATTTGTTCCTAACATTTATACGGGCGTCCTTTTATTCCAAGGCGGGACATTACAATTATACAAGAATTTATTTTAGAAAAGTTATGCACTATATTAGTTTGTGCACTCACAGCACAGCACATGAAAATACTTTTCTATATTGAATTGTTATATGGGATAGTTCTGCTAATTGATGTCTCATCTATTACTTCATCTACCTACTAAAATTTTCTTTACTTGTTAATTATAGCAACACTAAATTTATACGATCGTGAATGGGATTATAAAATAATTGTGGATTCCATACAGTCGAAAATGGGAGCGGATCTTAACTAAACTGTACCTAAAATATTTATTTTAACATTGTCACATGAATTTAATTATAGTGTTTTACAAATGTATCGTTTCATTTACCTTTCTCCTCACTAATTAGGACATTGTCAATCTGAATAAAAAAAGTGTGTGTGTACATATGTACACGCGTTAGAAGTTATACTTCATTGGCGTAACAAGACAAAAAACCTTTCAAAAATGTACGCCTTATTCTACGTTTGTAGAAAAAAAGGACACTAGCAATAGAAAAACTCGGAACAAGTCGAGCTTTTAAATATGTAGTTGGATAGTCGCATTAACTATGACTGACAAGACAAACAGGACCCATAATTATTGTTACTGCTCTTCATTTTTTTTTTTTTTTTTTTGAGAATAGACAATCTTTATTGATCTAATATTTACAAGATTAAATCTATCTAAAATTACATATTATCTAATAAACCTAATCCACGCGGCATGGTGCCAAGAACGCTAGCTGCATTTCCTCGCTGAATAGTTATGCTTAACCTTTGCGCGAGAAAAGAACCAGCTCTCTTGTTACCAGCCGCGGCGTTAAGCCTAGGACATAAACTTTTAAAAAAATTTTGATGTGCGGGGACCCCACGGACCTAATGTTTCAACAGCAAATGGCACAAATACATAATCTGAACATAAAGACTCATATTTGCGCCATTTACTTACTTCAGCTGCCTCCGATGCCGCCCCGGCCCTGACCGAAGTACCCCTTAGATGAGAGGCAGCCAAAGTGTCTACACAAGTGGCGTCCCAAACAAGGGCTTTGCCTCTCTCCCAAGGGATCAATGTTAAACCGTCGGGTCTCTTACCATCGCGTAAAATGCCACAGGGCTCTAAAATAGATGGAACATTGATGGAAACAAGAGCCCTACGGATGATGTCGTTCAGGGAACCGTGGCGAGAAAAACGGCCAGCACTTTTTTGACAAGAAAGCCCGTGGAGACCAAATTTGTCTACACTGACACCACACAAGGGCATTGGTGTGGTTTACAAATCGGTGCCCCCAGACAGATTCCTACAGCAATGCGTAAGCTTTCATCGTCAAGTAATGTGCCCAAGTTACTTGATGGTAAAGCGTGAAGCCAATAACTCGATTCTTTAGATGAGACTCCTAGGAAACGAGCACGTTCTAAATTACTTTCTAAAGATTGAAACGTATCTCTCTGTACTCTCCGCACCAAAGGAACATCCCACTGTTTTTGTAGGTTTACTTCCAGTGGGATATTTTCGTTGGGACAGATAGACAGCCAAGACATCCTTGCCTCCTCTGCATAGGAAAGTTCTGAATCGTGATTAAGGATGTTATTACATAAATTATTTACGCTATGCACGGAAGCAAGGAAGGCAGGTAGAGCGACACTAGAAATTTTTCCTTACACCGATACCACCAAAACGAATTGGCAGCGTAGCTTGAGTCCAGCTTAATTCATTAAGAGATAAATTTAGAATTTTTTCTAGAGCTAATTTAAGATGGAAATCAATTTCGTTCAAAAAGTCACCGCATTTCCAAACTGGACTCGAGCGAAGGAGGTACGTAAATTTAGGTACAAGAATACAATGTCGCAAAATAGTAAGCGCAATATGCGAATTTAGTAAAAATAATTTATTGACATGATCTAAAAATTGACTTAACTTTAATTTTAAATGAGGTTCCAAACTTGGTATCAACAAAGGAGCACCTAAGAGGTAAAGTGAATCTGAACGGACTACGTTAATTCCCGGTATGATAGAGCTAAAATTTTGGGTCAAAATGATTTTGTCGGAAAAAGAAATCTTTTCGGAAAAGAAAAGTTCGCATTTGGAATTATTTAAATCGAGACCGATATTTTTAAATTGTCTAATAATTTCAATAAGATCACTTTGTACATCGTCAACTTTACCTCCCAGAGTACCATCGTCTAGGTACCAGACATTAAGTTTAGATTTCAATTTTGAAATAATTGGATTAATTCCCAAACTAAATAATGCTGGTCCTAGCGGATCTCCCTGCTGAACGCCGACAGCAGAATCAATAATATGGTTTTCATAAAATAAATTACTCTTTTCACTGTAACATTGCCAAACATAGTGATATATTTCTGGTGTATGGTTAGCCACTTCGTTCAGCAGAGTCGTTCTATCAATGGAGTTAAAAGCATTTCTTAGGTCAACCTTCAGAAGTACATCCAAATCAACTAGTATTTAAAGAAGTTCGAACGGAATGTACAGCCGCTTCACAGCCGCCTTTGCTTCCAAAGCCTAGTTGAATAGGCTGGAATTTTCTTTTAAGGACGGAGATTATGTGCCTACATGCTAATTTTGAAGTTAAGCGTCGAAAGGTAGAACCAATAGCAATAGGACGGATACCATTATCTTTTTTTTTAAAGGCACATAATCTTGCCCCGTATAAGAAAGGAACAAATTTAGGATTTACTTTTCCGGAAAGCATTAAGTTGCATAATTTGGTAATATCATTAAGAAGCGCTCTGCCAGCATCACCGGCGGAAACGCTTACAAGATCTTTCAGATGTTGTGGCGTTTATACGGTCAATGCCGCCAGCAGAGCCACTTGAAAATGACATAATTGCCTCGAAAGTGTCTTTATCGGTAATTTGCAAAGTCTGATATGAAGAATCGGGAGGCAGCGGTAGGAGCGGCGGAAGATTGATCGATGGATACTTTTGTCGGAGGTTTTCTAGAGTCTCATCATTATACGGAGCAAGGATGTCGTCTGAAAATAAAATGCGCGATGCATTTTTTAAATCACCATCCATAACTTTAGTCTCTACAGTTCTCTTTAAATCGAATTTACGGGATCGCGTAGCAGCGTTTGCTGGTGTACGAATGGGCATACTCAATCGGGGAAGTACCACGACCTCGCAGAAGACCGACGTGAATTGGAAGTGTTCTACCACGTGTTATACTACTATATCACTTATAATCGTCTGCCGAGTCGAGGTAGTCGGGCTCCATTTTAGTAAAACGCTACGAATTTAATAAATTGCAAATGTCAATGAGCGGCAATTACCACTGCCCTCATCTCTGGGCGGGAGCCCCCTATTATACGCTTCCTTCATTTGACCGCATTCGACGTAGGGCGGCTAGGGTTATCGACGATCAAAATCTTTCCGATCAGCTTGATCCTTTGTCTCTGACCTTAAATCCGTCGGTTCTGGCTAGCCCACCGGTTCTGCGTTCGATGAAGCTTTAATAGTCAAGGGACTGAAAGCGTTAACATTAGTTAAAAAAAGTATGCACTGTGTCCGCTCAATTACAGAACATATCTACGAGGGCGGGATGATAAGTAACTAGCCTAATAAGAAAACACAACTTTCCGTGATATTGATTTTATTTTTCGACATACTCTCCGTGAACCTCTACACACTTATTCCATCTTCGTTCTAAAGCAGTAAAAGTAAAATACTCCTCAACAGCGGCTATGACTTCATCATTTGTGGCAAATTTCTATCCGCTCAAAAAAGTTTTGAGCTTAGGGAATAAGTGGAAGTCTAATGGCGCTAGATCAGGCAAATAAGGTGGGTGGGGCAGCAAATCATACTTCAATTCGTTGATTTTTGCCATAGCTTTAACAAATGTGTGAACCCTAGCGTTGTCTTGGTGGAAGATGATTTTTTTTTTCGCCAAACTTGCTCGTTTTTGCTGAATACATTGATGAAGCTTATCAAGAAGATTAGCGTAGTATTCACCATTAATTGTTTGACCTTTAGCAAGGTAATCTATCATCAAGATCCCATCTGCATCCCAAAAGACGGAAGCCATCACTTTTACAGCCATGGCTTTTTTTGGAGCCGGACATCCTGATTGAGTCCACTGTTTTGATTGAATTTTTGATTCTGGCGTGTAATGATGAATCCATGTTTCATCTTTTGTTACAAATCGACGTAAAAATCGGCCTTATTACTCTGAAAACAGCCCAGACATCCTTTTGAGTTTTGCACCCGAATCCTTTTTTGATCGCGCGTAAGCAATCGCGGCACCCAACGGGCTGATAACCGTTTTGAGCACATTCACTCAAAACATTCTTTAACTCGTCATAGATATCTTTCCCCTTCATATGAAGAAACTATCCCCGCTCTTAGTTCAATTTTATCCATTTTGAAAACAGTTGACGAAATATATTTTCAAATGGCAAAAAAACAATAAAATATTCACGCCACCAAATTCAAATTTAGAATACAGGTGGCCAGAGATACGAATTTAAAAATGACATATATATTTTTTTAATTTTAACTTTTTAAATAGCATTGGCTAGTTACTTATCATCCCGCCTACGTACAAGAAATAATCTAGCAAGTGTTATGTCTATCCTAGAATCCTTCTTAAAAGCGCCAACTTTTAAATTTACTTGCCAAACTATCGTAGTAATTTTTTTAGTACAGCCATTGTAAATTGGGAGCAGTATTACTTTTGAATACTTACTTACCAGTTGGGAAAAAAGTGACATGACGACTAATTTCTACGATGATCATGATCAGTGTTTCAGACAACCGGGCGTTAGACAGTTATAATCTCCACTGATCATGTATTTCCGTTGCCGATATAACAAAACAATAAATACTTAAAAACAGAATAAAAATATTTAAGTGCGACTCCCATACAACAGACAAATAGATAATGGTACGGAACTCACCGTGCGCGAGTCGGATTCACACTTGGCCGGTTTTTTGAAGTGTCATGATAGTGTTATTAAATTTTTAAAATGTGCTGGCTAAGAAAATCATACTAGAAAATAGCATTGGTCATTTTATTAATTATTATAGGTACCTCAATCACTTTCTTTTCGATACCTCACCTAAAATAAATGGATATTAGTTATTAAGGAATTAGCAGAGCTTATTAAGTATTACAACTGAATGGTTGAAACACATATTAAGAAACTGTTATTTTATGGGCTATTAACGGTTATTGAATTAGAAATTGTCTAGTAACGGTTATATAACCGTCAGTAAAAACATACTTTACATTGTATTATGCATAATTAACCCTAAAGACTGAAACCCGGTGTTGAAAAAAATTTAGTGTTGCTATAACCCTAAAGACTGACGCCCGGTTTCTGAAACACTGATCATCGAAGAAGTAAACTAATCAGCTGTCAAATGACTTTTCAAATGATAATTGAGCTGCCAAAAGGATGTTTAAACTTTTGTATTGATCATTCTCATATTTGGACGTAATAATTAATCTTTACACATTAAAGACTCGAAAGGTATTTAAGTTTGCACAAAAGTTTCTTCAGTTTGCTTAAATACATGCTCTGACAGAGCGTAACTTGTGGAAATATCACTTATTTTATGTTATTTATAAACAAATGGAAGGAATAGCACACAAAGGGAAAGGGTTATCAAGAGTAATACTCAAATATTAATACAATATTTAATAATTCTTATTTTCTTTATTAACCTAAAATCTTTATACAATAGTGAAACGTTCTGGGGTACAGTTGGAACAAAAACAACGGTCTATAATGATCACATAATTATATTATAAAATGATTTAATTACAATAAACAGAATAAGTATCATAATGTACCTACACTACGAACAACTTACAATTATAAACGCAGAAGCGGACAAGGATGTACTCTTCTCTTGTATTTACATTTTGTACATTGAGCGCTTTCGTAATACTTTACGTCCATCGCGTCTCTACACCGATAATAAATAGTGCGCGTGTGTGTGTGTGCGGAGAGGAAGGGGAGACGGGAGGGGGGCTAGGATGGAGGAGAGGATGCGAGGAGGGTGGGGTGGGTAGGGGAGGGGGTGCGCGTCACCGCGTCTACATTATATGGTACAGGTGCGGTCGGGCGCGCGGCGGCTATGTACACTACAACTGCTCCACGAACTTGGTGAGCTGGTCCTGCGGCGTCATGGGCGGCGGCTGGTCGTCGGGCGCGTGGTGGGGCGCGGGCGGCGCGGGCGACTGCCGCAGCAGCAGCAGCTCCGAGGGCGTGGGCGGCCGCGGCGACGGCGTGGCGGGCGGCGACCGCTGCAGCACGCCGCCCACGCCCACGTTGCCCACGCCGCCCACGCCACCGGGGAAGTAGCGCGCGCTCAGCCGCGGCGCGCCCCCGCCCGCGTACGGCGCCCGCATGCCCAGCATGCCCCCCGCCACGCCGGCCCCCTGCCTCAGCCAGCCGCCGCTCGCCATGCCCACGCCCACGTTGCCCACGCCTCCGACGCCGCCCACCCCGGGGCCCGCCACGCCGCCCATGTTCACGCCCGAAACGCCGCCTACGGCGCCACCCACCTGCGGACACAAACAATAAATTCAACTGTTGCATATGAAAAGAAAGTCAAGATCATCAACATCATACTAAATTTCTTTCACTTTCATATTAAACCCATTATTACACAGCTTGAAATTAGATTAATAATAATTGGACTGAGGTTAAGGTTATATTTTTTTTCATTATCATAAGATAGATGCATGATATAAATTATGTTCCAGTCTGTAATTTTAACAATTGTTTTAACTCTAAAAGTCTTAACATTTCACCATATAAAACAGTCAGTTGCATATAATTTCATAAGAAACAATTAAATTGAATCAAGTATATCATGTAAGATAATGACCTGACTCTGTTGTGGCAACATCTGATGCATCTGTAGCCTCTGTTGCTGAGGCTGCATCATATGCTGGAGTTGTGGCTGTTGCTGTACGCCACCCACGAGTCCCACGCCGCCCACGCCCACGTTGCCCACGCCGCCTACGCCCACGCTCCCCACGCCACCTACTCCGCTCACGTTCCCGACAGGGCCAACGCCACCAACACCACTGGCGACCTGTTGCTGACTTTGGGCGTTCTGTAATGCCAAAACACATCGTGTTTGTGCGGATTTCCTAAAGACTCGCAACTTTATTGTTCATAAATTGAACATAATATTATATGTACAAAAATAAAATTTCAAATGATATAATCAAATAAAAATATTATCGTATAGGTAATCCTTATCTTCTGTTCTCATTATTTGAAAATAAGTATTTACAGTGTTACTGCAGAAATATCAATGTTCCTAATAAAAATATTGAATATTTTTAGTGAAAGTAAAAGATATTATATAATGCATAATGATATGTATAATATAATTATTATATAATATAATTATTTTCAAGGTTTACAAATAATTTTTTAGTACAGAAAATCTACATGTACTGTTTTTAATACATTTGACAAAATTTTACAACTTTTAATATTATGAAATAACAATAATAATCTCTATGACCAACAGAATAGTTAAGATGAGAAAACAAAGTTACTAACTTGTCTTTGTTTGATAAATGCTGCCATTAAAGGTGGATTGGACTTGAGTATATGTAATATCTCCTGTTGCTGGTTGTGGCTGGTCGGTGACCTGAGAGTCGCCATCAGCTGTTGCAATGCCTTCTGATGCACTTGAGGTTGTGTTTGTTGTTGCTGAGGAACAGGTGCCCTCTGCTGTGGAAGAATTCAGAGTATTTTTACGTTATATCCTATCAAATTGGAAATCACGGTAACCTATCTTATATATTTGTCGATTAGGTAAAAACTAAAAACTTTTCACAGTTCTTTAACATTGGCTGCTGATTTGGCACTAATTGATCCATTTATACAAACAACAGGAATCATTGGTGTTTTATTGCTTAAATAACTATCCAATTTAAGTATCAGTAACTTTGAAATAATCATCCACATATTCTGTTTTAAAAAAGGCATTTGTGCAGCATGGGACCTTGAAATCAAGTTTTTAACACTGAATGTCAATAATGAACACTATGGAGTCGTCCATCATTCACGTGTTTTCTTTGTAGCATGTTTAAACGCCCCCCCAGTGATACTTGTCAAGTGTAAGACAATCCTGCTCCTACCCAAAATCATGAGTATTTTCTTCAATAAAAAATTTTACACAGCCGTGATAGCTCAGTGTCCGGGCGCTCGCTTTTAATTCAATATACTCGAGCAACCTGAGTTCAATCCCCGGTGCCGGCACCAATGAAATTGTTAATTTTAAGTGTTGACTTATCACGTGCTCAGCGGTGAAGGAAAACGTGAGGAAACCTGCATATTTTCGAAATAATAACAAAAAAAAAAATATTTCGAAGATATGTGAAGTCCATCAATCCGCAGTGGGGCCGCGTGGTGGACAATGCCCTGATACCCTCTGTATAGAGGAGGCCTTTGCCCAGCAGTGGGACATTTATAGGCTGATACTTTTTATGTATAAAACCTAATTTAATTTTGAAACTGAAGTAATTAAGAACCGCGACAAAATGCCAAGATAGACTTTTTCTCCCAGGCGGGGAAATATGCCTGGCATAGACGAGTTCAGCTCACACGCCCTTTTGATTTGGAACACGCGTTCAACGAAAAAATATAAATACACGTGATATCTTATTTCGCCTTCCCTCTCCCCTTGTGATAGATCATGATTTTTTCTGAATCTTAGAGATCATGATTGTTTCGAGCCTCACGTCATTAATGGAGGACCCATAGGCCGCTGTATTTTTTTTTTATTGTGAGAACGTGGCAAGGGAGCTGGCAGTTCACCCTAGTTCAGAAGTATAAATATTAGTATGCAGGATGAAATTTAGGTTTCGGGGGCGATAAAACGATTTCATTTGAGGTTTCACTTTTTAGAAAACGTCTTTTATCCGTGTTTTCAGGCAATAAAAAACTGCTACATTATCATTAGAATACGAAGGTAAACTTCGCCACCATCGTCAAGGTCCCGAAACCAGAAGACCCCGGTTCGAGTCTAGACATTTTTTTATTTCTTTTTTTTTTTATATAATCAATCAAGGCCCCATATTCTAGGGGTCGTCGGTTCGCGTCAATCTATTCACCTGCAGCTGTTGCGCGGCGTGGGGCTGCGGCTGCGGCGCGTGGTGCGGCAGGCGCGCGTGGTGGGGCGCGTGGTGGAGGGGCGGCGGCGGCGCCCTGTAGCGGGGCGCCCACTCGCCGCGCGCCCCTCCCGCGCACCCCGGCGGGCCCATCGCCGCCTGCTTGCCGTACGAGGGCGCCTGCTGCCGCGCCGCCTCCTCCTGCACCTGCGCCGACGAGGGGGTTAAGTACAAGTCCCAATGACCAGTGCAATCTGGAAGATCTATGTAGACTTCCCATTGAAAGCGTTGCGTCTCACCTGCTGGAGCGCCTTCTGCACGTTGTGCGGCAGCGCGTGCGCGGCGGGCTTGGCGGGCGCGCTGGCGTGCGGCGGCGAGGCGAGCGGCGCGGCGGCGTGCGGCGGCGAGGCGGGCGCGCACCCGCCGCGCGTGTTCATCGCCGCCATGCGCCTGCGCAGCAGCTGCGCCTGCTGCACCCGCTGCTGCACCTGCTGCTGCTTCAGCTTCTGCTTGATGCTGCTGCAGAACGGCACCGAGCACTTCATCTCCTGGCAGTGCTTCGCGTGGTAGCAGCACAGCGCGATCAGCTGCTTGCAGATCGGGCAGTCGCCCTTCGTCTTGCGCTTGCATATCTTCGTGTGCGTCACCACCCTCTTCATCTTCTGGCACGACGGCAGCCTGCAGTTGGCGTCGCGGCACTGGCACGCGTGCACCAGCGACTGGATGCACCGCTGTATCGACAGCTTGCGCGCCTCCTGAGGGTTGGCCTGCTTCATGTCGCCCGGCGACGAGCCCACGTCGATGTCCAGGCCGAGCTTCTCCATCTTGTGCGGGTGGCCCTCCTTCTCGTGGCAGGGCACGCAGAGGTCGAAGTCGTCGCACACGGTGCAGTGGTACCTCGTCTCCACGTGCGACTTGCAACTGTTGCACGTGTACACGAACTTGTCCTGCCCCTGGTTGTGGAGCTCGTACAGCATGCACAGCGTGGAGAACATCGCCCGCCTCGTCGACGAGAACTCGTAGTGCCTGTCCCGCGCCATCGTTAGGAACGCGTCGCGGCCGTCCATCAGGTCGCAGTTCACTAACGGATCCGGGTCTTGAATTGGCTGTGACAACAATTAATTGCTTAATTAAATTTGAAATATTAAATAACTCGTTGTAGAAACTGTACAATAGCAATTTTACAATAGCAATAGCAGATTTGGGAAAATTATGTTTATAAACAGACACAGTATAGCTCCGCGATACTCACCGCCAAGCTCGCCGCTGACTGCGCGGAATGTAGCCTTATAACGAAGAACACCTCCTTGTGTTTCTCCATGGTAGCAAATATTTTTGCACTGAGATCGCTGCCCTGCTGCTGATCGCTCTGCTTCTTACTGTTCTTCCTCTGAGCGGCCTTCGATTTGTTCGACTTCTTCGCCTTTTTCTGCCCCTTCTTCTTTCCATCAGGGCCTTGTTCATTTTCTTCGGAAGACTGGAATATCTAAAAGAATGTTAGGCATGTTCCATTGTCATGCAAAACGTGAAACACAAATCAAATATGATGAAAGAATGTTTGCTACTTTGCAAATGCTTTATAAAAATATTTATAATAATGTTTCAGATCTATTCTAAGTTCACTTCTTGACAGTCTTAAAAATTCTATGAAATACATTTCATACTGACCACTGCTTCGGCGGCTTCAGCCTGTTTCCTCTTCTCCTCTTCTTCTTGGTCCAGCTCTTTGATAGATTCCTCTAAAACGTTCGGCCAGAAATCGCCCTCAAAGTAGGGGAGCTCCGCCGCTGAAGAGATATTGTCCTCCATTGCTTGCTTAAGAATATCTTTGTAATCTAATATTATCCTCTCTATGATGCCCTTGTCAAGCATCTTTTTGTACCACTCTTGCAACCTTTTAGGCTTGGGTATTTTTTGTTCGGGCGGATGGCAGTGAAAAATGTAATCGTCACCTTCCGACGGCGGGCAGGCCCAGATGTGGGCCATAGTGTAACCCAATTGCTTAGCGTAATCCAAATAACCTAATAAAATCTCGTGATACACGGCAGTCCTATACTGCCGCGGTTGGAAAAAATGTACAGAATCTAGATATGCTATGTAAACGCGCCTCGTGTTTGGCGTTGGACTTTCGCTCCCGTATTCCTGAAAAACATATTGAATATTAATTCTGAACCTTTTGAGACAAATATACGAAAAATTTAAATTATGCAAAGTTAGAAAACATACCTGCACATGCATCCCAAAGAAACATATATCAGTCCCATCAATCTCTTCAAATGCAAACAACGCTTTCGCCCGATACGGGAATTCACCGCACAACTCTCGTGATTCTACGAATCTAGACCTCATTCCAGGCTTCACTTCTACAATCTAAAAGAAAACATTACGTTTTAACAAGTATGTAATGTTACCATTTATTTATTTATGATTTCATGTGTTTATGTGAATACTACAAACACATCTAATGCCAATTTAAACAAAATTAACTACATAATTTTTCGAGTTACCGTCATATAATATTTATAAGCAATTATAATTAAGCGTTTTAAACTAATGGTATGGGAGACATGATAAAATAAGAGAAAAAATAAGTACATTCTGGCTGTTACCATAAATATTGAAAAAGGTTATTTCAAAATGACAAAGCTACTAAAGTTCTAATGACGTACTTTATCAGACGACGCGACCACCCTGATATGAACTTCGCCAGCGCCCGCCTCCTTCTTCTTTAGGAAATTGTTCACTCTCGTCTCAATGTAAATGCCGAGTTTCGATGTTGGCAGCTTCTTTGCACAGAACTTGTTCTCTTTCCGCTTGGCCCCTTTCTTCTTCAAACAATTATCACAGCAGAAGCCTTGAGGCCAAATCTGGTCGTGGTGGAGAACACATATCTGGTGCTGCTTCCTGCCGCAGTCCATGCAAATGACGAACGGCTCCTGTTCTAAATGGTCGTTCTTCATCTCCTTGAACTGATCCTTCTTGATGTTCCTGAAATGTTAACATTGGCTGTAAAAAAATTGGGACAAGGGTAACTGGTAATTTTTAAAATGTTAAAATGCTTTAAAGCAATGAAAATTGTAGTTTTTCAGACAATTTGGACAAAACAGTGATGAAATAAATTTCAACTTACGTCTGCGGTTGTAGTGGATCGTCTCCCAGCGTGACGGTGTCTCCTTGGATGTCATTGAAGCATTTCTGGCAGAAGGTGTATCTATCGGACACAACCCCATATGCTTTTAGACTGTATTGCACAATTTTCATCCATGTAGCGATGGTAGTGGTGTGAAGCGTGACAGGAACGTTTTGTGTGCAGACAAGGATGTGCGTGGAGAGGGCGAAAAAAAAATTAGTAAGCAATGAGAACATAAACGGGATTAGTTGTTAGACAGTTCACAAATATATATTAGGAATGGTCACGAAATATCTAAACGCTTAGAGCGTGGGAGTCGCAGCGACATCTAGCAATTCAACATAGAGCATTGTTCAACACAAGTCACATAAGAATAGACATCATACACAAGCAAAGGAAAGCTATTTAACCAGTTATAGCAGCCATCTATATGTATACTCTAAAGAAAAAAAAATATGTGTAGATAGGGAATGTATTAACATTACTAGCAAGAGGTATGATACAAAGATGCACATTTTCCACAAAAGCATACTTTCAGAAACAAAGTTAAAACATTATTTATTACACATCAATTATGGTCTTAATATAAATGTCATTATAAAAACAACGTCGTTTTTCTATGCTCGAAATGACGAAATGTGAGGATCAATTTTAATGTAAAATATTCAAAAATTATGTATGTAAATATACTAAAATACAGGTTTTAGTCCTAATATAACTCCAAATAACATGAGATATTTTCTAATATTTAAACACAAAACTTACATGTATTAATTTTTTTTTTGTGTTTGAACTTTGTTTCTAAATATAAAAAGATATGATGAGTTTCAATTTGCCCAAATCAAATGCATTGATTATTTTATTTGATTTAATAATTTGATGTAAGAATAAGTTTGATTCCTATGTAATTATGTTATATGTATAGTCATGGGCACCACCACACTACATATTAGATAATAAGTTTTCAGTAGGTTGTTTTAATATACATATTGTGAACTAGAGCATTAAAAGTAAAAATGTACAATGCTGAATATAAAACATAATTCAAATTATTTCAATTATAATTATATAAATTCTTTGATGTGTAATAAGAAGAATCATTTATTTATAATATTAAAAAAATATTTCTTAAAACCATCCAATGATTTAACAAATATACAATACAAAAGGTTCTTAGTGTAGTACATTTATATGAGTGAAATAATGGTTTTAAATAGGAGTAAAGATTTTTCTGAAGGATGTAAATACTTTTTTTGTAAATGTGATTAAAATATTAAAAAAATATTTAAGTTGAAGACAACATAGCAATCAGCTACATGATTTTTGTCTCTGATAAATCATCTTTTTTCTATTATACCAATGCAAATCTTTTTTTTATATTTAATGAATATCATAATACTATTAAATTGGTGCCATCTTAAAATTAAACTTTATAGTCAATCATGCAGCCTATTATTATAATGAAAACTAAGGTAACATAAGATTTTGATCATAATTTAGTATTTAAGATCAAAATTGTATGAATACACAACACAATGTTTAATACTGACCTGTTCTGATAACTGAAATATTTTGCGTCGCGAGGTATCGTGCACAATTGCTTCCCATAACAGCAAAGCACTTGAGGGTTGAAAGTGTACTTTCGCCCACAACAATATCCCAGACTCTGCATCACAGGATCAATCTCTTGCTCAAACACCTCCGATAACTAGAAGCAAAATTACGGCCATGTTAGACTTACAACATAACTTTAAAAATGAATTATAATGGAAGAACTTCGAGAAAGAAGTGGAAAAGCCTAAGCATTTTATCTTACCTTAGTACAATACCTATACACTCTGGAATTTTTTCTGTTGTATAGCCATGCATTTTCAAACATTAGCCACACATCATCCACATACTCCCATGGGTCTTTGTATTCACCCCTGTCTAATTTCATCTTGATGGTAGACAGGTCAATTGGCTTCGTCACAATGTCGAAATAGTCCGGGATGCCCAGGGCCTGTGCGTCCACCGGCTGCCGAAACGGCAGCGACTCCGGGTCGAGGCAGAAAAGCTTTTCCAGCGTGGGCATCAACGCTTGCCGCAAATCCTCCGTTTTGAACACGAACGTCCTCTTGGGGCCCCTGTCCGTGTCCGTGCTGGACACGCTCGCCGGCCCCTCGCCGGGCTCCTCCTTAATCTCCTGCTTGAACTCCTGCTTGATCTCCTGCTTGACGACGAAGTCCGTGTGCCTCTCGGGCCTCTCCAGGGGCTCCTTGTCGGCGGGCGTCTCGTCCCTCATGCCCTTGCCGCCGCAGTCATCGTCCGGCTCGTCCTTGATCCGCACGTCGTCGGGCTCCTGCTTGATGCGGATGTCCTCGGGGCTGTCGTCGGCCGAGGCGGCGGCGTTGAGCGCCGCCTTCTGGGCGGAGACGGAGGCGGGCCGCGAGGCGGGCCGCGGCTCGGGCGCCGGGCTCGGGTGCGCGTGGGGCGTGGCGGGGGTGCCGGGCGGCGCGGGGCCCGCCGAGTGCACGGGGTTCGGCGACGCCGTCGAGGGGTCGCCTCGGAACGACGAGTGGTTCATGAAGGGGCTCGCGACGGGCCCCCCCGAGAGGCGCACTTTGGCCTCCTGCTGGTGGTTGGGCGAGGCGAGCGGCGCCGGGCCGTTCGTTTGCATGGGCGGGTACTGCGGCGCCGGCGAGGTCATCGGCTGCCCAAACGGCGACATGCCCGGGTTGCCGACGCTGCCTACGCCGACGGAACCACCGTTCGGCGTTTGAGGCATCTGAAATGAGTTTTTTTTATTTATATCGTATCTTATTACATATTATGACTACAATATCTACTTTTTTAAAAGCAATACTTATACTCTAACAAAATTCCACAATGACTGATATATTATGCAAAAGCTTTTAAATGTCTTCACCTGATTGGGACTTGGTCCGGGTGGTCCGACGAGGTTCGTCTGGAAGGCCATTCGGCTAGCCGGCATGGGCAGAGGTGCCATTCCGGGCGATGGAATTCTAAGTCCGAGGCCTGGGGCGGATCCCAAACCGGGCCTCGCAAGCCCCACACCGGGTCCAACTCCTGGTCCGACATTGGGTCCAACACCTGGTCCAGGCCCCACTACACCTCCAGGTGCTCTCACGCCTAGAACACCACCAGCCATGACGCCCGATTGTTGCATTTGTTGTTGTTGTTGTTGCTGCTGCTGCTGTTGTTGCTGCTGCTGCTGCTGTTGTTGCTGCTGCTGCTGTTGTTGCTGCTGTTGTTGTTGTTGTTGTTGTAACTGTTGTTGCTGTTGCTCTTTTCTCTTTTGTCTTTTCTCCTCCAGCTCCTATTTTTACATATTGTTGAATTTAATGTTTAGTGGCAAGAAACAATTAATTTAATTATTTTAAGTTGCAACATTGAACTTATTTCTGCACCAAAAAGATTTTTTGGGAACATTGCTTAAAAAAAACCAACTAAAGTCTCAACTTACCTTTTGAATCTTGTATATCTTTTCAGCGAGTAAATGGTAGTACTCAGACCTTGTACTCGCCATCTCATACATGTCGCCCTCAACCTTTCTCGCGTATGCAACCAAATTATGCATTCTTTTGTCTAACATTGCTGTTGGATCTGGGGTCGGAAATATAGCTTGCACCCTGTAGATCAATAACTTATTGTAAGGCCAAAAACTTTAAAACTTACTATTAAATTTGACTCGAAATCCCATAATGACTAAGGTCAATCTAAAATAGAAGAATTGTTATTGTGAAAATTGTAAATATAAATGGAATGGAATTCTAATATAAATGGAAAATTAGAAAAGTACTATTTTTCTTATTATGCATAAAACTTGAAGAATACCAAGGTAAAAAAAAAATACTGAGAAAAGATTGATTGATATTATTTTGCTAGAGGCCACAGATGGAATTTAGAAATAAATTGGTTTCATATACATAACTTACAGTTTATGAACAAGGTGGTTTCTGAGATCTGCTGTTATAGACTGGTGCCACTCTTTAGTTCCAGACACAGGGTTGGCGGTAACAGGACCGCCGGGGAGTTGTAACGTGCCTGTGCTCATCTGCCCAAAAAGCAAATTCTTGTTACGTCGGAATATTTAAAAAAATTATAATAGAACAATATTAATAAAAATATTTAATAAATTAATATTTTAATTTATTAGTTTCATACGCAAAGGGTACAACAGGACCCTATTATTAAGACTCATCTGTCCGTCTGTCACCAGGCTGCATTTCATGAACCTGTATCTCATCTTATAGTTAGACAGTGGAAATTTATGCAGTAAAGTAACCAGTCTATATACATCCCACTGCTGGACAAAAGCCTCCTCTGTACTTTTTGTTTAGAGGTTATTAGGGCATAGTCTACCACACGACCCCACAGCGGATTAGGGGACTTCACATATCTTCGAAAAATATGTACAGCATTTCAAACAAATTAATAAAAAAGAAACAAAATTTGTAACATCCTATACAACTACAACTGACTGATTCATACATTCAAAGACTTTTTCATTGGTTGCCACAGCGTCGCATTACAAATGTCTCCTTCTAACAGTATGTTTTATCTCTTTTAAACTCATTCATATGCTTTGTGACCTTTACAAATGAACTTTACGTTACAGTTTTATACGTAAGGGTGTTCTAAAATTGTATGTTTTGGAAAGTTAGTTGCCTCACGATGTTTCCATCACGGCTGAGCACATGATAAGCGAGCACATAAAATTAATAATTCCATTGGTGCAGGCCCCAGGGATCGAACCCGGGTTGCTCGAGTATATTGAATTATAAGCGAGCGCCCGGACAATGGGCTACCACGGCTCTCTACCGTACAGGACAGGACACGTACCAGTTGATTCTGCTGCTGCTGCTGCAGGTCGGGCATCTGCTGCTGCGCGTAAACCGGCTGCAGGCTGGGCTGCTGCTGCTGCGGCACGGCGTCGGGCAGCGGGGGCGCGCGGGGGGCGGGCATGCGGGCGATGGCGCCGCGCGCGAACCCGCCCGCCAGCCCGCCCGGCATCGAGGTGGGGCACGCGATGCCGAGCGCCTCGTACGCCCGCTTCATGTCGCCCGGCGCGGGCGCGCCCGCCCCCCCAGCGAGCTGCGCACCGCCGAGGCCGCCCGCGCCGCCCGCCCCGCCCGCCGCCGCCCCCCTCCGCCCGCCGCGCCCGACACTATCGCTGCGGACGCGCACACCACCCGATCAGTACACGCCCACACCGCCGGCACAAACGCATACACGCAAAGCGAGCGCCATCACTCCTCCACCCGTTACCCGATATTGTATACAACTATATATATGTTTATATATATATATATATATATATATATATAGTATAGAAAATGTGTACGCACTGATCGTAAATGGATAATATATGTTTACACTAAACGACTCTAGTAATCTGTTACGCATTCCGATGTGCACGCTTACCTTTGCTGGACGAGTGATTTCGCTTTAATTGAGCTATTTCATTTATAAATGTGGCGATTATAATTCTGTTTCGGAGCGGCATTGCTCCTCTACATATTTACGGAGAAATCAACCAAAAGCATTACGGTATTTTACCGCTATCATTTGTAAAAACAAGATATGACCACAGCCCACGGCACGATTGCATACTGTAGATGCCTTTCAGAATATCTATCGGGGTCGAACAACATATTCTGACCTCTGAATCCTGAGTCCAGAGAGAATAATTTGAATACAGAGAATGAGAATAAAAAAACTTGAACTTCGTTTTTTTGTTCTTCATCAAATGGAACCTTAGACCTCTTTATTTAACCTGGCATTGCAATGTTGCGAATATACTTACGCAACAGGATGACGCCGCCGAGCCCGAGAGCGTGAAGAAAACCAAAGTGATCAAACTCAGTTCAAAGGAACATCATTTTTATCAGCCAGACAAGAGTTTATTCAGGATCAGAGGCGGAAAGAAATTCTGGAGAAAGATTCAAGTGGGCGAATGAAAAAATTCAAAATAAAGGAGGACAATACAAAAACTAATTCGGTTCCATCGACAAATGATTTGCTTTCGTGCAAAGTTAAGCGATGGAATATGAAAGGAGGAGTGGTTGACATGGGTTTTTTTTTAAATACATAACATGAAAAAAAAAACGAAGGTAGAAAAAGATTGGCGTTTTTTTGTATTTAGTTTAGTTTTATTAGTCTACCGTGTGTTTTAGTTTATAGTCAATATTTATATTTTTTTTTTCAACACTGACTGGATAATGTGATATAAAACTTCTAGGAAGGCAAAAGTGTGCATGGATGTTGTGTGCTGCATGGAGTTAAAGTATAATTGCTGTTTTTAACTATTGAGATATATATGTGGCAAAAAGTTACAAGCGAATTTATTTTATTCCACAAAGACATTTTATAGTTTCATTGAGAAATTAAGGTGTAAATGAGGCTACCCGCAAAATTTGTCACACACAATTTATTGGCCTTATTTTTCTTTCGTAAAAGCCTATCTCATAAGGGAAAGGCGTAATTGAAATTTATGCAATACAAATACAAATACAATTATAAGACGAAATTCCTTTATTGCACAACTACAAGTTAATTTTACAATATATATAGTTATGTGACTAACAACTTGAATGTAGATTACCTAGTCCGAGTACAATTTTTGATTAACTTGATAGTACATAAACATTATCTAATAAAACGTATAATACGCAAATAGTAAGAGTAATTCATGCACACATTTATTAATTCAAAATGCATTTCCAGTAATCGTTCCATAACAATTGATTACACTTAATGATTAAATGGTAGACATGGACATGTAACACTACTTTTTTTTTAACTTTTCTTTTATTTATTTTTTTTATTCTTTCTAACATTTTTACATTAGATCTAAAGAGATGTTGGATAATAAGATAATTATTATAAAGATTTCATTAATAGGAATAGTGAAAATTGATAAATGTGTGTGAAAAATATATATTTTTTTGTATATTGTAATGAGTGTGCAATTAATAGTAAAATGGCGTGTATTTCTTGGTTTTTAGGAATACTACGCCCGCAGTGCTTTTGTATACTACATCTTTTATCGAAGTTTTATTTTCATTCTATGGAGATCTCATTTTCTTTATTTTAATGGAACAACACACACTTGTAAATCAACCACTATTACGCTAACAATAGAAGTAGTCCAAAACGATTGCCTTGCGGTACACCATATAAATATAAAATAAAGACATATTAATAATCTTCTTCACGTTAGACAAAATTAAACATTATAACGTCGCCTGCAACTGAAAAATTCGTATGTGTTTGGCATGTAGTCTTAAATTAAAGCTTAAACTAGTTTCTTGAAGGATAATTCTGGTTAAGTCCTCGAATATTTCTATTATATAAACGCAAACTTTATATACCGCCGTATAAGTTTTTTTTGTACACAGCACAACAACAAGTAATCTCCGTGGTCTTAGAACATAACGAGATTGAATCACCAAAAAACACGCATCATTAAAATGTTCTTATAATTAGGATAGATGACTGAAGCATTTTTATTTTCGCAAAAATTGTTTTGAATGTGAATCTAACTTATGAAATATTTTTAAACGACTACATATTACTAACAACTACAGCACTATTCACTTGCTTAAGTCATATTTAAATGTAAAGAAATAATAATGTTACACAATCAAAATTATTACAAATTTAAGGTCAAATGCTTCAAGTGAAATTACATTCTGACAATGTAATAGATCAGGAATGTAAAAGTTTTAAATTTACACAAATCTATTTGTATCCTTGCATAAAAAGTTGGGAAAAAGAAAAAAGAAAAATGAATTAAAGAAATCATGTATGTGGTATAAACAATTTTAAAAACTCATAAGAAAGAAAAGGAAAATTTTCCCAAAAATAATAAAAATATTACCTAAATTAAAAAAGGTTGTTTGTAATGCATCACATATTTAATTTACATGATATATTCCACACACAATAACAAAATCTATCTTAGGACATCATGAGTTGTACGAACAATAAATCCTTAGTGATGTTTGTTTAAAATCGCTCACCAAATTCTTTTTGCATCGACAGGAAAAATCAAAATTTAGGTTATTCAACATGGATAAAAACAAAAACGAAACAAATAGAACATGATCATGCGTAACAAATTTTCTATACCGACCCTTTTTATATTTATCGTTTTGCAATATAAGAACACAAAGTATAGTTTGTGTGCAAGAAATAATTTACTGTAATGAATTAAATAACTTCTCTTAACATGTCATTGTTTAACTTTAAACTAATAAAATTATAAGAAAATAAACTGCTATCATCCATACTATCTTTTAAGTAAACGGGCAAAAAAGAAAATGAGACAAAATAAAGGATAGAAGTTTCACTTACGATTTATTGGATTGATTCTAGTCCTATCAGCCTGCTTTAATGGCAGACATACAGGACAGTCATTCTTGTTACAGTGTTTCCAGTGGTTTATTATTTGTCTTGATGAGGAGCAGTGTGGCACGGAGCAATTTTTCCCCGCCTACAAAACAAAAGAGATCATATGTTAGTTACGAATTAATTTACCATTTAATTAACACCAACAAAAGATATGATTTTATTGCCTAATCTGGATAGTTCTAAGTGTTGTATAGCAATTTAAAAATTGAGCTTGTGTAAAAATAGTTGAATTGATAATTTTTACGTGAGAAGGTGGAAATGGAGCTGGCGGGTGACCTGATGTTAAGTGATAACTGACGCCCGTTGACATTTACAACACCCTGGGGATACGACTGTATGGGCCCCAGCTACCTCACTCGCTAGACGAAATGCAGAAGTGTAACACTCCCACTTAACGGCGGTCTTCTGCGAGGTCGTGGCGCTTACCCGGGCGGACCCGCACATTCGTGCAACAGAGAAGAGCGTTGCGTGGTCCCACCGGTCGGAAAGGAGGGGGGATTGCTTTACAGACGGAGTGGAGGGTGACCCAAATGCCTTCTGGGGGGCCGGCCGGAGGGCCGCAGGAGTAGAGGCAGGCCCAAGCTCAGGCGGTTAGATGGCGTCGAACAGAACACCAAGATGTTGGGGGTTATAGGCTGGAGAAACAAAGCCATGAATAGATCGCACTGGAGATTTGCTTGACCAGGCTAAGGCCTCAGACGATAATGATGGAGGGTGATTGCACCAACCTGACAGGACATCATGTGGTTGAGGACGCCCTTCATGGTCTTGCAGTGGGGCAGCGTGCACTGCCAGGTCTCGCCGTTCTGCGACTGCGACTCGCGCCGTTGGCACTTGTGCGCGTGCAGGAGGAGCACCAGCTGCTGCTGGATCAGCTTGCGCTTCTCAGGGTCCGCGATGGAGCCGCTGGGCGGCGCGGCGGCCTGCGGACACAGCGACGGCGGGGCGTTACGGCGCGGGCTATGGCCATGCCACTTTTTTTTTATGTGAAAAGTTGCCAAGCGAGCAGACGGTTCACCTGATGTTGAGTGAATATTGAAATCGACCTTTTGAAATTTGGGCTCCGGCCACTTCACCCACCAGACGAAACTCGAAAGTATACTTCCACTTCACGCCGGTCTTCTGTGAGGTCGTGGAACTTATCCGGACGAGCCTACCACCGATAACTTACTTGCTTAGCGGTATTCTAGTTTAAAAGTGTGTCTTCAGGCGTGTTGAGCATTTTTTGGGTGAACAAAAAGAGTGAAACTCGCGTCATCATCGACGTCATCGATGCCATTTTTAAAAAAGGAATACATTTCATTATGGATAATGATATAAACTGTGGTAGGGCCACGCAGCAGTGTTCGCTGTTGCATGAATGGGCAGGTTCGGGTAAGTATCACAACCTCATAGAAGACCTGCGTGAAGTAGAAGTGTTACACTTCTGCATTTCATCTGGTGAGTGAGGTAGCCGGGGCCCACTTTATTTATAGCTGACAACGCATCTGGAACCCTACGGGTGTTGCAAATGTCATGGGCGACGGTTATCACTTAACATCAGGTGAAACGCCAGCACGTCTGCCACTTTTATTTACTTATTTAGTGAACAAAAATGCGTTATTATGAACTGTTGAACACGAGAAAAAGAGATTTTTCCCTAAAGCGGCCAACAAAGAAAATGAATATTACAAAGAAACAAATAGTAACTAACATCATATATCTTTTATGGGGTATACTAACATCATATATCTTTCAGGGCACAAAAAACTAATTAATACTTAAGATGAAGCCATATGATAGTCATTCAAAACTTAAATGTTATATGCGAGTGAAATAGGCGCGGCGAAATCAGGCAAAAAACGGACTTAAACAACCTAAAATCGATGTAGTCTGTGGCGTGAGCGAGAGGGCTAAAAACCCTCCCCTAGCATCCGGCATGGCGTCTCCGATACTTATGTGTATTGCACTACGTAATGTTTAGGACGAAAGAGGCGCATTTAAGTTTTGCACATACTAATATCAAATCAAATATTCACAAATTTAGTTTGAAAGTTTTGTTTACCTTTTTATCATAATGTTTTAGTCATTATTCGACGCTTATAACGTATTTAGATGCAACTTTTAAATTAAACATAAACGAATACTTACGGTATTCTATAGCGTACGGACAAGATAAATTTTACTCACCAAAAAGCACTATAACAAACTAATGGTGCCTGTGCACTTAACAAATAATATCATGCTTTTGTTGTATAACATTATCTGCTAGGAAGTTAGTCGAAGCTTGGCATAATAAGCGGTGGCTATATTTTTTAATTACAAAAAAAAATGCCGTTACTGTAGGATAACGTCATCCCGTTTCGCAAGGACTTTTCACAAAATACAAATTTCACATGGCCAACAAAAACCAAAAGCATTCAAACGCGTCATACAAAAATCCGTCCCGCATGCGCCGAAGCCAACATCTCGTAGATTTCGCTACCAACTGCCGCCCCGCGGAGGGCTCGAGTGGGTTGCCGTGTTCATTACAACGACACGGCACCATTTGACTGGACCGGGTGTGAAACCAACAGCCGGAGAGAGAACCTGAGAAGGCAACAGCCGCGACGGGACAGTCCGCGAGAGATTGCGTTTTCGTGTTCCCGGCAAATGCGACAGAGCAGGTTTTTCCGAATTAGAAATTAAAAAAAGCAAAAGGTTGCGCACCTGCGTGGCGGCCTGCGGCTGCGACTGTCCGCCGGCGGGCGCGCCCGGCGTCTGCGGCGAGGGCGCCGGCGGCACGGCGGGCGCGGCGCCCCCCGCCGGCGGCGCGCCCGCGTCGGGCGGCCCGAAGCGCACGCCGGGCGGGCAGCGCGCCGGCGGCGACTGCCCGTACGTGGGGTGGTACGGCGCGAGCGGGTGGCCGCCGCCGCCGGGCGCCGCCATCCGCCCGTGGTGCTGCAGCGCCGCGCGCATCCCGCCCGCCTGCATGCCCACGCCCACGCCGACGCCCACGCCCACGCGCCCGCCCAGCGGCCCGTTCTGCATCACCTGCAACAACTTGACGCCTTGTAATCAGCGGTCTCTTCCTTTTTAACGAGGGTAATTATCGAGTCCCTTGCCTGTATCTATAGAAAATGCTTTTTTCCGAACCAATGGTAATTTACGAAATTTTGTACCAATTTTCAAGAAAAATTAGACGTTTCGTAAGAACGCAACGTCTAATTTTGCGAATGAATTTCTAGTTAACTGACTGTACTTTTATTTTCATGGGCGACTTGACCAATTTATACAACATTCCTATTAAACACACAGTCGATTCTTATCGCATATTGACGGGAAATCAAGCAAACTTTGGATTTTTCAAAATGACCCTTAAAATTATTCAAAATAATGTTATAAATGGTATTTGAAAGATAATTATGTAAACTCAATTAGATAGAGTATACTTTAAGTACTATTTATCACCTCAGGCACAGTCTTAAAACATTGTATACAAGAACAGTATCTTCTACTTACTTGGGCGTGCGGGTGATGAGGCGCCGATCCATGATGATTGTTAGTCATGAGCGTGGGGAGCTGCTTATTTACATTGTTAATTATTCCACTGCCAAGCATCCCAGCACCAGTCATGTTACTGTTTGTCACAATCATATTGCCTCCAACATTTGCTACATTCATTCCACCTGGAACAAATTAATTACATATTCAGCTACTAATTGAAAGAAATTTTAAAATTTTTATAATTGCCACATAGGCAATTATAAAAATTTTACATTTGTACAACTTTAATTAAATACACAGATACAGGATAAGTTTATAAGAAAAGTTGTCTAGTATTAATTTTTTGAAACTTTATCCAATTTTATTAAAATAGATACATCCATCAAGGACAACTTTAGTATCATCTTTATGAGCTTAAGTAAAAAACAGTGGTCAACTCATGCTGCTGTAAACACTGGGACAAATTTGTTACTGACTCAGGTCTACACCACAATCCTTAGCACTTTCACAGTTAAAGATAATTGGTCTTTGCCAATTTTCACAAAATTTTTATTTATAATTAATTGACAGAAAATATGAACAGAGTTAGTCACTTATAAATGAAAATATGTACCTTGGATGGAACTCATGGGCATATTTGAGTGCAGTTGATTGGGATGACTTGTATTTGGCATTAGCTGCGGGTGCAGGCTACCCATCAGGTCCTTAGAAACAGACACATTAGGTGGTGACTGCAAGTTTGGGCTCTTGCTCCCCAGTGTGCCCAATCCTAATGGATTGTTGTGGCCAACTAAACCACTCTTGCCCTGTGAAAAGACCAGCAAACGACATAATAATTTTATTAGTATTGCTTTGTAAAGTGTATACTTATATATTAAAAAAACAAAATAGGTATGATAAAACAATTATAAAATGTTTTATGATGCTAGTTAAAGTTAGTTTTTAAAAAACAAAAAAATAAAGAAATGTTATTTGACAAATAATAATTAATCAATGGTGGTACATAAAAATTATATGATTGTGATATGCATGCAATGGCAGGTAGGGCAATCCTTCAGTCCCAGGTACTCACTTGTTGTATCAGATGATTGTTAATCTGTCTGTGCATAGCTGCTGCAGGGTCATCCCCATTGAGCTGCTGCTGCGGCGCCATTTGCGCCCCAGGACCAGGCCCCTGTGCCGGTGGCTTGGGGCCAGTGACACCAGGCTGTTCACCCCAGGACCCCGCCATCAACTCATCAGGGAGGTCTTTTTCCAGGTCGAACATGTCGAGGTTCGAAAACCCATCTACTGGAACAGTCAATGCATATTTGGTACATCTGTTTCTCAGTAATATGTAATCGCAAATGACAACAATATTATAATTCTACTTGTCTGAATAATGTAGATACACAATATCTATGAGAAATCATAGAAGTTCATAATCAGAGAAATCAAGTCATTTTCATAGAAGTTTCATTTCATAAAAAAATATAAACCGTTTTTGATTTATATGCAATTCGTTTTCATCATCATCATCATGGTTATATTTTATTAAATGATAAATAGGAATAATCAACATTGTTACCAAATTAAAATATTAGTTTAGTGGTGCTATATTTTTAATGAAGAAAGAAGAGAAGTCAAAACATTATTAAATGAAAGAAATGGACATATCAGAATCACCTATACTATAAAAAAAGAATTATCATATTTTATAGATGTTCTAGAAACTTCAAATTTATTGTTTAAGATATTAAATATAAAAAACATATTTAAATTGAATATAAAAATGGTCTACAAAATAAATATTTTAAAATGTCATCTAGTTATACATTCCCTTCAATGTCAACAATGGTTTCACATAATTCAAATATGATCTTGATCAAAAATATTGAAATTTAATTTAATGAAATATTAAGGAATTATAAAACTGATAATTGCAACACTAATTTTGTACATTGAATAAGGATTTTGAATGGAAAGAAAAATCCATCATAGCAATCATAACATATTTACAAATTATAAAGTTAGAAAACATTAAATATTGATTTATTGTAATTAAATGAATATTTAATTTGTAGAAATGATGAACATCGAAAGAAATTGTGAGGTATATTATTTTAATTTATGAACATGATATATTAATCATTCAAAAATGCTGCTAATAACTTTTATAAATGTTATTATCAAATTAATATAAAACATATTTTTCTGCCCTAAGGATATAACAACAGAAAATAATTGTTTTTTAATCAATGATCCAAAGATTAAAGCTAAAATTTTAACTTTAAAAAAATATATCAACAAACAAATCGTATGAAAAATGGTTACTTTTTATGTCTTACTTTTTTAATTCAGGAAACTTATTAGATTTTCTTCTAAAAACAAATGTTGTAAATAACTATCTACACTATTAAAATTATCGTCATACAACCAGTCAGTTTTCTTTAGACAAATATATTTTAATTGTTTTTGGCTGTTCACAAACTTTTTGTGTTAGAAATGTGTAAATAACTTGAAGCGAAATAATTACATTGGAAATTTTATTCTAAAACTCTTAAATTGAACTGACATATTATGTGAAAATAGTTATATTAAATTAAGAAATAAAGTTAAATTTAAGATATTTCTATTGTTTTTCATGCGCTTTACGCTCAAAGAACAATAATACGACGCAAAACTTACGAGGCGCTAACAAGAACTAAGGCAAAGTGTCAAAAATCACGACAAGATAATATGACAGAAGTGCCGTGAAATCCTCAATTAACTTGTAAAATATACACAAATACTCACCCGCGGTGTCTGAGGGACCCTGAAAAGGGTCCCTAATCATTTTAGCTCGCTTGTTAGGCGGCTCATCAACATGATGATCGGCCATGGCTCTGTTTACTAAACGTAAGCCGTCGTGAATATTTCGGCCCGCCGATTCAAATAACACTTTTATGTCTTATAACTTCAAGAAATAACATTTTAGAGCGATTTACAACCCATTATAATGTAATTCACCCACATCCCAATCGTTCGATGTCCTTCAAACCATTGAAGGCACATATTAAAATTTCTCACTCAAGTATTCGCCATTACAAAGCTCGGAATCGAAGAGCTACACAGACCCTCTCACCATCTTCCGTCGGAACTAGCACAATAAATGAAAACAATATCACCAGATTTTCGTAGCTTTAAAGGACTTATTTTACCAAACGAACAACACGATTTCACTTAACTCTTTAAAATATACGGAATGGTACAGTTTATGATAAAATGATGTAAGAAAAACAGAAAATTTACACGACAAATTCCGAAATACTTCTTAGTCTCTCCAGCGCAAAATGGCGGCTGTTGATGAAAACTTTTTCTACGCTTGTCAGAAAATGTCGGCCTATAAAGAGACCGCGATCGGTGATTGGACAGTGCATACCACGTGACCACCGGAAGTGCCGATTTGACGCAGGATCGGTCCAATTTTTCTGACGTCACTGCGTTCAAATGCGAACATTGCCGAAGATTCCCGAAGGCGATTTGTGCTAATTTAATACATTTTATAAAGCTAAGGTCTCCCAAAATTTATGAAAAGACTTTCAATAAAATGCAATAATATAAACATTCCATAATTAGCAAGGGTTTTTACTTCATATGTTTGAATATGTAATTAAAGTTCTTAAAACTTAAATTTCCCTCCTAAACGGGAGTGGCAATCATCAATACGACGTGTCTTGATCTATGGTTTTTAGATTACCAGAGACAATATGTATTGTGTTATAAATTTAGTATATGAACAAGGAAACATTCAGCTATCGCATTATAAAGTGGAATCTCCTTAAATTGTCATGTCAAACTGCAAAAAATAATTGAGCTATGAAGTTTTCAAGAGTTTCAAGATACAAGGAATTTGATTGATAAAATTTTGACTTAAACAGGCAAAATTTCTAAGTATTTTGTTTGAGTGTTAGTTTAATGTCGACCTAACTTTAATGTTCCATTTCAAATGAAATTAATTATAAACTCCACAAGCATTTTAACAAAACTGTGAGTTTATAATTTATTAACAATATAATTTATTAATAACAAAATTAGGATTGATTTAAGTTTAAGGAATTTGCAGATTTTTTTATCAATTGATAATAATTAATATGATTTATTATAATTGTTAACAGCCAAATTTTCTGGCAGTGAATACTTAGAAGAAGTGGCTAGAGAAGAACCGGCAAAAACTCTCATATATTTTTTCAAAAGTATTTAAGTATAAAATTAGCGGGAGCCAGAGGACTTGCAAGCGCAGAGCAAGAGTCATTTCCACACATAAGGATGTAATAGGCGCATTCCATTAAGTTAGCTTTAACAAAATGTTTGAAATTATTTACACTTAATTATTTGTGGATTACACTACCAGTTACTATCATTTATAATATACGATTACGATTTCGTTCACTAAACGAATACTTGATTCGTGATTGAAAAGTTTAAACGAAATTAGAACTATAATTTGTCTTAATTAGTGAAATTTCTATTCTGTTAAAATAAGATTTTATAAATATATTTTTTTTTTTGTATTTTCATATCACTGTTCATTGGATTAAATTCTGAGCATTATTTATTCAATGGATGCAAGCAAGATAAGTCTAGCTGGAATAGAGAAACATCAGGCATCAGGCAGCATTAAGTTTTTGAAGGCTTTTTAGTAAAAGTATACTATTAACGAATTAAGAAGGAAGTTAGATTAGAAGAGTCTAAATATTTAAACTTAGAGAAAAAAAAGGCACATTGATATAATATACATAAAATGGTTAGGTCTTTTGATTCTCTTTAGTTACAGTTGTTAATAAAACAACTTGGTACGATTTTTTATGTATCACACCGTTCTTTTAAACATATTACCGATTATGTAAATAAACAAACATTATGTAAAAATAAGTACTAGTTTATAAAACACCTTAATATTATCGACATGATAGTTTACATTCCAGACTTAGTTATTTACTGATATGAATAAACGTCTGAAATAATGTGAAAATTAAACAGTGAAAGCAGTATGATTATGACAGTGAGTGACAGATTAAAAAAAGTTTTACTGTTTAGTATTTACTATTTTCAATAATGTCGATTTCCCTCTACTCAATAATATAAACATATTGTGTGTAAACAATGAGCACAAAACTGAAACTTCTAATTATTGATAAGGTTAGTTCAGTTATTAATAACCTTAATTATTTAAGGTCATAATTTAGTACTATTTTTCTAATGAGTGTTTATAATGTTTTTACAGATCATAAATAACAACACTAGCAAAAACGTTTTATATAACGCTAATTATTTTAATTCTTTATATAAACATAATGAGAATAGCTTTATATTAAACTTTGACAAAGCTGCTAGTCCAAGAAATCCAAGTTTGCATGATAACCACAACAAGTCAGTATGTTTTAGGGTTGACAGAAATTTGTTTATTAAAGAATTTTTAAGCAACTTTAAATATGTGAATCAAAAATTAGGTATGAAACAAAGTAAAGTTGTCATTGATTTTAGTTCTCCAAATATTGCAAAGCCTTTCCACGCTGGACATTTAAGATCTACAATAATTGGTAACTTTATTGCGAATATTAATATGTTTCATCACAATGATGTTGTAAAAATAAATTATTTAGGTGACTGGGGTACACAATTTGGTCTTTTACAATATGGTATAAATAAAAATAATATAAAACTGGAAGAATTGCAAAATGATCCTATAAAAAAACTGTATGATGTATATGTAGAAGCTAATAAAATGTCTACTTGTGATGAAAATGTTCTAAAAGATGCCAGAGAGTATTTTGCTAATATAGAGCAAGGCCGGACAACCTTGGGAAGTTGGAGAACAATAAGAGAAATCACAGTTAAAGAACTGCAAAAAGTTTACCAAAGATTAGGAATTCAATTTGACTCTTATCATTGGGAGTCTGACTATAATAGTAATGCTATTAAAGGAGTTATCAAATTGCTTCAAGAAAAAAACATACTCTTTAGTAATGAAGAAGGCAAGAAAGTTGCTAAGTTTAGAGGAAAGAATATAACCGTTTTAAAAAGTGATGACTCAACATTATATCTTTCTAGAGATATTGCAGCTTTGCTGGATAGATATAAGCAATATAAGTTTGACAAGATGCTCTATGTTGTTGATAATGCCCAAACAGACCATTTTGCAGCAGTGTTTGATATTGTCCGACAAATTAATGTAGAGTGTGCTGACGCTTGTGAACATATAAAGTTTGGAAGGCTTAAAGGAATGAGTACAAGAACTGGGAATGTTATATTTCTTAATGATATATTGGATGAAGCTAAAAGAAAAATGCAAGAGAAACAACAGGCATCAAAAAGTAATACATTTTTCAATTCTATCTGTGTATGTTACCTTATAAATTAGCCTAATCAATAATAGAGTGAAATTATGATACTAGAAATACCTTTATAAATTACTGTTTTGATAAATGTAGTAGTAGACAAACTCTTGTTCCTGATTCATGTTACACATTTCCTTCCTTTTACTTATTTTTACTTATTTAAATCAAATTAGATTTTTAATGATAGGGTAATTTTTTTTTTAATTAAAAAAATGCACAGCAACTGATTAAATATTACCCATGGCATAAAATTGTAACTTCTTCTTCTTCTTTTCTTTTTTGGCGGTTTTCAATGAATACACCAATGAACACTTCTGGTTGTTTATTTTTGCCTAACTTTTATAAAGAAATGATGAAGAGGATGATATTATGAATGTTAAATATGTATATTTTTATAAAAAATTGTAAAATTGCAACTTTTACTGACATTAGAATTATGTTTTTCTATTCACAGATACAAGAAATTCTGCCATGAATGAGGAAACATGTGATATATTAGGCATAACTGCTGTTGTTATAAATGATTTAAAGCAAAAGAGGCAAAAAGACTACATCTTTGACTGGGACAGAGCACTGCAAAGTGAGGGTGATAGCGGAATAAAACTTCAATACCTCCACTGTAGATTGCTGAGTTTGGAAAAGAATTGTGGTGTAAAGATTCCTAATGATTGTATACCTGAATACCTCCAAGAAGAAGTTGTTGGTGATGTTGTAGCAGAGTTAGCTAGGTTTGAGGACATTTTACATAGAGCATTTGTCGAGAGTGAAGCATGTATTATAGTCAACTACCTGTTTCGTTTAGCAAGATATGTTAATAGGATGTTTAATGAGCTGAATGTAAAGAATGAATCCGGTGATGTTGCATCCCAGAGATTACTAGTCTTTCACAATGCTCGTATGGTTGTGAAAACCAGCTTAGAAATATTAGGAATAAGGCCATTGAATGAAATGTGAAATGTTTATTTTATTTATTACAACCTTTATGTCTTAAAATTACATTGTTGGTGTATTACTGTCATCATTAGTCATACAATCATTATTTACTTTTTATATTTAGAGATTTAAAAAAGATAATATGCAGGCACCGATTGGAGTCGAACCTGCACCATTCAGGTTCTGGTCGAGATACTCTGGCTTAGCGGACATATCTTATTATATGTCATGTCTTAAGTTACGCTTTCAGTTTGGAGACTATATAAAGCATCATCTAATAATGAACCCTTGTAAATGTTAGTTTCCATGAGTTGGTTGGAGCCTAAGTAAATGACTATGTTGACTACGCATGTTTGTGCATGCCCTGGTTATGTGATGGGGTTCTCAAAGTAGGGTGTGTGAACTGTCCACTATATGGTTACACAGTGCTCGTAGAGGGCGTTGTACCAAGGCCTCACAGTGAAGTGGATATTATACTTTCGCGTTTCTCCTGCTGAGTGCGGTAACCGGGGCCCTATTTTAATGGGATGACTGCCTGCTGGCTTGTCAACTTTTCACATAACTTTAGTTAGCACTAAGAGTGTGTAGTGTTATCAGGCAGCGCCCCCGATGGGTCTGAGGTGATTTTCATTGCCATTCCCGATCTAGTCGATGAAGACGTTACGCGGACGCATTGCAACAGTCACATTTGGATATATCTGTAGTCGCTATGCAGGCCGTAATTTTTTTGTTACCATCGTGCCCCAGTTACTATGCGGATGAATTTATTTTGTAAGATCTTTTCAGCTGACCTTTGCTCACGTGCGAAAGACATGCAAACGTATCAAGGTCGTGCTACATTTATTTCTAGTGAAGTCGGACGGAAACAAATGCGGCTCTTTTTATAACGTTTTCAATGTGGGTGCGGAACGATAAGTCGGTGTCGAACGTGCCCCCAAGATATTGAACCTTCTTCGTCAAACTTACTGACCTGTTGAGGAATGATATGAGGGTTGTGTAAAGCGTGAAAAGTAAAGGTGTGATGCCAGAACAGCGAGGAGAGAGTGCACTTTAACAAAAACGTCATATGAGAAAGTGTTTTGCTGTAAAGGAAGCACGTTAGAACAATGTAAACAAGGTGGATAAGATCGAGAATTTCGCGTGGTGAGATTGTCGTCTTCTTAATCTAGTGGTCAGTGCGCTTCAATGCGTAATCTGGAAACCGCAGCTGAAAAAGCTGGCAAAGACGAACATATTGCAGTCGTGTTGTTATTTTCTTTATTTTTAACAACGTAGTAACTACCTAAGTTGCGTTTGCGCTATAGAATTAAGTCTTTTTAACGAGCTATAGTCATAAACACTGTTGAATTATTCAACCTAGTTGATTCATAAATGTTAAACTTAAATGCTTTGACGGAATATCAACAATGCATTTAGCATTTTCGTTAATTTAACGCCTATCGATAGTTTTCGGTGGTATCGGGGAGTGTGACTGTGAATGTGAACCGTTGCTGCAACTCGAATGAGTGGCGCTTAAGGGCAAACCCTGGAAGCGCTCTACGGCTCTTCTGGAGAGTAATGGCACCACATTTCTTGCCCTGAATGTAATGTGACGTCGGTCTATAGTCTGTACTTATAACTATATAATTATTCATTAATCTTAATATGTTATGAAACATGCAACTGGTTTAGGTCACAAACTAGTTCTTCCTTGAATATAACGCATGAACAATTTCTCAAAACATATATTTAATTCGATCGTTTGAAATAAAAAAAAATATTTATTTGCTTATTATTCAAAATGTTACTTATTGGATATATTATTCCGCCATCTAACTGAATTTCCTAGGGCCATGATCAGATCCCAAGATTTAAGTTTATAATTCCTTATTCCGTATCCACATACGGGATCTAAATGTTTTACAAATTATTATTATTTAACCATAGATATATTTCTTTAAATCCATTGCCTATCGCTCTATCGTCTGCTCGTATCTTTTGAAGAAATATTTTTTTTTATGCGAAAAGTTGCCAAACGAGCAGACGGGTCACTTGATTTGATTCACTTAGAATAGAATACCGCCGCCCATGGACATCAACTACACCCGAGGGTTACAAATGCGTTGACAACCTTCTTAAAATTGGGCTCCGGCTACCTCACTCACCAGACGAAACGCGAAAGTATTTGTCATACTTCCACTTCACGCTGGTCTTCTGTGAGGTCGTGGTACTTAAATGTTAAAATTCTGTTTACTTTGCTATCTTTCATTGGAACAAGTTGTCAGTAGATGGCATTATTAGAAATTAAACGTAGGTTTTAGGCGCACAAGCTTTGGTTTTGGATCATTAGGGTTGATAAAAAATTATGGATGTTATGACGTACCGATAACAACACGGTTGCGAAATAATATATATGTAGAGATAATAAGTACATTTTTTTTGTTTTTGGAATTTGAAATAATTAAAAAAGTGATAGTATAGATAAAGTTGATATTATGTTACAGCTCGACCGGCTAAGTACGGCGATGTATCTGTAAATATCATGAATAGTATATACATAATTCAGTTTCGTCTTTGATTGATGGAAGGAGCCGGGTTGAACCGGAACCGAAATGATATTCATATTTAAATGATATTCACGGGCACCGAACTGCAACTCGTTGGGCATCTCTCCCAAAATGTTCAATATTATTAAGTCACATTAAGCCCGATTTACATTGGTCAAGGACAGTGCTTTACATGAAATCCGATTTCCATTCGTCAAGGACAGTCAAGTAGATTGGTCATGGGGGTCGTGACCCCCCCCCTGGGCTGGGTCCAGGACCTAGGTGGATCACTAATTAAAATTGTTAAACGTAATATTTTTAAATATTTATTTTATATATTATAAATATAGATTTTATGTAAGTACCTTCAATATTAATTTAAATTAATATAATATTTTTAACCGACTTAAAAGGGAGGAGTTTTTCAATTCGATTGGTATATTTTTTTTCGATGTATGTACACCGATTACGTTGAGATTTATGATCCGATTTACGAGATTCTTCTTTAGTTTGATATAGAATAGTTGCCATTTGGTCCCATAAAAATTTACCATAGTTTGGCCAAGTAGTTTTCATTTTATGAACATTTTTACAATATTTTAATGTTTGTCATCAAATCTTGCAAATTAAATTTGATCTACTTTCCGGTTAGCGGTTCAGCTGAAATTTTGTATACATGTGTAAATCGCGAGACAATGCAATATTTTTATGACATGGTGCTGATTTCATGATGGAGCTGGAAGGCGGCCAAAGGAACTTCGCAATGAAATGACAGAGCCTCATCGCGTTTGGGTACATTTGAATCGTATTGACGAGTAGTTTGTCTTTCATAGGTAACCAGGATCTAATGATGGAGCTCCATCTTTAGCCGTCCATGGACATATGCATAGAGTTACAGATGCGTTTTCTCCTTACAATAAAGTGGGCTCCGGCTACCTCACTCACCAGAAAAAACGCAGAAGTACTTAACGCCGATCTTCTGTGATGTCTATTCTGTGAGGTTCCTATGACCATTCTGTAAAACTACGACTCAACCCCATCGAGTTTCGGCTCGTTTGATTCATCCTGGCGAGTACTTAATTTTTAGATGGTGACCAGGAACTGATCTGATGATGGAGATGGAAGATAATCAAATGAACTCAGTAAAGAAACAACGCAACCCTATTGTATCTCGGCTCGTTTGATTCGTCATGACGAGTTCTTTAGTGCAATATTTAAAATACTCGTAATTAAGTACATTCATTTGAACTTATCTCAAAAGTGCGTGATTTATGGGCAACTCATTTATTTTACGCGCTATCATTTATAACTTACACGCACACAAGTTCGTTTCAAAAGTATACGACGCATTTATGAATGAATACCGCATTTTCAACAAGTTCTGTTTTTTTAGGGAATAGAATGCCAATTTTTAAAACAAGTTTTTATTTCAATAAACGGTTATACTACCGAGTTTGAACCTCCTGTGTGAATTTGGGCACCTTTATAAAAGGCACCCTGTATAACATAAGATAATAAAAAGTAACGAATGTGTTATGAACCAAATAAAACTTTGCAAATCCGTCTATATATGACAATGTTAATCCCGAACATACTTAAAAAATATATAAACATCTGAATTGATAACCTCCTTCTTTTAAGTCGTTTAAAAATACCTGCTTTTTGTATCTATGATTATATTTTTTTTTTTTTTTTTTTTTTTTTTTTGGGCTGGATGAGCCACTGTTGGCCTTAGGGGCCTTCACAGATCCGACGGACTTGAGGTGGCCGGGCGCTCGAGGCGCCTAGCCTGAACCTCGCGTATTTACTATTACGCGTTATGGTCCGTCACGCTATTTAATTCACCGGTTTGGGAGGCCGCCTAGCTCTTAGGGCGCTTTGGCGGGGGCTCCATGGAGTGATCTGGCTCAAGGGTCCCCCAGAGGGGACCTCGGCTTGGGCTGTCACTCAGCACGCGTTTAGCATTCCGATTCGAGGGTGCCCGAGGGGGCCGGACCTCGGCTCGATCGGTAGCTGTTATCTGACTGGGTATGATTATAAAAATTTAAACTTCTTATCACTTGACCACGACTACGTGACACCCCCCCCCCCCCCCCCCGGCACCAAAGCTGGATCCGCCCTTGCTTGCAAGCTATGTTAACTCGCTACTGTCCGATGGTTTACATTTACACTACTGTACTTATGTAATTCACTAAACACTTGACCACTGTGAATCGGGTTTTATCTTTATGTTGTGTGATGTACGATATGTACATTGCGGTGTAGTGTACTATTATTTTTATTTTTAATCTGTAGCGGCTGATGGTAGTAGTACTGTTGCTTAGCAACATTTCTGGGTAACAAAATATCAATACAAACAAAGATTATCACAGAGCGTATTTATATACCTGAAGATTATTGCATCCATTCGGTTGATGAGAATGCTATACTTAAGTTTATTTCACTGTACGACAAAAGTTAAACATTAAATAAATGCAGATTTACATACAAAATCATCAATATGTCTGCCCCAAAGGTATTAATGCTATTCATTTAATCAATAAAAATTGTTATTATTTTATGAATAATATAGTTATATTATAGATAGTAGTAAATTATTGTCACCTAAAATATCCAGAATTTCTAATATCTTTTTTAATTGAAATAACATTTGTTTTTAGCTATTATATACTCTCGAACAACCCCATGGCTTAGGGGAGTTGTATTTTTTATGGCAGAAGGGTGAATCAAGATCTCTTCTTGCAACAACAGGTACAGATGCAACCGTAGCTATACATGATCGCTCCGGTCAATTAATAGAAAGGTTGAAATTACAAGGGTAAGTTTTTTTATACAAACCATAATAAAGTCTTACTAAAGAAATAATATTATAGACCTTGCTTTTTTCTGTGTAAATTTCTATTTCAGAATATTGTTTGCCTAATATTTTACATGGTTCTATGTTCTTGTTTTGATTTTGTATTTATTTATTTTTTTAAAGTATTCTATGATTTTATTTACTTTATATTGAATTTAGTAATAAATTAAATATCTAACACATTGTATAAAAAGAAATTAGTAAAATGCACAATCTTAATATTACTTTTTCTAAAGCTTTCATTATGTTTCAGACTTTGTGCAGGAATGCAATGGGACAATGATGGTGATTACTTAGCTATTATAAGTCCAAACAGTAATTCAGTTTTACTTTGGGAGTGTCATGCAAATAAGCGTGTCAATATTGAAACTGGCTTACGTGAATCACCTTCCTGCCTTGCATGGTCATTTGGAGAGCCATTGTTGGCTATAGGAACACAGAAAGGGAATTTGGCATTATATAACCATCACACTACTAAGTTAGTTTTTAATTATGTATTTTTTTACATTATTTTATAATAAATTTGTAATACAAAGGTATGTTAGTAATGACAATAATGTGTTAAATTATTGTAATTATTGTCTTCAGGAGGATACCAATTATTGGTAAGCATACCAAGAAAATCACATGTGCTGCTTGGAACAGAGACAGCATACTAGTATTAGCTTCTGAAGACAAGAGTCTTTCAATAAATAATTCAGATGGAGACACACTTCGAATGATCACTCTTAGAGATTTGCCAAATGACTTGCAGTTTTCTGAAATGAAAATGGATGAGAGGGTGGCAGGGGAAAACACAGTTAGTTAAACTTTTTATTTTTATTTGAGGACAATATGCTTAAAATTGGTATTGTTATTTACAATCATCAGGTTCAAAGTTTTTCTTTTGTCATAAATTTTTCCTATTATTTTAGTAAACAGACATTGTTATAAATTTATTTGAACTTAATGTTAAAACATGTATACGAAATTAGATTATGGCGTTACTGAAGCAGTAGTTGTGATTAGAAAAGTGTTACAATTATTGTAATCGTAGATATAACTGTTACAATAATTGGAACACTTTTCGATGGTATAAAAAATGATAAATATCCAAATTAATCATAGCAATTAAAATAATTACATCTTTTCCTCAGATCAGTCTAGTGGTTGGGAAACGGACTTTGTATCTTTACAATCTTCTTAATCCTGAAAATCCAATAGAACTGGCATTTCAACAACGTTATGGCTCTATAGTCTCATACAATTGGTACGGCGATGGTTATATACTTATAGGATTCAGTGGTGGTTACATAATATCCATATCAACACATTTAAAAGAAGTTGGGGAGGAGTTATTCCAAGTGAAGAATCACAAGGAGAATCTCACAGATGTGGCCGTTTTTGGCAACCAAGCGGCGTCTTGTGGTGATGGACAGTAAGCTTATTTTTATTATGATAACTTTGTAAATAGAGTTCTTAGTTTTTTGTGATATGACGAGTAAAAATGGCGTGTGAAGATTTATGTACAGACAATTTTATATTTCACATTAAAGATAAAACATTTAGTTGTTACAATATTATATTTGAACTGTAGTAGGCCACGCAACAGTCTTCTCTGTTGCACAATTGGTCAGTTTCGTCTGGATAATTAAAAAAAAAGCAGTGAGGTAGCCAGGTCCCACTTCATTAAACGTCGGCATCGCATCTGTACCCTACGTGTGTTGCAAATTTTAATGGGCGGCGGTTATCATTTAACCGCCAGCTCGCTTGCCACCTTCTCAAATAAAAGAAAAATTTGCTGATAAATTCATTTACACTTTGCTATCAGTTTTTGCAAGCGATGATCATAGATGTGCTATAAAATCACAGTTCATGACCATAGATTTTTGTTGGCATGTATTGTGTTATGTATACGGGCAGGGAGCGAGTTAAACAACCGGTAGCTTGCTATGCACTGATTTATTGACAGGGCGCGCGGCGCAGGCACGCATACTTATACATACATAACATATTGTATACTCGTTATTAAGTGTGGAAAGGGCGTGGCTGTGGTGGTCAATTGTTCGTGATAAGCGAAATAGTTAATTGGAAAATTTTAAAGTCCTAAGTACTGACGAAAGTTTACCTACACCGTAACGCTGTTATGGCATACGGAACCGCAGTGCGATATATTTATTGTCTGTTTAATATTAGCCCTTAAACCGTTCGCTTTTAGGTTGAAATTGATATCGATTTGGGATAACGGGGAGGTGTCGGGGACCGTGACGCCTGCCGGGGGTGCCGAGCGGTGCTCGTGGAGCTCCGACGGCAGGCTCCTGGCGGCCGCCGGTAGGGCCTACCTCAGCGTGTACGTGACAACCCTACCGCCGCTCCACTCCGTCTACGGGACCAGGGCGCTGACGCTGACCAACTTGACAGAGGTCACGGTCTACCAGTGCATCGCGGTAGGAGACGAGCAGGACGCCGTGAACAAATGTGAGCCGCTCTATAATATTTCACGATGAGGGGGAGACGGCGTAAAGTGGACGTATAATACTTTCGCGTTTCGTCTGGTGAGTGAGGCGGCCGGAGCCGAATTTTCAAAAGGTTGTCAACGCATCTGCAACCCTCGGGTGTAGCAGATGTCCATGGGCGGCGGTATTCACTTAACATCAGGTGAACCGTATGTTCGCTTGGCAACTTTTCACATAAAATAAAAATAAAAAGAAGACGGCGTGAAGATGTGTGTGTGGGTGATTGGAAACGTTATAGACACGTTGGGCAATTTCGGGGCAAAATTCATAGGTTCGAGTCACATAGGGCGTCACCGACGCGCTAATCACTCACCAGACGAAACGCGAAAGGATTATACTTCCACTTCCACTTCACGTCGGTCTTTTGCGAGTTCTATGTACTTACCTGGACGAACGTGCTCATTCGCCCAGCAGTGAAGACTTGCGTGGTCTTACTACCGTAATTCTATTGTTGTTTCAATTTAAATCTATCAAAAATAATTTTGTTTATTGGTTTAAATTGTCAGGTATGAGATAGATCGTTCGCAACTTAAATTAGTGTTTTGTGACTTTAATTATCCATCTATTATTTAATTATCCGCCTTCGAATTTCGCCATAAAGATAATTCATCAACAGTTATATCGCCATTTTTTTTTTCACTGCGATCGGCGGCAGTCCCCATGACAGCTTATAATTTTTTTTGATGTATTGGGTGAACTGAGAATGCGCGGGAAACGTCGCACGTATTGAGCGTGACGGACGGCTGTTGTTAGCAGGGTTGGATTAAGGTACATTAAAAAAAAATTAAAAAGGTAAGCTATATTTTTTTTAATTTAACACATTCATTAATATCAACAACAGTTTATGCAACTATACTATACAGCGTGTCGTTACAACCGCGACAATAAATTATCACACGTCTAACGCTATTTGCCAATAATCACAACAAAATATAAAACGTTAAAAAAATATATTTTTCAAACTAATTAAATAAAAAAGAAACAAAATTTGTAACATCCCATACAACTACAACTGACTGATTCATACAATCAGAGACGTTTTCATTAGTTTCATTCAATGAATTTAAAAAGAGATAAACATATTGTTAGAAGGAGAGACATGTAACGTTGTGGAAACGAATGAAAAAGTCTCTGAATGTATGAATCAGTCAGTTGTATTTGTTTAGGATGTTACAAATTTCGTTTCTTTTTTATTTAATTAATTTGTTTGAAAATCATTACGGATTTTATTAACGTTTACATTTTTATGTTCATGTGTTGTAACACCGTGCTGTATAACCGTTGGCGACGTTGTTTCTTTTTTTGCCATCTCGCCTCTAGTCGAGCGGCGAGAGTGAAAATACAGTATAAACACTAGAATTGTACCGCAACCAACCGCGGGTGTTAGGCGAGCCGGTGGCGCTGGGCTCGTACCGGCTGCCCGCGGAGGCGTCCGCCGTGGCGCTGGGCGCGGCGCACCTGTGCTGCGCCAGCGGCGCCCACGCGTGGTACCAGCCGCTGGGCGGCGGGCCGCCCGCGCGCCGCCTCTACCCCGCCGCCGTGGACCGCGTGCGGATGGCCGGGGACTGCGCCGCCGCCCTCTTCCGCGGGCGCGCCATGCTGCACTCGGTCAGTGTTGGTCAGTGTTGTTGTAATAAACAAGACATCGTAACCGGCATGTTTTAGAAATAATAACAAAAAAAAACATTTCGAAAATATGCGAAGTCCGCCAATCCGCAGTGGACTATGCCCCGATGTCCTCTGTACAGAGGAGGCCTATGCCCAGCAGTGGGACATGTATACGCTGATACTTTACTAGCTGCTGCCTGCGAATACGTCTACGTAGAATAGGCAGAGGGCGGAACATTCAGACAGAAAGACAGGTATACATAAAATATCGATATAAATTACAGCCTATGTCTTATTCTGATGTATAAGCTATGTTATTGGAAAGTTTCATTAAAATCCATTCAGTAGTATTTGCGTGTAAGAGTAACATACATCCATCCATACATACAAACTTTCGCGTTTATAGTATTAGTAAGGATATAATTATAATTCTTCTGTACGTGTGTATGTCACTGAACTCCTAAACGGATGGACCAATTTTAATGATTTTTTTGTGTCTGCAAATGGATTCGGGAAACCTTACTAACCAAACCGTCGATGCCTCACTCAGAATATGTCAAAAATTGTATTTGCATGTTCTTTCAGCACATGCAAATACAATTTTAATAGATAATGTATTAGAATATCGAAAAGTCAATAAAATTATAAAAAAAGAAACAAGTAATCAAGATATCCATGCATTGTTAAACAAAAAATAAATGTGTTGTTTAATATGAAATAATATCTCAAGGCTGGATCGATAAGGCTTCGGTTCAGCATTCAGCGTACTTGAGCCTTACTTCTGTGTGTTATTTGTAGAAGTCTCTATTTAATCCACTACGCAATCACTTATCACCGAGTTATAAAAATATGTATAAACCATCGATTTCAAAGAATTGACAAATTACATCCTTAAGTTATAAAAAAATATTTTACAGACCAGCAAGACATGATTATTTTCTTTATGTATTAAGAAATATCTCATTATTTCCCCCTGAAACTGGAAAATTAATCGCTTACTGGTCAGTGCTTTGACACACCTGACGAATTTTTGAGATGAAAATTTAAAGTAAAAACAATGTAATGTATTAATTTTCTAATCGCTGGTTCCCGTTCATATCCGAGGCCGTTATGTGTAGTTACAACACAAAATTTTTTAGCACCATAATACAGTTAGAAAAAAACCGTTAAATAAGAATACTACGACGACCCGAATGGCGTAGCGGGTAGTGCGCCTGCCTCCTGCGCAAGAGGGTGTGGGTTCGATCCCCACAACTGGAAAAATATTGTGTGATGAACATAGTGTTTTTCTAGTGTCTCGGTGTTTATATATGTATACTATGTATTTATTTACAAAATAAAAGTATGTTTAAGTATGTTTATCAGTTTTCTAGTACCCATAGTACAAGCTTTGCTTAGTTTGGGACTAGAGAATGTTGTGTAAAAATGTGTCCTAAAATATTTATTTATAATTATTATTATTTATTTAATAAAAACACAAATGTCAATCAAACCTTTCATATACAGTTATACATATTTACAGCATGCAATTGAATATTGTGTCTAATGCGAATCATACAAATGACGATGATAAGGCTCGCGTCCAGTTAGGTTTCGGAGCTACATTGTTAGAATTAGCTTTGATTACAACTTTATAATTGAAAATCGCAAAGGTTTCAGAAAATTGCCATTTATAGTTCATATCCTTCAGAAGAAGTTTCAGTTCAGATGAATGTGACGTCTTTTACGATGGATATACGTACTTATGTTAAGTTCTATATGGTAGACTAAAAGGGGATTATCAAAGAACTAGACTACATTGTGTTGCCGTGGTTCATAAACATCACTGGGGATGTCAGGGCTGCCAAAGTATAACTTCTTTTCCTCCTATATTTTAACATAATATGTCAGTGAAAGCCGGTTTCTATATTCCCATGCATAGCATGTGAAGTGTTATAATCAAGTTCTTCTATTTAGTAATTACTTCAAAACGAGAGCGGACCTTTGGCGCAGTGGTTATGTGCTTAAATGTTGCAGGCCGTGGGCTCGATTCCACTCGTTGCAAGTATTTGTGTACCAACAGTCTCCTCATCCGTGTATTTCTCCGTATAAAGTATACGGCGTGTAAAACCTTCCCATGTAGTGTAGTATTGTTATATCGTTTTAATAACAAGTAATTTTTTTTAGTAACGAAAAACAAAACCGACTTCAAATATCTCGCTCTGTAGTCATTTTATAATTGATTTTTGGGAGTTCCCTACGTATCACCGGAGCCCAATTTCCAACACCAATGAAATTAATACGGGCCCACGTGAAAAGTACCAACTTTCAAATAAAAAAAGTTGAAAGTTGACATGCCATAAGTAACACATTTCGAAGCAGTTTCTTGTCCACCGCAGATAGAACCACCGGACCCGTCACAACCGGAGCGTGACGCGATGAACTTTCCCGAGCCGCATATGCAAGGTGCGAAGATAGTCGACATACATTTGACTGGAGACTTCTTTATCTTCATCACCGACGTGAGTTTGCTCGATACAACTAGACTAATGTGCTATAGCCACGCAACAGTGTTCACTGTTGGACGAATGGGCAGGCTCGTCCGGGTAAGTACCACAACCTCACAGAAGACCGGCGTGAAGTGGAAGTAATATGCTTCTGCGTTTCGTCTGATGAGTCAGGTAGCCGGGCTTACTTTATTATAAGTTGGCAACGCATTTAGCCTTATCGCGGCGGTTGTCACTTAAGATCTGATGTACCGCCAGCTCGCATTCCACCTTCTCCCATAAAATCTCCTGTCTCTGTCAGATAAAGAAATAAAATGAAGTCAAGGATAAATCGATCTGTAACGTATGTTTAGATCAATGATTAAATTATTTTGTAAGACAATATTTTCTGGTGAATATAACTTGTTAAAAATATCGGTTTTCATGGATCATCCACTTTTACTTTCATCTCCGTTTAGTCTTTTTCAACAATTCTTGCAACTTCGATTGGCAAAGGTAGTCATTCCCTTTGCATTTGTCACATTCCGTGTTTAATTTTTAAATCTATCGAATAGAATTTGTTATCCGTAAAAGAATACTGATTATGAATCAGAAGCAGATTTAGAAATACTATTTTAACATTTTTGCTTTGTCGCCCTTGCTTAGTTTGGTAGTAGATAACGTTTTGTAATAATGTCCTAGTATATTTCAATAAATTTATTTAATCTGCCTAATTACCCAATGTCGCTTTGGTGCCTAATCATCTGCCGTTATGCCAATAAGTCGTGAATGGCTTTAGTTGTTCGGACCTAGAGTAGGGATGTGGGAGTAGATGTCGAAAAAATATCGATATATCGATATATTTGATTTTATAAATATCGATATTTTCAGCCGATATATCGATACGATACATTCAATATCGAAAATCGTTACAAAAGCGATATTTTTTCAAATCCGAATCCGGCACAGAGTCCGTAGGTGTCAAATATTTAATACTTGACATGCCTTTTAATGTTTTATGACAACGGGGTAACAAGAAACTAAAGAGAACATATCGATATATCGAGGCCGATTGGATATTTTTATAAATATCGCTGTATCGATACATTTCTTCACTTCCCACATCCCTGTACCTAGTGGCCCCCGCGCTCCGTTGCAGCAAGGTCACATAGAGTACTTCGGGGTCGAGGAGTGGCGGCCTTCGGTCCGCTACAAGCACGCGTGCGGCCTCACCGGGCTGTACTGCGACATAAGCGGGGCGCGCGCGTGCGTGCTCGACGAGCGCGGGCGGGCGCACGTGTATTCGCCCGCGGCCGGCGAGGTGTGCGCCGTCCAGCGGACGGCCGCCGCCAGTGTCAGGTCAGTGGTAGGGATGTCGAACAAGTATCGATATATCGATATTTTTGATGTTATATATCGATCGATTTACCCTAGGGGGAGTATTGTCCCAGCCCTGCAGTCCCGGGCTCATAGAATAGGGCTAAGGTCTGTCGTAAGAGGCGAAAGGCAGCAGCACGAAGTGGTCTCGTGCTGCTGCCAAAGAAGCGATCAAGTTATTTAAAATTATTTTTTATGTGAGAACGTGGCAAGCGAGCTGGCGGTTCATCTGATGTTAAGTGATAACCGCCGCCCATGAACATTTGCAACAGCCTTAGGGCTTCAGATGCGTAGCCAACTTTTAATAAAATGAGCCCCGGCTACCTCACTCAAAAGACGAAACTTAGAAGCATGACGCATCCACTTCACGCCGGTCTTCTGTTAGGTCGTGGTACTTACGCGGACGTATCTGTCGAAGCTGTTGCAGGAACGAGCAAGTTCGCATCAATTCCCGAAAGATAGACTCAGTTTCGTACTCTTCCCGTTGCAGGGGCGTCGTCTGGGACATCTGCCTGTCGGAGCGCAATGTCTTCGCCATTTTCACGGACGATTCCATCGAGACGTACTACTTCGCGGCGGCGTCTACGGACGGGCCGCACGTGGACTTCGTGGCGGCCACCAGCCTCCTGCCCGGGCACGTGCCGTTGATACTGTTCTCCGGCGATGTCTACTGCTACGCCAGTGGGGGCGCGTGAGTGCTTTGTATCATCGTCGCTATTAGTGTCTATTCTTATGGGAAAATGTTGTCTTAATTTACCATGTTGATTGTGGCAAACTCAAAGGTTTTGATGATGTGTCAGTAAATGAAGCATCTCTTATTCTTCTATTTTATGTGGTCCCATTTGAGCTAGAGGTTCATGTTATGATAAGTGTGGTCGTCCCACTCAAATTTTTATTTACTTACGTAAACGTCGTTTTTAACTCCAATTGACAAACAATTGCGTGAAGTTTCTTTAGATAGTACATAATAGAAGAGTTCAAAGTTTCTGGCCTCTCTGGACAGGTTCTATTTAAGTGGACCGTTTTTTTGACGTTCAAAAAGAGCTAAAAATAAGCCTATATTGAAGAGAGAAACTTCGACTTGAAGGGTGGCCAAAGTGGGCCTGGACTCGCACAACACGGCGGGGTTGGCCGACGCCGACGCGGAGAGGCGGCTCGCCAAGCAGCGCGGCCACGTGGCCAAGCTGCTGCTGTTGCGGCGCTTCGCCGAGGCGTGGCTGTACTGCGACGCGGTGGACGAGCGCGCGCTGTGGACGCGCCTCGGCGAGGCGGCCGTGGCCGACCTCAGCGTGGACTTCGGTGAGCGGATTCAGACTTTAGCGCCACGCGATAGGGTTCAGTTCGCCGCGGCTCGGTAGAACGGTGCGCCGCCGTCGGGCGCTGGGCGAATTTGTGACTTGTTGCGCGGACTTTGGGTCGGTTTTTGTGTATCCTTTGGCGTAGCGTTAGGTGTGTTAGCGGCGGCCATGGCCGATCTCAACGTGGACTGTGGTGAGCCGATTTGTACTTAGCGCCCCGCCGCGATAGGGTTGACTTTGCCGCGACTCGCGACCGACTAAGCGGCGCGCTGCCGACGGACGTTGAGCGCTTTGTGAACGACCTTGAGGTGACTTTGGTGAGGGGATTCAGACTTTAACGCGCCGCGATACAGTCTAGTTTGCCGCGGCTCACGACCGACTAAGCGGTGTGCCGCCGCTGGTCGCTGAGCGAATTTGTGACCGACCTCTAGGTGAGTTTAGTGAGCGAATTCAGTCTTTAGTGCCCCGCGATTGGGTCGAGTTCACCGCCGCTCGAATTTGTGACTTGTTACGCGGACTTTGGGTCGATTTTTGTATATCCCTTGACGTAGCATTAATATGTTCAAGGCGGCCATGGCTGACCTCACGGACTACCGGACTACGGTGAGCGGATTTAGACTTTAGCGCCCGGTGATACGGTCTAGTTCGTCGCGCTACGGTCGAGCGGTGCACCGCCGTCGGGCGCTTAGCGAATTTGTGACTTGTCGCCGGGAGTTTGGGTCGGTTTTTATGTATTTCTCATAGCATTATTTGTTGAAGACTGTTATTAAAACTTGCGAGGAATCGAATTTGAAATTGCTAGCGTTCAGTTTCGTGTAAGATGTGTGTGGCAAGCATGAAAATTTGCCGAAGTGATACTTGTTGAAAAAATCGGATTACGTTTGAAACTTCGTTCCCGACGGGGTTCCCCCAACGGTACAAGTTAATTCATAATTTTATAATGTGTTTAATGATACCACGTAATAAGTTGCGTTCACATCAAACAGCGATACGTGTTTACACACGGCTCAACGACGTCGCAATGGTCTGGGCGTTGGAAGACGCCTCTCAAATCGAGGAGCTTCCTATACTTTGGTAAGTATTGTTTAAAAAAGACAAATGCGGCACAGAATATATATAGAATATCAGTAAAATTTCTATAAAAGCTGGACCTGACTTAATTTCCGTGTCCAGAAATAAAATAAAATGAGATTGGAATGTTTTCACGTCTTAAACACCATTACGTTCGAAAATAATATCTAATTAGACACGATATTTTAAGAAGGCCAAAAATTATTTTGAGGTTCATCACCATCATTTCAGCCTGTTTGGGTCCACTGGTGAACTTAGGCCTCCCCCACAGACCGTCACTGAGCCACTTTTGAGGTTAGAATCAATTAATTATAATGAGAGGGCGTTACCATTGTTTTATTCCTCTGAACCGTTTTCTCAAAAAAACTTTAAAATCTATGCGCATAACCCATTACACCTATATTAAAATTGAGAAACATCAGAGAACAGCGAACCCCAGCGAAACAAATGAACAATTGAGTTGAAAATATATGGTTACATCGTTAGATTGCTATTAATAGTCGAACATATTTTTATATGATAAAAAATTTCTAAAAAGATATATTGGTTTATCGATTTAAAATTCCGACAAAAAAGTATAAAAATCAGAGGGAGAAAAAAATTTTGCTTTGAATAAAAAGTACTCATTGTTCTTTATTTTTTTTTAAATTAACTTTGGTAATTCTCCCTTAATAACATTAGATCATTAAGGTGTATAAGGATGATTATACAAGTTCACAGTTTGCGCTTCAGAAATGGAATATGATACTCTATCGATAGTTTTTGACGTAATTTTTTTTCATTGATATCGACATTTACGAAGAACATCGATACTTTACCGCGCTTCCGACATCCCTAACCGAGTGGTTGTCGGCAGCGGGACGCTGTGCGCGTGCCTGGGGCGCCTGGAGGCGGGCGCGCGGTGGCTGGAGGGCGCGGGGGGCGGTGGGGGCGGTGGGGGCGTCGGGGGCGCGGCGCGGGCGCTCGAGCTGCACGCGGCGGGGGGCGAGTGGGCGCGCGCCGCGCAGCTGGCGCAGGCCTCGTGCCCCGAGAGGGCGCCCGCCCTCCACGCCATGCGCGCCCACCACCTCGAGCTCACGTGGGTGCCACTCTGCGGAGCGACCGTGCCCCTTCTCCCTCCTTGCTTACATTCCGCCCTTCATACCTCTTTTTTAATTTTGTTTCGGGGGGGGGGGGGGGGGGGTTTGAGCCCTTAATGAATTATCTTTTTACAATATCTTATGTTCGAATGAAATAGAAATAGATTTATCATTAATTATTAAATTAAGAAATTATCTAGAACGATATATACGTACTTTATTTCATACAATACTTTACTTCAAAAAGTAGGTCTATTACTTTTCTATTTCACATTTTTTTTTCTTTGATTATTCAATATCCAAATTTTCAATTCAAAATTTCAAATTTAAAATCTAAACACAATACAAGTTTTTAAAAAAAATCAAAAAGCGCCTATCGTTATAACAGTTTTGTGTGAAGACGTAGGGTCTTATCGAATTTCGTTCAAATGACAGAGCCGACTATCACGAGGCACTCGTGAATTACGAAAGGAGCCTGATAAGCGAGAACGCAGAAGACGCGAAGGTCCGAGAGCACAACGCGAAATGCGAAGCCGGCATCGCTAGGACGGCCATACGCTGCGGTGACGTCATGAGGGGCGTCACCACCGCAATGAAGTACGCGCACGACACGGCCCTGCTCAAGGAGTGCGCGCAGCTGCTCGAGGAGGAGAAACAGTACAGCCACGCGGCAGCCCTGTACGAGCACGCCGGCAACGCGGAGAGGGCGGCCTCGCTCTACATCAAACTCAAGTCCTGGCTGAAGGTCGAGGCCCTCATGCCGAAGATCAACTCGCCCAGCGTCCACCTGCAGTACGCGCGCGCCAAGGAAACCGAGGGCCGCTACGCCGACGCCCTAAAGTCCTACCTCAGGGCGCAGGACCACGAATCGGCGATCCGCCTGTACCTGGACAAGCTGGACGACATCGACGCGGCGGTGGCCCTAGTCCAGGAGACCAAGTCGATACAGGGCGCGAGGGCGGTCGCCGACCACTTCCAGAGGATTGACGACCCCGCGTCGGCGATTAGGTTCCTCGTCATCTCGCTGTGCTACGACGAGGCGTTCCAGCTGGCGAGGAAGCACGGCCAGCTGCGGCTGTACGGCGAGATCCTGGCGCAGGCGACGCGCGCCCGGCCCGAGGACTTCAGGAGCCTCGCGCTGCACTTCGAGGGCGAGGGGGACCACCTGCTGGCCGGCAGGTTCTACTTCCACGCGGGCGAGTACGGCAGGGCGCTGACGCACCTGCTGAAGGGCGGCGGCGGCGAGGCGGCCGAGGGCGAGGCGATCGCCGTTGCCATCGACGCGGTGGCCGCCAGCGACGATGACAGATTGACAAGAAGGTTCGATTCTTTTATAGGTTTATTATTATATAACAATTTGCGCATATATGAAATTGCCGGTCTCCTCTTCCTCCAGTACCTTTTTTCACTGTTTGTGGGTAGAGAGTATTGTATCACTCACTTGCACAACAGTGTAAATTACTTTCTGCGTTACATTCACGCTACATGCTGCAAGCGAGGGCAGAGTGCAATTGCCGTTTCACTCATTTCACATTTTCTTCTTACATTTTTGAGATACTTGGACTAAATTTGGCTAAAATTTAACTGTACGGTACTTGTCTATGGATTATTGTCTATTATTTTTTATTATCCAATTTATTTATATGCCTAAAGGATTTGGAAATTTTTGGTAAATGTGAATTTTAAAACGTTTTATTTCGAATATCACTTGATTGCTGGTTAATTTAAATCTAAAGAATATAACATCGAATTTTTGGAAACAATGGTGTCATCGCCGTTATTATTAAACTATATCGACTTTATTTTGAGGTATATTCGCAGATTAATCGATTTCCTGTTGGGAGAAACGGACGGTACCCCGCGTGATCCGCGCCACCTGTTCCGTCTCTATATGGCCAAGCGACAGTTTGCCGAAGCCGCAAAGACTGCGGTGAGGAGTTTCTACTTTCTCGACTACCATTGACAAAATGGGGATAAGCTTGAAATGGCAGATAAGTTTGGATCGTTTTGTTCCGATCGAAATCGTCTTGTGGTTAAAAATAAATTTATGCCATTTTATTTTTCTCCCCTTTTCACTGTACCTTGAGATTATCATGTCTTACACATATTATACTCTTGTATAGAAAAGCTTAGAAAAGAGACGTTAAAACTGCATTCAACACCAACTACAAGCGACTGTCACTCTATGAGAAGAAAATTCAAAATATTGCTCAGTAAGGAACGCGCATTTTTAAAAAAAGAACTCACCTCCCCGGGCGCAGGTGATAATAGCGGGCGCGGAGTGCCGCGCGGGGCGGTACCGCGAGGCGCGTGACGTCACGCGGGGCGTGTGCGGGGCGCTGAGGGCGCGGGGGGCGCCGGTGCCCCGCGACCTGCGCCGCGCCGCCGCCCTCCTCCACTCCTACATACTCGTCAGTGCAGCCGCTCACCGCTCATCTACTCACATTCAATTCATTCATCTGCTCACACACTCATACGCTCATCTACTCACATTCAATTCATTCATCTGCTCAATTACTCATATATTCGCAAGCTCACCCATTCGCATACTTTCATACGTTCTAAAGAGTTGTTGTTATTACACATTTGACCAGTAATAAAGGATTCGTTTAAAGTTAGTACTTTGTATTTTATTTTGATGATAGGGGAAATCTCTGCAGCTTATTGTGTAACTTTTCACTTATATAGTTTTATTATTGTTTACCTTTTATTAAAAAACTAAATTTTGGACACAAGATCGTATCATAACAAATAAAACTGTAAAGATATCTATAGATAAGTTATCTGTTCTGCCTTTTGTTTTACGCTTACAGCTGTCACATTATGATACAATATTACAATAACTGCTTAAAGATTTTTATAATATTTTCTGTTGTTTAAATGATATAGATAATTAAACTCAACGTAGACATGTCTATCCCGAAGTATACTTATTTCGAGGTAGACATATCTAGGTTTTATGTGTCCCGAACCTAAATATCTGTATCTAGTTTCATTCTTGTTTAATGTGCAAATTGCGATCAGGTGCGGACGCATGTGAAGCGCGGACGTCACGAGCTCGCTGCCAGATTGCTTTTGCGGGCAGCCGCCGAAATCTCCTTCTTTCCGACGCACCAACGTGAGTATCCTCTCCCTCTCCTCTCCCAGGAGGAGTAGTCTCTCCCTCTCCTCTCTCAGGAAGAGTACTTTCTCCTTCTCCTCACCCGGGAATAGTATCTATATTTCTAGATGCAACGTACAAACTATAGATCCGGTCCGGCCGCTCGGTTCCTGTATGTAAAACACGCAGAACGCTGTCCATACCAGACTTATATAATTTTTTTCCCCGAGAAAACATCAAACCCTTTAAAGTCGGGCACATGTAACCCACGCGGGCGGTATACTCTTACCGTTAAATAGACTTACCTTAGACTTACCTTAGACTTAGCTTAAGAGAATTACCTTCGACGGGAGATTTTGATCTGTTCCTCATTGGTGCGGACAGATCAAGTGTCGATACTAACGTCCACTGTGATCGAGTGCGGGAGGGCGGGCTTGAAGCACCAGGCCCACCACTGGGCTAAGGTGCTCATGCAGCCCGAATATCGCTCGCAGGTACGTCGGCACTCTCGACCAAAATCCCTACTTTTTACCCTTACTATCCTTATCTTTACTATCCTTAGCCTCACTATCCTTATCCTCACTATCTTTATCCTTACTATCCTTATCCTCACTATCCATATCCTTACTATCCATATACCTACTATCCTTATCCTTACTAATAGTATAAATACGAAAGTTTGTACGTATGGATGTATGGATGCTTGTTACTCTTTCACGCACAAATTATTGCATGGATTTTAATGAAACTTTACAATAATAATATACATCAGAATAACACATAGGTTATAGGTTATAAAGATATTGTTAAAATTGTCCATAATATAACGATAAGCGTCAAGTAAATAGGAAAAAATTCTGCCATCTGCGAGCTATTCTGGTCTATGATAAAAATTTATTCTTTATTCCGGGCGAGGCCGCGGTTAAATGCTAGTTAATGTTATATGAACGAACTTAATCTGGTTTCCGCTTCAGTGTATGCTTCTTCTGGCTGCTTTGCTGATTTAATTTGATTGTATTGTATGATACAATTTCTTTGGCAACAGTAAAGTTTTGAATATAGATGACTACGGACTAGTTTACTATGTCCGATGATTATTTGCTAACTGCGATCATTGAATTGTATAATATAAAAATAAATATTTACGCATTTTGTAATTTCAGAATTCGAGTTCAATAATAATTTCCAATTGATTTTAGTCTGCTATTATTTCTCATAAGCTTTGCGTAATTAATACCGTGCCACATTTACATTTACTATGCGCGGTGATATTATCCCATTTGTATAACTCGCCATTTGAAGGTTCGAAGACAGGGGATTGGCCGTTGGCAAGATTGTGGTCCAGAGATATCGTGACAGCCTTTTCATGGTTTACTAAGATTATTATAGAGGATCTATACAAATGTAAAGTTTTAGATGTATAGCATTATATATGCGCGTGCACTCCATACATGCAAGAAAGCTTTGTATGCCCTGTCCTCCCGTATATGACCCAAAACACTGAGACACGACGTACAGTAAAGTTAAGGTTAAAGAAAATATACTTAACATCTGTTAACTACGCCTTTTCAAAGGCCTCTTTATACAGGGAGGCTTTTTGAAGTGTATCCATTTTTTTATTAAATTCTAGACATAAATAATATTATAAAAAAAAACGATAAATATTTAAATAAATTCATTTGAACTAATCTCAAAAAGTGCGTGATATATGGGCTACTCATTTATTTTACGCGCGATCATTCATAACTTACACGCACACAAGGTCGTTTTAAAAGTATACGACGCGCTTATCACTCAGCATCAAGTGAACCGCCAGCTCGCTTGCCGCTACCTCAAATGAAAATAGATGACTCCGTGGCGCAGTTGCCAATTTATTGGCTTCGGCGTCGGGGGTCGTGGATTCGATCTTCACACGGGGCAACTATTTGTGTGACCCACAGATAGTTGTTTCGCATCTGGATGTTTGTCCACGTGTGATTTATGTTTGTAAAACGTCCGTACAACACAGGATAATGTTATCCTAAAGTAAGGAAAATGTGTTGAAAAAAAAAAAGAAAAAGGGTACACGATCGTGCGTCCAGATAGATCCGAAGTACGCAAAGAAGATCGAGTCGGCGGTGAGGCACGCGCCCCGCGAGGCGCCGCCCCCCGACTTGGCCGCACCGTGCCCCCGCTGCGACGCGCCGCTGCCTCGGGCCGAGCTGCGCTGCACGCGCTGCGAGGCCGACCTGCCCTTCTGCCTCGCCACGGTATTCGCCCCCCGGGGGCCTGACTGTTACCTGGCACCCGCCCTAAAGTGTTCTACTCTTTGCAAGAGCTTTTTATGTTTGTTCTTCTACCTCGCCACAGTATTCGCCCCCCGGGGGCCGACTGTTAACTAGCACCCGCCCTAAAGTGTTCTACTCTTTACAGGAGCTTTTTATGTTTGTTCTCTTGCCTCGCCACGGTATTCGCCCCCCCTGGGGCCGACTGTTAACTGGCACCCGCCCTAAAGTGTTTTACGCTTTGCAGGAGCTTTTTATGTTTGCTCTCTTGCCTCGCCACGGTATTCGCCCCCCCTGGGGCCGACTGTTAACTGGCACCCGCCCTTAAGTGTTCTACTCTTTGCAGGAGCTTTTTATGTACAATTGTTCTTTTGCCTCGCCACGGTATTCACCCCGCTGAGGGGCAACTGTTAACTGGCACTTGTCCTTAAGATTTCAAATCTTTAACGGGCACTTTTATGTACAATTGTTCTTCTGACTTGCAACGGTATTCGCCCCGTCGCGAGTTGTTGACTGTTAGCTGGCATCTACCCTTGAGAGTTCAACACATTAACGGGTCCCTTTTATGTGCTTGCCAACATTTCGCATAGAAAACCTGCGCTTTTGGTGTACACTTCTTTGAGATGCACTTTTTAAACATATCTTTCTTTCCGTCTCGCCACGGTGTTCGCCCATTAAAAAGGCGAAAACCGCGCCCATTTTCAATGGCACATGCCCTAGCTTCTTAGCTTAGAAAATAAACCAAGTTTAACTATATTTTACAGTTATCTCGTACCCTTAGTACAAGCGTTGCTTAGCTTGGGACTAGAGAACGTTGTGTAAAAGGGTGTCCTGAAAAAAAAATATTTACATTAATCTTAGGGCATGCACATCGTGAAAGGAGATCTCACCGCTTGTCCAGAGTGCGACTTCCCCGCCATACATTCGGAGTTCGTCGAGTGAGTATCGTCGCGTAGTTGGTAGAATTTTGGTTTTTGGTAATTTTAACTCAATTGGTAGGATAAAATTGCGTTATACCCATGTCAGTGATCCTATGAGTTCTTCCTTTGCAGTTTAAAAGAAAAACGCTAAAATGGTTATCTCATAATGGAATGGTGTAATTATTTAATTAGTAAAATTGCCGCTGGTCATGTATCCTCGGTAGTTTTTACATGGAGAAAGACGAAAAAGATAAATATAGTTTCTTAAAATAATATCACACCCAAAAATGTACCATTATCATCTCATAGGCTAAGTTTAAGATGTATTCAAATTAAAATATGTACATTAGATTTGCGTTCATTTGTGGAAAAAATGGGCGAAAATTTTCGCAAAATCACAGAGGAATCAGCCTTTGATTTTAAATATTATTGCAATTGCGAACTATATCTTATATTTCGAGCTTCATTTTCTTCCACCAGAAAATAGAAGGCGCTTTTTTAACATAGCAAACGGTTCGGTCGACTGTCCGTCCAGACGTCGTTATGGCTAGACACTAATGCGGAAATTGCTCCAAAATAGATGCAATCGTTTCGATATTGCTTTACGTTTCTAGAATACTCCGCGACGAGGGCAAGTGTCCGATGTGCGGCGAAAGCGTCGACCACAGGCGGCTCGTGCGAATCGACGACGCTAACGTATACCTCTACCCTAACGCCAAGGAATAATGTTCAAATTTCAACGATCCGTCCCCAACCGTCCATAGATTTACAAGCGATAATACGTCCTAGATGCATACAGTTCGTTCGGGATGTATTCATAAGAATAAAAAATTAATAATGAATATCTGCGTTTTATTGTTTCCGAAACATTTATCAACACATACCACAGTATCCATATCAGCAAATAAAACATATCTTTAAATGAAACTAATTTATTGATTTCATTTCAAGTTGAAATACTCACAAATCACAGATAATGATTGTAATGTGTGGTATGCTTTTGAAGAGCACTTATCAAAGATACGTAATTTTTTAAATTGGTTGTGTAGAATATTTACAGTAGTTGCCATTAATAACATATAAATATTAGAAATTATACCGATCTTGGTATTGAGCAAAGACCTTTACATTACATTAGTATAAAAGAGAAGGTAGTTGCATATACTTTTCAATACAATACCTTAGTATACAATCTTATAATGGTTTTTTAATGTCTACATGATATACACTCCTATGCATGCGGCATTTTTTTTATAAAAGTTAGAAATGTGTAAAGGAGTTTTTTAATATTACTTTTGCAGTATTTTTTTTATAAAAAAATATTTTTTAAAGGAGAAAAACTAACATACTGAACCATTTTTTCTTAGGAACTAAAAATAAAAAAAAAAAGATTTTCGTCTGCCGTCTGTACCATGCCAAGGATCTTCAAGACGTCTGCGGAGTGAACTTGCTTTGAGGAGTCATGAAAAAGAAAAACGTTATAATGAACTTATAATAGGGCACTTGCATAATATATGTTATTTAGAAACGCTTATAAGTGATGTAGCTTCGTTACTTTCCGCCTAATATGGGCGCAAATGCCTGGCGTCAAACTTCTATGAGAATAGACACCAAAATTCCAGAACAATTATCTGCTATTTAAATACTTGTTCCGTGTGGGTATCGAACCCACGACCACCCGCCGATTTTAATATCTTAGCAACTTCGCCCGACTGCAATTTTACAACCTATTAAAATTACAAAGGTGCAAAAATTAAGGGTTCTACATTTTGAGCGGTACATCTGCACAAAGCTGAAGCTGCACAAGAAATTTCTGAACGTTGAGTGGCTATTTCTGGCTATAAATTATTAAGAACAAAGCACAAAATACACTGATCTTAAGCTAATGCGTCAATAAATTTTGTTTATGCTATTTCTAGTTATTTAACTCGAAATAGCATAACTGGACACGTGTTTAACATCTTTTGGTCTTGACCAGATTTATGAAGAGCACTACTATCTACTTAGTATAATTCTATATTATGCTGCTCTTTTACCGTGATATATTTTTGACGATTATTGGCGATACAAAGCTGTGATAGCTCAGTGTCCGGGCGCTCGCCTTTAGTTCAATATACTCGAGCAACCTGAGTTCGATCCCCGGTGACGGCACCAATGAAGTTTTTAACTTTAAGTGCTGTCTTATCACGTGCTCCGCGGTGAAGGAAAACATCGTGAGGAAACCTGCATATTTTCGAAATAATAACAAAAAATATATATTTCGAAAATATGTCAAGTCCGCCAATCCGCAGTGGGGCCGCGTGGTGGACTAAGCCCTGATACCCTCTGTATAGAGGAGACCTTTTCCCAGCAGTGGGACATGTATAGGCTGTTACTTTACTTTTATTGGCGATACGTCTTTGATTCTGGACCCACACCCGTATATGTGGGTATGATTTTCAATTTGTTTTACGTTTTCTAATAAGAGTAAGAACGAACTTTGACTTACTTTACAGTAATTCTGGCGCAACGCCTCGGATAAATGTACCGCATAGCGGGCATTCCACTTTCCTTGGGCAATGGTCCCAATGATTCAAGATCACGAAAGTGTACTTGCAATCTGGTTCCCTACAACTCCAATTCTAGATGGAAACAAAAACAAATAAAATTCACAATAAATAAATTTTTTAGTTCCGTTTCAAACTTGATTTTATGAGAGCTTGTAGGAATTAATAAATGCACTTGTTTTCTAAAGACAGTAAATTTTCCTTCTTGTTTCTTAAGGCTCCTCGAGCGCCGTTCAATTCACAATTTTTAAAGTCTGCAGTTCATAATTTTAAAATCCGTGGCAATGCAAGAATATTTTCAACAAGTGCAAAAAAAAAAAATAAAAAAACGCTTTCGTAGAAAACCGAACAAAAAATTAGAAAATAAAGGTACCTTTTAAGGACGATATAAAATAATATTTTAATGAGAGATATTGGTAAAATTAGAGTCAATAGGGATTTATCTTATAAAGCACCCCAAGATTTCTTGTTAATCACACTACTTATTCTTAATTTATAATGATTGAAAACCGTTGAATGTCAGAGACCTCAATTAGTTTTACTAGATTTATTCATTTAATGAAAGTCAGTCTTGACCCTTGACAGATAAAGAGAAATTAATATCTGTTTAAGCGACATTTACCAGTGCGGCTTATTTTGGGACCCATGTAATGAGTGAAACATTATTAACTCAAAATTTTAATTCAGACGTATATTAAGACGACGTAGTTTTAGATTTCGCAGAGCCACGGCGCCTCGCGTTCGGATATGGCAGTTTCAATACTTAAAATATCATTATAATTCAGGCATTCAATTAACTGAATCACAGCATAGACGAACTTTTAATAAATGGTAAATAAAAGGTGGTACCAAAAGAAAAACAATCAAATATGTATATAAAATATAAGGGTACTTCCGTATTATCGCCCCCGCAGCTACAGATTTGGCGGTTTAGGTTAGGGCAAATGTAAATAAATTTAACTTTGGCGTAATTCAATTAAAATAATTTTTAAACGATAGAGAAAAATCACTAATGAATTTATCAACAAGCAGAATTCGGCGGTCGCTTATAGTTTTCGAAAAAAAATTTACTATAGAAATCCGCTATTTTTTTGTTGTCAATATGTCAATTCTGCCCGTATTTCTTGGTGGTCATAAAAAAAATAACCTAACCACGAAGCTCAGCGCACGAGCGGAGCTCCCGCCTTAACCTTCTAACCTAATCTATCCGAGTCGGATTCGCTCTGTGTCGGTTCTGTGACTCAATTCTACTGCGGTGGCGTTAATACGTAAGCACCAAAATAAGCATCAAAAACTCACGTTACAATTCTCAATATGTGTCAAGATTGACCGCATGTGTTCGCAGTTAGGCAGAGGGCAATCATCCCGCACGGGCACCCACTGACGGTTGAGGCATATCCTTGCGTGCAGCATCAGCGAAAGTAGATGCAACATATCCTTTGTTACCGCCAGGTCTTCTAAGGATTTGTTGAACAGCAAAAGCTGCAGAAAGTAACGGATTTTATGTCTTAATAAATTGTCTGGGCTATATACAGGATGTAATAGAGAAATTTTTTTTTACAGTTTTTATCTAAATATAAAGCGCCTTTGACTACATTATCTTTATACAGCGTGTCTTTACCACCGCGACAATAAATTAACACATGTCTAACGCTACTTGCCAATAATCTTAAAAAATGTAAAACGTTAAAAAATCCATAATTAAAAAAATATTTTTCAAACAAACTAATTAAATAAAAAAGAAACAAAATTTGTAACACCTATACAACTACAACTGACTGATTCATACACTTTTTCATTCGTTGCCGCAGCGTCGCACTACAAATCTCTCCTTCTAACAGTATGTTTTATCTCTGTCAAATTCATTCAACTTAATCATATGCTTTGTGTTCATTTTACAAATGAACTTTACGTTACCGTTTTATACGTAAGGGTGTTCTAAAAACGATAGTTTTGGAAAATTTAATAACTCGGTAAATATTGATGTTGAAAGAATGTAAATGTTTAATACAATTTAAAAAAGTTATCCTCTATATGTGTGTTCATTTATTGTCGCGGTTGTAACGACACGTTGTATTTACATACATTACATACTATATCTTACACACTACCTAAAAAGTTTTCTAAGTTCTCCATCGTCATTCACTGCATGTGATTTTTTTTTATGTGAGAAGGTGGCAAACGAGCTGGCCGTTCTCCTGACGTTAAGTAATAACCGCCACTCATGGACATTTGCAGCAGGCGTGCTTGCAGATGCATTGCCCCCTTTTATTAAAGTGGGCCCCGGCTACCTCACTCACCAGACGAAACGCAGAAGTATAACACTTCCACTTCACGCCGGTCTTTTATCATGTCGTGGTACTTACCCGGCCGGACCTGTCCATTGGTAGAACAGCCGAAGCTGTTGCGTGGCACTATCACAGTTAAATTTGAGTACAACATTATACTGTGACTGTTTACTGTGACACAGCAACATGACTGATGTTGTGAATATTCATGAGTAGCAATCTCCACTTACCATCATACTCGTATGAACCACCGGATCAGTTGAATCTCTTTGAAATACAAATAAGAAACAATTACACAAAAAATATCTGAAATACATGAATAAAAAAAAGATTATAAGAGTAAATGTAGGTACTCACTCGCGGATTGTTCACTGCCAGCGGAATATTCTTAGGAGGGGGTATTTTGACTCGGAAGGATTTTGTAAGTCCGGGCGGATGCTCTACAAGGAAATAATCGTCGCCGTCTGCTATACCGGGCCATAAAATGTAGACCACCCTTGGCGGTTGGATGTCTGCGCCGAGGGCCTCGAGGCCATCCTCTACTTGTGGGGGATCCCCTACTTGTGGGGCATCCCCATTGTCTCCCACACTCGCCCAACGGAGACGAGATTCCCGAAAGTAGGACGTCGCGTCACTTTCGTCCGAATCGTAATCCATAATCTGCAAACGCAGCACGCCTTATATGGCGGATAAAAACAGTCGGTTTTGCCAAATTTATAACATTAAATAAGCTTAAGCTGGGGAGGCTGCTGGTTAGTAATGGCTACGTAATAGAATGTTATTACGCATCAATTATACTTAGCGAAATAACTTGCGCACCTAAGAGAAGGGTAAAAATTCCGAACAGTACGTCTCGTTTTTCAAGCTAGAAAAAAATTTTAATCGATAGAGAAATGTTAATAATTAAATATTACATACATGAAAACCAAGGCAAACACTTACTTTTAATAAAAAAAATATTTAAAACTTGTTATTTTCACTAAATAAATCCGCCATTGTGTGTTTGACAACATGTATAAATTTACGAATTCACACACTTTTCTAAATTATAACCTTCGCATTATTAAAAAAGAGTTTTTAAAAATACTAAAAGTACTGTTACACTAAAGTTTTCTGGGTGGTCATAAAAAAAGAACCTAACGAAGGTTAACCTTACCTTAACCTTCTAACCTAACCTATCCGAGTCGGATCGCTCTGTGTCGGATCTGTGACTCATTTTGAACCTAATATTCGAGACATTAAGTGTACACTAAGTCACAAATTTTAAATTTTAGAAATTGTTAATAATACATGTTCACGAAGTAGAAACTTGTGTTTTTGTGATATATCTGTGTATTTGTGTCTTCTTACAACGTAAAAAGTGAAAACGTAAGTTTTTAACTTAAAATAATAGTCTATAATGAATAATGGACGCACAGTAATGACGGATTTCAGTTGTATGAAATTTAAAAACTTAGCCTTAGCCTTCGTTGTTAGGTTCTTTTTTTATGACCACCCAGAAAACTTTAGTGTAACAGTACTTTTAGTATTTTTAAAGACTCTTTTTTAATAATGCGAAGGTTATAATTTGGAAAAGTGTGTGAATTCTTAAACTTATACATGTTGTCAAACACAAAATGGCGGATTTATTTAGTGAAAATAACAAGTTTTGAATATTTGTTTTTAATAAAAGTAAGTGTTTGCCTTGGTTTTCACGTATGTAATATTTAATTATTAACATTTCTCTATCAAATAAAAATTTTTTCTAGCTTGAAAAGCGAGACGTACTGTTCGGAATTTTTACCCATTGAGTATAACTTATATAATATTTAGTTATTAACATTTCTCTATAGATTAAAATTTTTTTCTAGCTTGAAAAACGAGACGTACTATTCGGAATATTAGCCAAATATTTTCATAAATATCAAAAACACACAAGATACAAACCGATTGTCTGCCAATTGATAAACTTCACTATGGAATAATAATTAACAATCCACCATAAAAGAGCCTTGGCAAATTTATTGATTTTTAGTGACGGGTCAGTTACACGTCAAAGTAAAGTATCGATATTACTTCATTTTTATCGATGTTCATTTTGTTTACAATTTTTTTAAATGTCACAAATTATATGCCACCACCAGACTACAACGCCATTCGAGGACGAAGGCGTGATGCAGAACGGCTGAATGTTGTGACTGGCAGCACTGTATAACGGATATGACGTAAACTAATAGAGCGAAGGGATACATGGTCGCATGGAGCAGCCGTCACTTGCAGTCTGGCGAAACTAGGAACAAAATTTTTTTCTATGGACTGTACGCGGCAATTAATGGCGGACATTGCTAGCACTCTCCCTCAATGCGGTTTCTCTTTCTTGCAATACAAGAAGTGCCATGTTGTTTGTCAAAAATTAAATTTGCACCGCATATTTTGAATGTAAATGCTTATTGCATTGTAAATTTAAATTGTTTAGAGTAAAATTTCTCACGAAAACTAGTGACAGGTGATCAGAGTTGTACCTTTAATTCAAAATGCCTAAAAAGACGGAAGGACGGACATTCGAATCATGAAAAAAGGATGTTTATGGCGAGATTTCTCTTAGATGAAGCCAATGTAAGCACTTAAATATGATACTTTGCAGCCATATGTAAGTAGAGCAGGCTAAGAACAAATAACATTAACAAATTTATCTCATTTAAATTGTGTGCTAGTGATGTACTGCAACTGTAATATCCACATATCGATTACGTTATGTTTATCGTTAATGTTTATCATTAAAAAAAATAAGAAATAAAATGTTGTGTGAAAGAGTAGGGGCACAAAGTTTTACATATTTGAATGGTGTGCCTACATAAATGAGCAAGGATCGGAATAGGTGAATTTAGCAGGATTTTGAAACATAATCTCTGTAATATTGATACGTCATATAATTAATTTCTTGCGCTGAGTATGGAAGAAAACTAAAATAATTTTTGGATTTTCATTCTATTTTTATGTTTCAATTATTTCCAGACTCGTGTACAGCGGGACAACAGCTGTTGGCTGAAGAATCAAGAAACAAATTTCATTTCAGTAAAAATAAAATTTTATTTTAATTAACAGAAACCGTTTTTTATCTTATTTCGGGTCCGTATTCAAGTCCAATCTTCTACCAAATATCATTATCCCCTCATCAACATTGGACATAAATACGGACTCGATTCTTACCTACTAAAACTAATAAAAAAATATTAAGTGGAAACCTCGGTTTCTACCTAGCATCTTTTATTGATATCGATAAGAAGCTAAGCTAGCTTGGTTAAGCACTATTTGACTCGTTACGTTGGTACTCATGTTCTTTGACATCTGTGTGGTATTTTTGTGGTATGGTTGGTATTGGAGTGCCGCGTACAAAGATCTTACACTAACAAAGTTAGTAAGTTAGTTAGTAAGTGACTAAGTGTAAGGTCTTTGGCCGCGTAAAGTGATATTTTATGGAAGTCCCGTCTCTTAAACGTAGTGATTACATTCTCTTTGGTCACTTGCTTTTCGGCTGCCTTCCCCCCGGTCGGTGATATAATCACTAGTGCTGCTTGTCGTTATAATAGGTGTTAATATTCAAGTTCAGAAATAGTTAAAATATTAGAATCAAAGTTATAATGTTTGATTTGAACTCTTATAATATACCCAAAATATAGATGTAAAGAGATTTCGGGTGAAAACAACAAATTAATATTATTTTTTTTTTCTTTTTATCTTAGCTAGTAAAAATGTTACTGTTCGTTTACGTATCGTGTTAGGCCTTCAAAGAAAATAAAAATTCCTAAGGAATGGTAACAAATAAATCATCCCTGTAATGAATAGAGTTAAAAAGAATTTTCTTTCAGGGGACTTTCGTTTTATTAAAATTTGTAGCAAAATGGATTTCTCACCGTCATTTTAAATTGATAGATTTTCAAGATTTAATTATATTACATTTAGATTTTTATACGAGTAGATTTATTAATAAAAAATTATTAATTTTTTTTTAAGTCGGTTAACGATATTTTATTTGAGTTCACTGCTCGTTAACTCATATTTATGTCATCGATGCAAAGAGTTGTGATTAATGTCACAATTTCTTCTGGGTCGATGGTATCAATGGGCGTTCCCCAGGGTGCGATTCTCGGCTCATTTACTTTAATGATTTACCTTACTTACTAGTGAAAGAACATTATATAGTGTTTATTCTAATATATTTTTTAACATCGAGCGACAGCTTGCTACACTTGACGAGTAAATAATACTACTTCAGAAATAGAACATTGGTTTATTGCTAATAACTTACGTTATAAAACAAAAAAAAAAAAAAAAACAAAGCGGCAAATAACTTTCTAACTGTCTTCACAAATATAACTTTTAAAACTACTAGACATTTGCAACACTGTCCCACAGAGAGGCAGCAATATATCTGGTTATGTACCAATGTTAATATTTCTGTTCTAGATTTTAAGTTTTGCCACATTGGTCCGAACGATATTATTAAGATTTAAAAATTAAAACATATAGGCAATAGATCTTATACCTAATCTGTGACAATTTACAACAACATTAGCCTAAAGATTTAATACATGTGTAGACTATTTCTTATAATGGTAACTACGATCCGCCATTACGATAATAGTCTAGGTACATACAGTTCGTTCGGGTTATATTCATAAGAATAAAAAATGTATATTGAATTTCTGCGTTTTATTGTTTCCGAAATATTTATATACACATAGAAATATGTAAAGAATTTTTTAGTATTACTTTTCCGGTATTTCTATCTTATTAATATTATATATTATTTTCAATAAAATATTTTTTTAACAAAAAACAATATTTACAGTTTTCACTTTACAAAAAAGGAACTTTCTAATACAATAATTATAAATAGATTTAGGAAACTATGAAGATCTTGGATCTAGGAAATATTGAAATTAAACTAATACCTTTACCATTTTTTCTTAGGAGCTATAAACAAGCATTACCGTGTGAATTTTGGCGGCCGTTAGCAACTTTTCAAGGATCTTCAACACGTCTGCGGAGTAAACTTGCATTTAGGAGCCATGAAAAATAAAAACTTTATAGTGACCTTATAATAAGGTAAGTATAAGGTATTTAGGAACGCTTATAAGTGATTTAGCAACGTTTCTATCTCCCCTTAAATCATTTAGGGGTAAAGCGTGACTATATTATATTGCTTTCTTTTTCTTTCTATCTGTACGCTGAGTGGCTATTGCTGGTTATAAATCCATTACGAACAACGCACAGATTGCACTGGTCTTAAGCTAATGCGACGAACAAAATAACTAGAGCTGGAATGTTAATGAATATTTGTACTCCATGTTAATGAATATTTGTATTCCAGACTTATGCAGAGCACTACTACATAGGTCACACTAAAAGTTTCCGGGAATTTGCCACTTACAAAAACAATATTTAAAAAGTAATTACAACATTTAAAAATGGACCTTTTTGCCTATAGAATGCAGTTTTTTTCATCTGACTGTCAATTGTTTTTACACTGTGGCGCCATTTTAAAAATTGCGTGTCTACATTAACATGGATTTAACTCGGTAAAATTTTCGTAGTATGATTTTCTAAGATTTTCAGTGTAATTTGTCAGTTTAGCAGAGCCTCGCTCGGTTTCAATCTGCTTTTGGCGTTGAAGCACTATGCCAGACGACTATTTATAGCTGGTTTGCGGAATTAAAGCGCGGTAATGTCAATCTCAGTGACGAATCTCGAGATGGTCGCCCGTCCACCATTGTGAACAACGAAAACATCGATGCTGTGCGCCGTATCGAATCACACAGGCATGTGACCTATTAGTATTGTTTCTTATTTATTCCGGAAACTTTTAGTACGCCCCACGTATCTTTTTTGAGCCCAATTTTCAAAAGGTTGTCACCGCATCTCCAACTCTCGGGTGTAGCAGATGTCCATTGGCGGCGGTATTCACTTTACATCAGGTGAACCACATGCCTTGGCAACTTTTCACATAAAAAAATATCTACTAGTATAATTTTATATTATGCTGCTAATTCTCTAATTACCTTGATATACTTTAAAAATATATCGTCGTATCGTGGAAAATATGTCGTGCGATACACTTTTTATTTTGGATTTACACCCGTATATGCGGTAATGATTTTCAGTTTGTTTAACGTGCTCTAATAAGAGTAAGAACGAATTTTGACTTACTTTACAAATAGTTTGGCGTAATGCCTCGGATATATGTACCGCATAGCGCGCATTCCGCTTTGGTTGGGCAATTGTCCCAATGGTCCAAGATCACATAAGTGTACTTGCAGTCCGGTGTCCTACAACTCCAATCCTAGAAGCAGAAAAACAGTCAGTGGCCCGTAACCTCGCTGACATAAAATTGGTAATAAAAAAAAGGTTTTTTTGTTCCGTTTCAAACTTGATTCTATGGGTGTTTCGGCTGGTTTTCTGGTTTTGTGGACAAAGGCCTCATTGGGAGACTCGAATTGAGCGAACGAACATTCGCTAGTCGCTACACGTCATTCGCCTATTCGTCGGTTGAACGGCGGCGGAGCAACATCTCTTGAAACTAGTTTCGATATTACTAATTATTAGTTCCTTGTGCTTGAAAGTTAATTGTGGTCTCAGTAAAAAGCAGTGCAGATCCGGCCAGCTGCGCAAGGATCGAAGGCGACTCGTCAACGACGGTTTTAGGTGAGTGTTCCACTAGACTATTCCGAGACCCAGACGAAAATCCAGACCAGCTCCGCTGTCTATCGGAGGTCACCCCCAACACCCCTTTTATGGTCCTTTGAGCCGGATAGGATTTTCGGGTTATTTGGGCTTATTTTTGGTAGCGGTATCAAAATAAAAATAATCAATTATATAAATTAAGCATCAAAAACTCACATCACAATTTTCTAAATGTGTCAAGATCGACCGCATGTATTCGCAGTTAGACAGAGGGCATTCTTCCGGCACGGGCCCCCACTGACGGCTGAGGCATAGCCTTGAGTGCAGCATCAGCGAAAGTAGATGCAACATCTCCTTTGTTACCGCAAGGTCTTCTAAGGATTTGTTCAACAGTAAAAGCTGCAGGAAGAAACGGCTTGTATTGCTTATTGTATTGTCTTAGTAAAAACTGGGCAGTTGCCTATATACAGAATGCAATAGAGAAAAGTTTTTTTTACAATTTTTATTTAAGTATAAATCGCCTTTGACTCATTCGACAACAATGATATTTTACATATTAGATATATAATATATAGGTTTACATAATCACCGTTTGAAAGAGTTTGACAAAATGTACTAGAAAAAAGTTTTTTTAATAGTTTTGTCAAAATAATAGGTTCTTCAGTACTGGCCATTTAGAAACAAAAAAAAATTTTGTAAATTCTAAATTCAAATTAATTTTGTTTTAAAAACATGAAAGTCGGTCTTTTGTTTAGCTTTGTATTTTTATTACATATGAAAATGTTTCGTCAAAATGGTTACTTTAAAAAATCGTGTTATTATGAATTACGAGTTTCGTCGTGGCACCAACTCGGCACAAACGGCACATAACATCAACAATATTTACGGAGAGAACTATACAAACGAACGCACTACCCGTTATTGGTTTTCCCGGTTCCAGCAACTTTACAATCGTCAGCGCCAATGTACGCGTCGAGAATGTCGAGACCTGCCTCGCGCTGCTCAACAGAAGAATCAAAGAGAAGGATGAGACATTTGGAACCGAATTCTTACGTGCGATGAAAAATGGATACTGTTTGACAATTTTTTTAAATTTTTTTTTTTTTTTAAAGTTGCCTTTACTTTAGGATAACATTATCCTGTGTTGTAAGGACGATTTACAAACATAAATTTCACGTGGACAAACACCCAGATGCAAAACAACTATCTATGGGTCACACAAATAGTTGTCCCGTGTGAGAATCGAACCCACGACCCCAGACGCCGAAGCTTTTTTTTTTTTTTTTTTCGTGGGAAAAATCCTTTATGGATCCCCTACCACTGAATCGGGGGAGTGGCAGGGGTATGTGGGAGTCCCGGTGAGAAACGGGTACCCACTGAAAAACCCACGTTGCACCTGTCTCTATCGCATCGGCCGGGGACACGGGAACACGTGGACGCAATCTTCCGCGACCCCGGCGCGACTATAGCCCTGTTTAGGCCTCCTCTACTGCATCGTGCTGTGCCGGTGCAATTGGCACAGCACACGTCTCGAGCCCCATATTGAGCGACAGACACCCCCATGTCTGCCGCTCAGGGTCTCGCTATCAGGGGGGAAGGTTGCAAGCGTAGGCCAGCCTCCTGCGCCCTGGTCTCCGGCGGCGGATTTCCAGGGTGGCAGTTGCCTCCCTTTCTCTCTCCGCGGCCTCCTTCCGGGTGATAATGTCCTCGCAATATGCGAGGACAGCACCCCACGCTCTCTCGCTGTTAACTATAGCGCGAACCACGGCTGGCAGCGAAAGGTCGTGCCCCACGATAGCGCATAGCTCTTGGCGCTGCTCCGTCCAGGCTGAGCACTCCTCCAGTGCGTGTTGGGCCGTCTCCTCGGCACCAGACGCCGAAGCTAATACCTTGGCATCTGCGTCTCGGAGTTATCAATCGAAAGCGCTTAGCAAGTTAGTTAGAGCCTGGGTTAGCACTAAAGTAATGCCCTAAACGAAAAATGATGGCTGGAAATGTGATGGTCACTGCTTGATGGTCTAGTGCTGGTGTGATTCATCACAGATTTTTAGAAAAGGGCATGAGCATTACTGCAGATATATACTGTGAAGAACTAAAGACAATGATGGAAAAGCTTGCTCATCCGTAACCAGCTTTGGTCAATCGGTCATCCCCGCTACTCTTTCACGACAACGCGCGATCCCATACTGCACAACAGACAGTCTCCAAGCTGCAAGAGTTGGGGTTAGAAGCTCTCCCTCATTCGCCATACTCATTGGACCTTGCTCCTACCGACTATTACTTTTTCCAAAATTTGGACAATTTTTTAGCCGAACAATTCCCGAGAGGCAGTACAAAATGCCTTTGAAGAGTTTGTTGCCTCCCGTCCAGCTGATTTTTTCAAGTACATCAATAAACTACCTCTATATTGGCAAAGACGCATCGCTTGCATGGTTGATTACTTTGGATAAAAAAAAATACCTTAACTTATTTCATACAAAACGGCAATTTCATAGGTTTCATAAAGACCTAAATAAAGCGCCTTTGACTCATTTGTAACCAATGATATTTTACACTATAGATTCATATCATTAAAAGCTCACCGTTTGAAAGTGTTCCTATTTCCAAACCGAGTGATAGCACACATTCACACGTTTCTTGCGAATTTCCATCTCTTGAAATACGAAAATATCTGAAAAGCGTGATTTAAAAAAATCTTATTATTATAGTAAAAATACTCACTTGCGGATTGTTCACTGCCAGTGGAATGTTCTTAGGAGGGGGTATTGTAACTGGGCTGGATCTTGTAGTTCCGGGCGGTTGCTCTACATAGAAATAATCGCCGGTGTCCAACATATCGGGCCAGTAAATGTAGACTACCCTTTCTTCTCCGTTGGCCTCAGGAATAGCCCCCGCGTGTGCAGGATCTTCATTTCCCTCGGCGTCATTTCTGTCTTGCGGAGCGTCTCCGTTCGATGATGGGTTCATAAGATCATCCGGTGGCGCGATTCTTTCGTTCAAACTGTTCTCCATAAACTGCAAAACCAGCACGACTTCTATGTCGGATAAAACAGTCGGTTTCATCAAGTGCTTTTGCAAAACTAATATATTGGGTAAGCTTAAGCTGGGGAAGGCTGCTGGTTAGTGACTAATGGCTAAAAAATCAAAATCAAAATCAAAATCAAAAATATATTTATTCACATAGACGCTTGCGTTCTTATGAAATACAAAAATTTTACATAAAAATTAATACGTTTGTAAGTTACCACCGGTTCGGAAAGCAGTTTCTGTTGAGAAGAAACCGGCAAGAAACTCAACAGTTGCTCTTTTTAAAACGATTAGTTTACAATATAATAAAAAAAGTATGTAATTTTAGCCTACGTGAGTATCAACAGCATTAACCCCACACATTGGCGTCGTCAAGATATTCTGCAATGGTTTAATGTGCCTTAGCCATAAGTTCGCTTTTAATTTTGCGTTTAAATTCATCTAGTGGCAGACTTAATACCGATTGTGGGATTTTATTATAAATATTATACACTTTGCCCCATGAACGATCTATTTACTTTTTTTAGACGAAACAATGGTGTAATTAATTTGTCCTTATTTTTAGTATTTAATTTATGTCTGCCACTATTCTTTAGATAACAATTAAGATTATGTCTAACGTACAAGAATTTACAATAAATGTATTGGGACGCAACAGTGAGTATATTAATCTCTTTAAAAATATCTGAGTGTATCCCGGGCTCCGATGTTATAGATTGCTCGGACAGCTCTATTTGAAGAATAAATATAGAATTTATATCAGATGCACTACCCCACAACAAAATACCGTACGATAAGATGCTATGAACATAACTAAAGTAAACAAGTCTGGCAGTGTCGATGTCTGTTAGCTGTCTAACCTTCCTAATAGCAAAAACAGCGGAGCTTAGCCTACATGATAGATGGGGACTCCACTGAAGCTACGTAATAGAAAGTAATTACGCATCAGTTCTTTCGCTAAGTGTGATAACTGCGATCTGCATAAGCTGCGAACAATAAAATCGAAGTCTGTAGGAGAAGCGTCGAATTATGCTTATTATTTATTTTAAATATTTTTAACTGCAATATTTATTTATTTATTTATCACCAACAACAACAACACCGTAACAGAATAACTAATCTATACCTTACTATTCTACGTTACCTTATTATAGGTAAAAACTACTTATTAACAGACAGTAGAGACAACCAAAAATTGTTACAAAACTAAACGTGAAATACGAACTTTATAATAATATAAACATTTATCTAAAAATACAGTAAAAATAGAAAAAAAAAACAGTGTATAAAAATATCGATTGCGTAAGCTGCTGAACAATTTTTATTTCGGCTAACTTCCTTTTAATTATAGTTCGGTTTATTTTCTTTAGTGGAAACAGTAGGTGATATAAGACATGAATACTTTCAAACAAACAATGACTGAATGACCATCCCCGAAGTATTGGACGCGTGCAATCTGTCGTGCCGTCATTTGACGCATCTAGGGTGAGCAAAACAGTTGCGGGCCGTGTTGGCACTTATGACACTGCGCAACAACGGCTGACTTCCGTGGAGGCTCAACGACGAGTTCGCTAAGCCTACAGAGCCTCATCAAATTAAAAAATTCCTTACCTTCCGGGGTAGGGTCTAACTCCACCATTACAATGTCCATCGGGACACGGGTTTTGGTGTGACGTAGGCGGCGAACGGCGTGTATCGGGTATTCTTGTCGATTTTTACATTGTCGACATCCGACTCTTTTGGGATGCCCTTTATGACTGCCCGAAGTTTGCGTTCTTCAGGCAGCGAGTAGGTATGGAAACCTACTTTGTTTTCGCGTAAATATTTAGTAACGCGGCGGAAGTCATCGGTGCTATGGAAGAAATAAGGTATACACGAATACCTTGATGGGTGTTTTTCGACCGGGGCTGACGAATATTGTTGCGTTCGAACCACACACAAATTTGATGCCAACAACGAACACGCCGGCGTGTGTAAGCTTAATAAGCCTCCCCACCTTGCGGCAAGGAGGAGTGTGCATAAAAAATAACAATAAATTCACCTGCGCTTTAGGTGCGCTTGGGTGAGTACCTAGCCGTCGCCTAATGCAACAAGCAAAGCACACAGTTAAAAAATAGGCAATGCCGCCTCTGAGGCGAGAAATGTGTGTAGAATTCTACTTACGGACAGGAAACTGCCTACGAGTACAACACTACACTAACATTCAGATCGATGCCTGGTACATCGGACCGGTCAATGTAGACTACCTCTCCAGGTTGGAAGCCTTCTCCGTTGGCCTCGGGGATAGCCCCCGCTTGTAGGGGATCTCCATTGCCCTCGGCGTCATTTCCGTCATGCGGAGCGTCTTCGTCCGGTGGCGGGTGATTGTTGTTCCAAGCGTTCCCCATAATCTGAAAAACCAGCACGACTTCTATGGCGGATAAAAGAGTCGGTTCCACCAAATGCTTTTGCTAAATTATTACATTATGTCAGCTTAAGCCAAGCGAAATTGCGCGCGTTCAATAAACATTTTGAAATTAAACGAAACTGATTTGAAAGTTTTTTTTATGTGAGTAAGTGGCAAACGAGCTGGCGGTTCACCTGACGTTAAGTGATAACCACCGCCCATGGACATTTGTAACACCCCTAGGATTGCAAATGCGTTGCCACCTTTAAACAAGTGGGCCCCGGTTACCTCACTCACCAGACGAAACGCAGAAGTGTAACACTTCTATTTACGCCGGTCTTCAGTGAGATCCTGGTACTTACCCGGACGGAACTGCCCATTCGTGCAATAGTGAACACTGTTGCGAGGCCCTACCATAGCAGCGTGGCCCTACAGTAGGTGAATACCTTCATTTTCTTTTAAGTATCTAGAAATGATACCAAAAATCGTTTTGAAATGCAAATACTACGGCTAACTTCCTATTAATCTTCTGCGAAACAGTAGATGAGTAAAATATTATGATTAATATCAAAAACGGCTAATATTCCGAATAGTACGTCTCGTTTTTCAAGCTAGAAAAAAATTTTAATCGATAGAGAAATGTTAATAATTAAATATTATATAAGTTATAATCAATGAAAACCACTAGATTATGAGGAAAAAATTAACAAAGTTTTTAAATTTCATACAACTGAAATCCGTCATTACTGTGCGTCCATTATTCATTATAGACTATTATTTTAAGTTAAAAACTTACGTTCTCACTTTTTACGTTATAAGAAGACAAAAATACACGGATATATCACAAAAACACAAGTTTCTACTTCATGAACATGTATTATTAACAATTTCTAATATTTAAAATTTGTGACTTGGGGTACACTTAATGTCTCGAATATTAGGTTCAAAATGAGTCACAGATCCGACACAGAGCGATCCGACTCGGATAGGTTAGGTTAGAAGGTTAAGGTGGGAGCTTTGCTCCCGCCTTAGCCTTCGACGTTAGGTTTTTTTTTATGACCACCCAGAAAACTTTAGTGTTACAGTACTTTTAGTATTTTTAAAGACTCTTTTTTTAATAATGCGAAGGTTATAATTTGGAAAAGTGAGTGAATTCTTAAATTTATACATGTTGTCAAACACAAAATGGCGGATTTAGTGAAAATAACAAGTTTTAAATATTTTTTTTTATTAAAAGTAAGTGTTTGCCTTGGTTTTCACGTATGTAATATTTAATTATTAACATTTCTCTATCGATTAAAATTTTTTTCTAGCTTGAAAAACGAGACGTACTGTTCGGAATATTTACCTCAAAAACACAAGATACAAACCGATTGTCTGCAAATTGATAAACTTCACTATGGAATAAAAATTAACAATCCTCCTCAAAACAGCCTTGGCAAGTTTATTGATTTTTAGAGACGGGTCAGTTCCACGTCAGAGTGAAGTCTGTAGTGAAGATATTATACTAGATTTTATCGATGTTTATTTCGAAGCTAATTTTGTTGTAAAAATTTTCGTTAGGTAAATGTCACAAATTATTTTGATCGATTTGTAATAAAGTACGATAAAACTCGACTGCATAAAGCAATACAATAACTTTAATATGATTTTTTGGGTGATTTTTTTCTATTTAGAAAATAAATAAAATGTAGGGTTTACTATACAATTGATATGTGTCAAGAATCCGGGGAACAGTGTGACTAGAGCAACACGCTGTACAACGTTTTCTAATTCTTTTTCATTCGAGTCTAACTTTTTTTATTTTATACGAATTGGATGGACCCGGTAACGCTTAGATTTGGTATTTTTTTTTTCATTTCAGTTGGAACTTCGGAATAAAAAGTATATAAAACACTTCTATTCAATAGCTATGTTGTGAACAAATGTCAAGGGAATCTATAGGCAATGAGCAATCCATAAGTTTTGTGGACACAAAGATACGGAAGTCAAACTTTTTATATTTATAGACTATAGTCCGTGCATATGTATGTTTATAATTACATACTATAGTAGTGGTATCAAAAATTTACTCAATTTATTTTATTTATCGCCTGTGGTAAGACGACCCAAGGAACGTCACTATCCGTGCACTCCTAGCAATAAAGTAAACATTCCCATTCGTGTATTGAAAGGAAATAATAAAGAAATAAAATTAAGGAACTTGATAGGCGTGATTTAAATGACAGCTGTCACCCGTACAGTGCGTAGTCGGAGAAAACAAGTATTTTTCACTATCTACGAGTGTCACCTACATCTGTAGAAGATTGACAGCAGCAAAATTACGTTGTCAAAATAGCGTCAGTAGTTCCGCTTTAAGCTTTTGGTCGTTTTACAGATAACTTGGTGATGTCGTTACTTTTGTTGATAACTGCTATTTTAATCACGCTATATTTTTCGAAGGCAATAGGGACGTTTTTCTGGATTCACTTTGGGTGCATTAACAACATATCTGTAGTATAAAATATCAATGTTTGAATTGAATTTCTCTAACTTTTTATATCATGTACATAATGCAATATGTCTTCCATTTATTAGTATATTTCTATTATTTATAGGAAAGTCAATGAACTTGAATGACTATTTTCTATTTTCACTGTTTAAGTGACGGAACTTACCCGTAGTTTTATTACAAACGCAGGTACGAAAAATGTTCTACTTTTATATTATTAATGTGACTACTTACACAATTTGGTTGGATATCTAAAAATTTAACAGAGTTATTGGTAATCGTGAATGGTAAAAACCTTTAGCCTTACGCTATGACGTAGGCGAACAAAAAAAAAATAAAAGAAGGCGATTGCGAACTGATCCAATTTTTTGTCTAAAAAAATGGTTAAAAAACATGAAGACTTACAGGTAAATTTACATAAAGGAAAATAAAACAAATTATTTTTCACACTATTTTTATTATGATTTATTTTTAAAATTGCATTACATGTATTACGCGTATATTTAGTTATAGTTCAAGTAATATTCCCTCAGAAGAGAGGTGAATAATATTAGTAATAGCTAATATATACTAAATTCAAGATGTTTATCGTAAATGGTCATATAATTTTTTTTATAACAATAGATAGTTACTGGCAGCACCGAAGGAGTCTCAAATATGTGGCGGCAGTAATCGTAGAAGGCGATTTATTTTTTGTGTTCTGTGGAAATAAAGAAGATTTTAGTAAGACTTGTAGGAACTATATTATGGATTTCCTCCCCTTTATAGTCAAGAATTTGCATAATTAATAAAACACAATAAAATGCAATAAACACAATTTTATTTAACCATGACTGTGTAGTATTTAGTTGAACAAAAAGTTGTATAGTTAATATTTGCTGAAAAAATCTTAAGTGCAGAGATTAGGACTATAAAGAACATGATATTTTTATGAAGAGAAAAAAGTATAAATAAACAAAAAAAATTGGTACTGATACACAAAACATTGCGGAACAAGATGCTTTTTGGACAGTAATGAGATTGTAACAAGGAGTAATGACAGTGAAAAGCCACTTACTGGCGCTACACGTTTTAGGTTTTTTTCCAAACGGCCTGCAAATTTGGCAAGTGTCCGTCCGGCACCAGTTATAGTGACGTATAATTTGCCACGATATAAAACACCGTGGAAAGTTGCAGGTCACCGAGGCCTAAAAGAATCAATACTGTTATCAGTACCTCTTTTTATCGAAGTAATAAGGATTATATATACATATATATCTCGAAGTAATACTTCTTATTACTTCTTAAAGTAATCGAATAGGCAACCTTGGCGATGAGCGTGCTGATTTGTAGTTATTTTTACTGTAGACCTTCACAGCGGCTTTTGCTGTTGCATGACTGGCTTGGCTCATTTCGGAGAAGTGCCAACGTTTCACCGATGAATACAAGATCTGTACCACATCCTTAGCTGATCGGTGAGCACCGAACCTTTCAACTATCCCGTTGCGGTATTGGAAGTCACAAACCGTTTATTCACCTAACATGGTAAATGAAAAACAGCGCGCAGTTTAACGGCGGCAGACGATGGTGCAGCGGCATTGTACGCATCGATCTTCTCTTTCATTTGCTTAGTAGTATTGCTCATAGCACGCAATTGAGTCATTTAAACGATGGTCAAACAACAGGTGCACTTTTAGGAACCGGAATGTCTGGTGTGTACATTTTAGAAGAGAACTCTGAAACTCTGGATCACCATCGTTTGTCAAATACGACTGCAGAATTTTTCTCACGGTACTTTGGGCTGGTATCAGTATCAAGGTAAGTAGTATCAGTTTGGCACGTTTTTTTATTAATAAGAAAATTTTTTCTTTCACTTGAACTCTGGCTCTTAGCATCAACCAGTTGTGTACGCAGTTAGTTTACTAACCTTACAGTCCATCATGTGGTCGACGACGCTCTTTGTGGCTTTGCAGTAGGGTACTTTGCAATTCCTGTACCGTTTGCCGTGTGGCGTGGACTCCATGTGGCGACAGGCGTGCGCATGAAGCAATATCAACAAATATTTCTGAGCAAGGCGTACGCTTGGTTGATTGTTTAGCAGTATCTCGGCGTCCGACTTCTAGTGTGTATAGATCAGGTCAAAAATTAGCACATTGAGATCAACCTTAAAGTTATTTCTAAAATAAAATTAGGAAGAATCAAATAGTGTATGTTCTGTAGATAGAATTTTGAAACCGGCCGTAAGAAGATTATTCTGATCAATTTAGTTTATGGTTAAACCTTTTGGCAAATCAAATAACATTTGAAAAGCCATTTGACAGCTGATTATTTACTTTCTACGATGATCAGTGTTTCAGAAATCGGGCGAAAGTAATTTATTTTGATGAGCATAGTGGTCTAGAATATTATATACAAATATGAGGTAGATATGACACTAACGCACCAAAAGGCACCTGAGGCACTCAAATAACGCCTATTGATGTAATTATATTGCAATTCTATATACTGCTATCTCTTTCCGTAGCATACGTTTTATATCATCTGTCACATTCACATGTCATATAACGTAAAGCGGAACAATGTTTAAACGCTGTATTGGCTTCGGTGTCGGCGGTCGTGGATTCGATCTCCGCATGGGACAACTATTTGTGTGACCTACAGATTGTTTTGCATCTGGGTGTTTGTCCGCGTGAAATTTATGTTGTAAAACGTCCTTACATCACAGGATAATGTTATCCTAAAAGAAGGGCAATGTCTTAAAAAAAACAAGGCGATAAAATTGGCGGTTTGGCGAAATAGGCGATTTGTCCGAGGCCGTGGCGGGTTGGCAGATATAATATCAGATAAAAAAAAAATGTTTTTTTGACTTAGCTACCGATACAGGAACTTTGTCGATGTCGGCGACGGATTCCAAGAAGGGGGTCCCGTTTTCCTCTGCATCCTTAGAGTAGAACATTAGCCTTATACAACGAGAGCAAGTCGGTGGCAGATGTGCGCCACTACTGCAGATCACCACCGTTGAGACTGTATCGTCGGAGCCGGTCGTTTCGTTAGCTTTGTCCGGACCGTTGACCGCGAAATTCTGCTGAAACGATGGACGATTTTAATAAAATAAGCAGTCTATTAATAAAATGATGGAGCTATTAGAGGTCCATCGTAGACTGCACGAAATAATTAGAAAAAGAAAAAAAAAAGACGAGTGTGGTACGAATTTTCTCTTTTTGTTTTAATATAATTTTAATGTACTTAGCAACACTAGCGCAATACAGAAGAATCTAAAAAATTTATCTTTGGTATTATCGTTTCGTTTAGTAGTTACGAGGGAACGCACTCTAAGGGTCTACTCAAGGTACTCATATCACTCGTTTTGCCGGCCAGACCAGCACACAGATTTGTCGACGTGTACAAGGCCGTGGTAGGCCAATTTATGTTCAAATGTCTTCTTATTAAATACCGTAGCAGTGACTTTGACGTTCACGGTGGGGTCAAACTCTGGAGTCGTAGTGGCGTCTGCGCCCTCTACGGCCTCAACGCTTTGAGCGCCCTCATTGAGGTGGCATAGCCCCACTTGAGGCTACCTCCGGTGAAACTGATTCGGATGATTTAACTGGACGGTCAACACCGCAAGTCTATACAAGTATATTGGTAGAGTAAACCACTTCAAACTCCCGGTACCATTTTGTAATCTATATTATGAAAAGTAAAATACCAGACCTTTTGGATCTGCTCCTCCAATTTTTTTTTGCATGACTTTTCTTGAGAGCCTTAAATAAAAACATCAGACCCGATTTCTTCTTCTTTCTTTAATAATAACCAACTTACTGGTTTAGTTACACGCTCTTTCGTAAAATATATTGGCGACCTGTAAGTTCTTCATCATTTTTATTTAATGAATATAAAAATTGATAAATCATGAATGTATACGTTTCAAGGAATTGACCAAGTGATTCGCAAATTGCTTGTTACTGTATGCTTTGGCTTATAGATGTGTAAAATTGTGGGTACACAGGAATTTTTGCATTTATTCAGTTTGCGCATGTGAAAGTAGAATTTCGCATCTTTATCTTAGGTATGAATATCTAAAATTTATTTATTAGATATTTATAACTAAGCTGCTTAATTAAGTTAGTTTTTTTTGCCTAATCAGTGAAACCATCATGAAAGTATATGAAACCAAAATGAGGCTGGGATTTATCAACAATAAACATTACTATGACTCAATGTGAGTACACAATACAATTTAAAGAATAATTCATAAAAAAATTCGACGATTTTAACGCAATTATTTATTCTTAAATTGCCAATGTTTTGAATACTTCATCGTATTCATTTAGTATTCAACTGTTTCATATTTTCATATGGTCCCAACGCAGACGGTCCGTATCCGTAACAAAGAATATTAAATACAATAAGCAGTTCTGTAAGTTTGAGAGTAAATATTATACAAACAACTAAACAAAGTATAAAAAAATTGCGTGTGCAGCACTGTACACGTGATAGAAGTGAAACTTCTTAATTAAAGAGGATTCTTCGTCTTTATTTAAGAAGTTTCACTACTATCACTCTCTTTTCTCAGGTTCTCCGCACACAAGCGAAATGCGGATAGCCTAAACTATCTTTCTGGTCTGTTCTGTTTTCTACTATCTCCTTTCTACGTTGTATCTTTCTTCTCGCTGACGTAACAATATGTACCTAAACGCGACGCGTTGTTAAAATTTCGTTCCAAATTCTCATCCAATAAGAAGGTTCACTTCAAAAAATTGTACGTAGGTACCTTCGCAGTACGTTTACTAATCGCCTTTGACAAACGTTTTAGATTTTTGCGCCCAGCTCAGTACTTGGGTGTTATTCGTGACCAATCAAATAATTTTGTACTGTGGAGTTACCTCAGCGGTCTCCAGCTGCGACTCTTCGCCGTTTTGGGTGACCGAAGACTGCGGAAAACCCGATGAGTCAGGCAACTGGTCCCCTTCATTTGACGCTTCACCAACCTTCCCGAGAATGGTCTCCATCTTTAACAATGAAATCAAATTAAATTTGTTCTCCAGGATCACTTTAGGCGTTAGGTGTATCGAATTTGGTGCGTAAATATAACAGAAAACTAGTTTTCGTTTCTTCCCCATTTAATTAAGTGATTATTTTATTACATCTATCGTCGGTGTCCTCTATATTAATAAAGTTGAAATTCAGATAAAGGACTAACACCAGGTAGTGAACCCTGCGAGAAGTCGCCAAGAAATAAATTAGTATATCTGTGTACCTCGTACACCTCACTTAAGACTCATATTGTACTGGCGATTTCAGAAACTTTATAAATGATTACATAATCCTTACGAGAGGAGTATTTAATAATTCGATTTCGACTTTCGACTTTTTCTTAAACGTTAAATTATTCTAACTGACATGTTTTGCCAATATGCGTTACAAACGTTACTCATAGAAGATATCTTTGCTTTTTTCTATTATAGTTCTATTTGATTATGAAACTAAATGTATAACTCATACTTAGAAACAAGTGCAGTGATTCAGATTGTTACCTCCTCGTCACGCGCGCAATTAAAATTATTGGCCAATTTATTGATTTTTAGTGCCTCACGTGTTCTATGATTGACAAATATCGATAAAACTTTAAACTGCTTAAAATATCGATAGAATTTAATCGATAATATTGTACGAGTAGAGTAGTAGTAGAGAAATTTGTATTAATGGTGATATTTCTTAGAAACTGGAGTAAAATCTGTAAAATATTTTAACAGTTTTAAAAAATAAAAGTTTTAACAATTGCATGTTCAATTATATTAATAAAGAAGGAGTCGTTGGTTAACACAAAAACATTTTTAACGTGATTTTAATTTCTTTACCTTTAAATAGCCATAAAAGGCAGGTGCGGGTTTTTTAATGGAGTAAGCGAGCTGGTGGTTCCCTGAAGTTAAGTGAAAACAGCGGCCTATGGACATTTGCAACACCCGTAGGGTTGTAGATTCGTTGAAACCTTTTAATAAAGTGTACCCCATTTACCTCCCTCACAGACGAAAGGCTGACGGTATAATACTTCCAATTCACGCCAGTTTGCCCACTGGTCTATGGTAGGGCCACGCAACATTCTTCATGAATCTTAATTTTCATGTCATTTGATTGATTTTGGATTTCCACACTCTATAATAATTTTGTAATTACGACTGGGTGTTTACCTCAAAATAGTTATTTTATAGAGACTAGAATTTAATAGGTTGCATTAAAATACATTGGCAATCTGGGCCGAATTTAGAGGTATGGAGACCTCGGGGTAATAATGGAGTGGAGGCCCCTTGGACCCATATTATTTCCCAATAAAATGAACATTTTTTTCAGTCGAGTTTTCGAATAAATAATTGCAATTAACGAATATAGATCGATGATATCTCTTAATATTTAATGTTGTCATGTTTGTACAAAGTACTGTAGGTAAAGGTAAAACGCGAAAGTTAGAAGAAGAAGAAAGAAAAAGTTGTGTACTAGTGTTTACTAGTCTGAATTAGAAATTTCATTTTCCGAAGTCTATTGTGGGTATTTGTGTCGTATCCTCTTTTGTGGAGGCCCCGGGGCTGTAGCCCTCCTCTAAATTCGGCTCTGTTAGCATTGGTTATAGTAGGTATATTTGACAGATATTTTTCGCCAAGATAACAAGTAACCCTGTATAATATTTACTTTAGTCTGTATCATTTATTTTGAATTTCTATTTTTATTCTGTTTCCGATTATGATACAACCTCATGTAGACCATAGACATTATCTATGATAGATAAATACGGGCGGTTAAGCGTAAAAGAAACAAAGTGATCGCGTGTCTAGTAGTTGTGTTTTCTAGTACTTTGATTGGTCTACGTTACAGGCTTACAGGAGCTGAGAAGACGGTCACCACGAATCGTATAATCACATGTACCCCTTCCAATGAGCTAAGTCTCTTACACTTCTCTTACAGCGAAAAATTCTTTGAAAAGTTTGCACACAAGATGCACTCGCGCTCAGTACAGACTTAAGAATAGAGACAGTACAGTTTTTACTCGCTTTGTCAAAAAGTGAAATTATTACTAATTGAAGTAGTAAGATATGGATAAAATGACATTTACCTTCCAGAACCATTTTGTAAGGTATCTTATTGTTACGTATTTATATATATGAAAATTTCGTATCACGTTGTTTGTCCGCCATGAACTCCTAAACTACTGAGCCGATTTTATTCAAAATTTGCACACTGTTTGCAGTTTGATTCAACTTGAGAGATAGGATAGTTTATATCTCAATTTATAGACGCAATATTTTATATTACAAATTATTTGTTTATTATACGATAAACGAGTTATAATTATCTGTGATTTCTATAAGATTCTAACAGATGGCGGTGCAAGGTAAATTTATCGGCAAGATTGAGTAAGTACGCAATAGACGGCGCTATGTTAAGAGTCCAAGCGAGTGGATCCGGTAGGTCTTTCCTAAGGGTCACTGTAATCAGGTTCTAGGTTATTTTTACTCATATGTTCTTGGGTTTGAGTGGGTCTTTGGACAGTTTTAAAATATAATTGAACACGGTAGTTGGCGCTGCAATCGGGATCTGGGTTTTTGGTTTCCGTACCCAAGGGGTAAAATGGGACCCTATTACTAAGACTCCGTTGTCTGTCTGTCTCTCCGTCACAAGGCTGTATCTCATGAACCGTGATAGTTAAACAGTTGTTGTCATAGATGATGTATTTCTGTTGCCGGTATAACAACAAAGACTAAAAAACAGAATAATAAATATTTAAGTGTGGCTCCCATACAACAGACATGATATTTTTTGCTGTTTTCTTCGTGCAAGCGTCCGACTCGCAGTTAGCCGGTTTTTTTAAAGATTTGTCGCGTTTGGAATTAATGAAAAAATTACAATACCGGTTACAATAATATAATTGTAATTATAAGTATAATGCTTGATTTTTTTATATGTATAGAGTATTTCTGTAAATATTTTAAGTGATAAAAAATATGGTAGAGCCACACAGCAACTTCTACTGTTTCTCGAATGGGTAACATTAAAAGCTCGTCTGGGGGAGTAGCACGGCCTTAGACCATATTACTGAATTAATGTTCTGTGAGGTGAAAAGGGAAACACTTAAGTATCAGGTGGGATGGCAGTTAAGTACTGGCCAGTTTTGTATTAAAAAAAAAAGATAAAATACTCTGTCATCTTTTTACATACAAGTAAAACATTTTTATTTACAAAAATTAAAGCCGACTTCAAATAAACCTCACTCACTGTACATTTTATGTTTGATTTTGAGAATACAAATAAACTTATATATGACCATAAGGGAGCTTAAAAGAATAAACAAAACCGTTGTACGATTCCTCTTTTTGTTGGAGTTGGTTGAAAACAAATGACATGATGTTTGGAAGACATGTTTGTCATTCAGTTTAATGGATAAGGAATGAGGATAGTACTAAAAAGAAACAGACGGAGCCTGAATAAAACGCAGAGCATAGTGATGAAACATTTATTTGTTTTTTTCATTTGAAAGTATACCAAGTTGTAGTTACACGTCAGATACTGAGATTCAAATGAAATGTAAAACAATTGTTGGTATTATACAAAATAGCAGCGAAGTAGCGTGCCACTTGATTGCTAAAATTCACACCGTCCATCAATGCGAGATAAATTCCCATATAAATTTACATGCATACCGTTTTTCTGTACTATATGAATATTTAAAACGTAAAATAAAACGGCAGCCACGAAGTAGTGTCAACCATTTTTAATTTTATTGTTAAAACCAAGCAATCGTTAGACTACCTTTTTTCGGATGTTATTTTTCGCCACAAATTATCGACACCAATAAAAGTGAAATTGTCGCAGTTAATGGTTTAAATAATATGGACAATAAATTGGCGGTTTCACAAAACAATTGTGAACATTTAGCAATCAATCGGGGGCAGTCGTTTGGCTGCATAGGTTCCGCGATTTATTTAAGTCATCGAATATTGCGCTAATATATTTACCACTACCTATCTATGGCTTAATTAGACAATACATTTATACAACTTAAATTAATGACAAGAGGATTATAAACATAATAATAATACATCAACCGTCCATAATAAAAATAACAGATTCTGCTAATAATATTAGTGAGGGTAAACCAATCCGCTAATAAAACGTTGAACGCGACTCATTCAAGTTATTACTTAGTTGTTTGCTATAACAAGCGCTACATTTCGATATGCACTGCATCGCTCCCGCGTTTTTAGATTCTATTTATCCGATTTTTTTTTCAACAATGCAACGAGATGGAAAAGACCCACATTTTTTTACTTAACAGAGTTTTATCACTAAATTATTAATCTGGAATCTTGGCTATACAAGAATGGATCTATGTCTTTTTCGGAAGACTAGGAATGTATTTTTTTTTTAAATATATTGATTTGATGAATCGATGAAAATCATTAATGATTCTTTTCAATCTTGTTCCAGTGCATATCTTTCTTAACATGACGTTACACGACGTTAAGTTTGTAGTCTACTGCTACAGAGTCGACGGGGAAGGTAAAGGCAACTTTTTCAAGTCCAACATTATAAAAAAATTATATGGTTTTGTGACACTTCGAAAGTAAACTCAATAACTCAGTTAATCTAACTTAATTTAATTGCTTTATTCCCATTTTGTATGCAGTTCACATTGGTAAGTGCATTTACATGGACGTACGAAAAGTTTTTCTATTATCAACGAAGTTAGCGTTACGTGAACCGCTTAACACCAAATTTAGCTTTAATGAAGGCATTGCGATCATGCATTACGCTTTCAAAAGGGCTAAACTTGATGAAAGCTTTGTCGATGGGAAAAAATCTGTTAGCTTTTTCTAGTGAAAAGCTGTAAAGATTTATTGTTAGTTGATATTTAGAATGTATAAGAAAACTCAGTTTTTCGGTTGGAATAGAAAAACTTTCCTATGTAACGATATATTAACAAACTTCTTATTGCGTAAATCATTTGTAACAAAACAAAACATGATTATTGGCGATAACGTACAAAACTGGTGTTTTTTGAAACCTATTCATCGTTTCAATAATGGTATTATAATTTATATAAATTAATAATTTGGGTTATATTATGTATTTTATGAATCTTTATATAAATATATAATAATACGAAATCTTTAAATAAATCGGTGTCGTGTTGTCTTAACAAATCCTTCAATCAGTCTTGAAGAGCACACAACAACGAATATACTTCGATTTCTATACGCCGTAATGTAATGGATGATACACTAAAGCATCACGACTCTATAAATAAGCGAATTTTGTAATTATATTTCATTTAAAAATGTTTCAATTTCATGAGAAAATTTAACTTTTCAAGCGACTCCCGGCCTTCAGAAGGTTACTTCTAATTCCGCGAACCAAAAGAGTGGACCACACGAAGTATGTCATTGGACGAATTAAATAAAATAAACTAATACAACAATAGCTCGTTTAATTTCAAAGCATCTGAAGATATCTTTGATAAATAATGTTTTATATATCTGATAAATATTGTTATAATTTTCACTATATCGATTTGTGTTGGCCGGACGTATTGTAGTTCAGATGCCCGTGGCCCACTCTTTTAAAACTCTCGCTATAAGTATTTACAGATATTATAAATATATATTACGTTAGTATAAATATTTTAAAATCATACAAACATGACGATGGCACTTGGTTGCTTTGTAAAAAAGGATAGAAAACGTTGATTCATGATACATTTTAGAATGAAATCGACACAGGGTCTCTAGAAAGTTCTACGCTTTGACACATCGGAGAATGGATGCACGAGGGGAATGTGACGAACAATCGTTACTAGTTAGTAAGGGAATGTATAAAAATTAGTTTCAACTATATCAAAATGTTAAATCCTCAACAATAAATACTATAAATCTTTGGTTTCATTTAGTCGTTTGATTGCGATCACTCCATTTTGCGTGAGTGCCTTCTATGGATTGTGAGAAACTCTTGGAGTACTGCAAATGTGCAGTTCGCGAGTGCGATAACTGTTGTGTCTGTATCAGGGATGCTGTGGAAATGCTGGGAGGGCACTACGGACATGGGGGTGCCTTATAAAACCTTTAAGGTGATAAGCAAATTTTAAATTGTCGGACTTCGAAGTTTCCCGAAAGTTCTCAAGAGTGAGTCAGAGAGAAAGTACGTAGAATCCGCTTCGCCGTGAAGACACGGCGTACAACATTTTTAGGAGGCGGTGTAAAAATGTTGTTAGTTGCGTCTTCACTTCATTCAGCTCCACAACAGCCGTTCAAAGCAGATTTGGAGAACTCCACTTCGATCCGCGGAGAGGGACGAGCGGGTCCGACGCAACTGTATAATATGTACACTGCACGGATTCATAAGACGGGTGGAGAAAGAGCAATGTGCAAGCGATCCGTCGCTTGCGAATATATACAGGGAGGAACGGTAGAAACGCGCGTGAGCTATATCGCTGAGGGCGAGGAGGTGGGAAGGTGGGGAGGGGGGCGGCTAGTGGTGGGTGAGCTTGGGAAGAGCGGCAACGACGCGCACGCGGTCGCTGAACTGGGGCGGCGGCGCGATCAAAGGCGCGGCGTCTGCGGCGCCGGCCGGCTCCTCGGGCGGCGGCGGCAGTTCGGCCAGAGAGACGGCCGCGCGCGCCCGCCGCCCCGGCGCCTTGCCCACGTCCACGCCCAGCCGCTCGGCGGCGGAGCGCCCACGCCCGCCGCCCGCGCCCACGCCCACGCCGCCGCGCAGCAGCGCCGCGGCGCGCTTCCGCGTGAGCGAGTTGTGGCGCTGCATCGGCGCGAGGCTCTCGCTCGAGCTGTGCACCGGCTCGGTGCTGATGACGTCGTTGGACGACTTGACGGTGACGGACGCGCAGAAGGAGACCTTGTCGCGGCGCGGCCTCGCCTGCGCCTCCTGGTCGGAGGAGACGCCCGACGACGAGTTGTCGCCGTCGTCGCGCTCGCCGGCCAGCTCGTCGCCGCACGACTTGGACGACTTGAGCCGCGTGCGGATCTTCTGGATCTCGTCCACGGAGAACGAGTGCTGCATCGAGCCGGAGCCCGAGCTGCTGCCGCTGCGGGGAGCGCGAGACGGTGAGGCGAGCGCACTGATCGATTCAAAGGGTTTCACCATCCTTTCGGCAACTCGAATGACATATAACAGCTGATTAGTTAATTTCTACGATGATCGATGTTTTAGAAACCGGACGTAGGTCCGGTCGCGCGCCGGTGCGTGACAAGCTCGTCGGCGATTGTACGCTGACGTTGGATTCGAATATAGCGGAGGCGGACGGTAAATATTGAGGTCCGTAAGTTTAAAATAAAAAAAAATATAGCGAAAAAGAATTTTTTGATTGTTATTTAGGATTATTATGGTTGGAAACGGTTTCATACTATTTGGACTTGTTTTTTGATCGGGATATAGTTAACATACCATGATTTGTAAGACAGACATTTTTTGAATAGAACAATCTTACAATGTTATGAATGAAAGTTATTTTAATTATATTAATTTTTGAACATAGAGATTAATTCGATATTATGAAAGTTATTATAATATTCGAAAATTAACCACAATTAGGTTAAATCGAATATTTATTTCGTATTTCAGATTTACGTAGTTGTTTTCTTTTTTAACATACACTATACTGAAAAATCGCTGGTACAATTTAGTTAATACTCTAAATTACGAGTCTGGGTCAGTAGTGCCGAACTAAAATGCTCTTAATATTGAATGTTGACAGCATTAAAAATAAGTTTATAAAACAGTTATAACAGTAACAGTTAAGCGTCTTATTAACAAACACGAGATAGCTGCACACGGACAATAAACGGAAAAGTACGATGGAATGATACTCCGTATTAGAATTAACGACAAATCAACGCCACATTAGTGAAACAAGTATTAGCGATACGTGAACACACTCCCGAAGCGATTCCCACACGCAAGGACCTCAAAGCGCTGCGGACTGTACCTTCCAGGAGGTTCTAATATACAGCCAACTATTAACAGTACATCTCCCCTTCAGTTTCATAGATAGTCACGCATATTGCCGGTCTGAAATTGAAGTTTACAAAGAAACATTACTGTAGTTTGCGGATCTGTGGTCTAAAAAGTATGTTCATGTCACGCGTTTGTTGTCTGCTGTTTTAGAATTTAGCGCGACATCTATTTTATATGTTAAATGTCGTTAAAATATGTTTATACAAATACATGATATAATCTGTGGAGGGCGGCATGCAGTACGTAAGTTAATTTTCTGTTAGTTAATCGATAAAATTTTTTGTATGTCTTTAGTGATATAGTGTACTTTCCATGATTTTATTTTTATATTTTGCCAAGATCAAATCATACCGCATCTATTTACTTAAATGATTAAAAAAATGTCAAAATGATTGAAAAAAAAAAGAAGGCTGTATATAAAAATCCCAAGCCGTTAAACTATAAAAATAATTTAAAAAATATTATCAGATGATGAAAACTTTAAAGAACCTATGTTGGAGGGGATTTCTTAGTGGCTATAGACATTTTTATAGACATGTGTCTATAAAAATGAGTAGAGCCACTGTGACGTGTCGACGTTGTTTCGTGTTGTAATTTAGATGGGGCTGTTGGTTTTATGATTTTGAGAGAGCGGGGAGTGCCGTCCGGGAGAGTTTTTGATGTGCTGCTGGTTGTGTGAGTGTGTGTATGAGATAGGTGGGAGGGGGGCGGGGGGGGGGGGGGGCGGCAGTTGACGACTTCTGCCTCACCTGGCGTTACTGTTGGCACTGGTTTCGGCGACAGGCTCTGCCGGCTTGTCGGGCTCGTCGTCCGACTCCGACATGCTGTAGTCTGGTTCTGGGATTGGCGGTGCAGGTGTAGAACTCTGGAATGGTAGTTTACGCTAAGCTAATGTTTACTGTATTGAAGTTGAGGTCTTGAACTGGTCTAGGTTTTGTATGCATGCGGCTGTGCGTACTTGCAATGTGTGTGGTTTCGAAAATTAATGTAAAGTAATTTCTGAGTAATGTCTATATTCTATATATATATATATATTTCTGAGTAATGTCTATATATATTCTATATATATATAATAATAAAGTAATGTCTATATTCGTTTACCATTTACTAGCATCATAACAATGGTATACGTCACACCCAGATAAAATTTTTCCCAAAGAAATTTTAAGGTTAGAGTTACATGTATATACTCATAAATAATTATTTATTATGTATTAGCACAAAGCTAAAATTGTGTAACTAAAAGGAAATAAACTTTATTATTATTATTATTATTTATTAAATCTTAATCTCCTTTCATTTCTTTTTTCTTAATTACGAAGTCAAGGTCGAACTAATTTAATGGAAGTTTAAGTTTTCGTCAAATGAAACAATCAATAGAAGATAATTTATTTTAAGTATTGACGACCCGATTGCCTATTGGGTAGTGAACCTGCTTTTTGCGCCAAAGGGCGTAGGTTCGATCCCCACTACTGGAAAATAGTGTAGTATGAACAAAGTGTTTTTCCTGTGTCTAGATGTTTAATTATGTTTACCAGTTACCTTGTACCTATGGTACAAGCTTTGCTTAGTTTGGGACTAGAGAACGTGAATGAATGAACGAAGAATTAATGAATGATAGAATATTCGTAATTGCACATCAGAATAAAATAAAGAAACAAAAAAAAAAACTAAAAATTATGTAAAACTGTTTCCTGAAATATCATCTAAGGGACCGAACCTGGCGCACGAAGGGCTTGTGCGGGTTGAAGGGCTGCGCGTACTGGTGGCCGGCGTCGTCGGCGGACAGGGCGCGTCCCACCGGTGGGGCGCTGCCCGCCCACGCGCGTGGGCCCGCTACGCCACGCGCCTGCGGATGCGCGATGGTGATGGGAATGTGACCTCAATGATTCTCTTGAGATTTAAATCAATACAACAAAGTAGTGGGTCAGTGCCAATATGAGTGTACTTCGCTGCGTAGGTTTATGCACATAAACATGGCGTCTTTGCGTTCTAAGTGCACGCACGCTCATACTGCACACACTTGCAGATGTTATTGAATGAGTGTAGCATGAGCGTGCGTACATGCACGCGTGCGAGCGTGTGCAGCTGTGTGCTTGTGTGCGTGTGGTCTCTGTGCCGGTGCACGTATACGAGCGCGTGCACCTGTGCGCTTGTGTGTGTGTGCTCTGCGTGCCGGCGCGTGGGCACCTGTGCACTTGTGTGCGTGGGTACCTGGGCGTCGGTGTTCGCCGGGCGGTAAGCGACGCGCGCGAGCTCCTGCGGCGAGGCGTACAGCTTGGCGGCCGCGCTCGGCCGGAAGGAGGAGGCGGGCGCGCCGGGGGGAGGCGGAGGTGCCTCGGCCGGCGGCGGCGCTCTGCCGGCGGCTGTGGAGCGAACTGTATTGTACCCCGTTTCCCCACACTCCTCTACAAGGCTCCGGAGACAGTGGAAGTTCAAAGTCTGCCGGCGGTTGTGACGCGAACCGTATAGTGCCACGTATCCCCACACTCCCGTTGTACGAAGGCTTGCTTGCAAAAAATACTGTAATTTGCAAAGCCGGCTTACAGCCGTGACGCGAACCGTGCAATGCCCCACACTCCTCTTAGAGACTCGGAACATAATATACTGTGGCCATCCAAAGCGTGACTTTGGCTGTGACGCGGACCGTATAGTGTTACGTATCTCCACACTACTCTTAGATGTAAGGTCCGTAGCAAGTACAATAGACTTCCATAGCCGGGTACTCGTATGTGCTCCAAGCGGCAGTCTTTGCTGTTGCACGAATGGGCAGGCTCGTTCGGAGGGAAGTGTATATACTTCAGCGTTTCGGCGATAGAGGTAGTCGGGACCCACTTTATTATAATATGGCGATGTATCTGCAACGCCGCGGATGTTGCAAATGTCGCCTGTTCTCTTGACAACACATAAAGAAAAACGCGAAAGAAGTGATACCAATCAAGATATATTCTAATTCAAATAATTATGGGAACGTTATTAATATAAAATAGTTAAGATGATATAACGCTGCCGAATTAAGTCAGCGCAAAACGCTGAACAGAGAGAAATAATTACATTATTTGGTCTTAATATTTCCCGCACACGAAAAACGACATACGGAAACGTGCACCTCAGCGTCATCTATCCCCCGAATAGGGTAGGCATTAAGTGACACAGGACTTGAGAGCTCCTATTCTCCCTCCCTCTGTTCTGTTCTATTGCTGTTTGTTACCGTGGACGTCGTCGCTGGAGCGGGTGCGGGTGGGCCGAGTCGCCAGCTCCGCCGCCAGGTCGGGCGTAGAGTGGAAATCGCGGCGCAGGGAGCCGGTCTTGCTCCACAACTGTAGAACGAGAGCTATCCGGTTATATAACCTTGCTTACCGTTAAACGGAGCCTTTTTGTATACCGGCCAAGAAATTCATTTAGTTCTATTTTTACTTATTTTACCATTGCTGCTGAATAAACTCGACTATCAAGGTGTCTATCCGTCCGATTACAACATGGGTGTGTGAAGCTTTAATATCTGTGTAGTGTCTTAGCTTAAGCCCACGGCTGGAGAGTGAGCGATAAATATTGAATATTTATTTATTTATTTAACAAGGCTTACCAACTAAATACATATAGAAACAATTATTATGAGGTGCACTTAAACATTGTATATATGCATTTAAATTAAAGGTAAACACAACATATAATAAAAGACTTCCTTTAAGGAGAACAGTAACCTATAAAACTATCACTAGAATAAAATTAGAACAAACAAAAAAACCTAACTTATATAATGTATAAATATAAAAAAGAGAGGAAGGAAAAAAAAACTTTTAAAATGAAAAAAATATTGGGCTGTGTAATGTGTTAGCACCTTCCTCTTTAAAATATTTAAGCTATCAAAATGGATATCCACATCACAGTTTTGAAATGTTGAATTGAATGCATTCAACAAAGATGATAAAGGTGTGTTTTGTTTCTGCCATATTCATTACGGCTCTTTTTAATATGAAACGGTTTGTAGTTATGTAGACGTGCACTAATTCTTGGAACAGTGATATCGATATCAAGTAAGAGAGACCGACAGTCAATTTTAAAACTTAAGAGCTTGTGCAATAAAGTTATACTTAATACATCCTTACGCCTTTCTAAAGGTATCATATGGTAATGCTCGAGTCTTTTCTTATAGCTATTAAAAGTCCCTTCGATGTAAATGAGTCTAGCTAACATTCTTTTTTGTACCTTTTCTACACGTTGTATATTGTTTTGATAACTAGGATACCAGCAAAGGAACAGTAGTCAATATTGCTACAGATCAACGCGAAATAGAGGGCCTTTAAAGCTGGTATGGACTTAAATTCTGTAGTGTTACGAGAGATGAATGCTATTAATCTATTACAAGAGACATATATTGGTACGAGACATTCAGCCAAATTCGTTATTTATGTCACACACTAGTTATAGATGACATCGTGGCGTAGTTGCGAAGGTATTGTCTTCGGCGATCGTGGGTTCAATTTCCATTGTGTTACCCCCAGAGAATTTTTTCGGATCTGGGTATTTGTCCACGTGAAATTAATGTTTGTGAAACGACAAACAACACAGGATAGTGCTGTATCCTAGAGTGAGGGCAAGTTCCTAAAAGTATGCGACGTTTGTCGATTGTGCAAGTGGTTACCTGGTTCAGTGTCATCGACTCGTGATGATTTTTCAACCACTCCTCAGAGAAAATGTCTTTGTACAACTGTTTTACCTGATTCAGCGACGGTGGCTCTAGCGAGGGTTCACTCTCCCCACTCTTTTGCAAAAAACACGCCTAAAAGGTTTGTCACATCACTACATAGTATAAAACAAAGTCGTCCCGCTGTCTGTCTGTCCATATATATAATTAGATCTTTAAAACTACGCAACGGATCTTGATGCGTTTTTTTTACTAGATAGAGTGATTCAAGAGGACCGTTTAAATGTACAACACATTGCACCCGTGCGGAGCCGGGGCGGGTTGCTAGTCAAGGAATAAAGTGATGACATAACTATACCTTGGTGCGGCTGCGCTTCATCTCCGCCACGGAGGCGTAGACGCGCGTGGGCCTCGCCGGCGAGTAGGGCGAGCACGGGGGCGAAGTGGAGCCGCTTTGGAAGGCGGAGCGCGTCATCATCGCGCAGCCCACGCCACTGGAACGTTCGGGCTCGTTTAGGTCGCGGCAGTGGGTAGTTTAGTGCGGGGCATGTCTATCAACTGTGGTGGGGCGCTCGTTTAAGTGGTAGTGTTTGATTTAAAGCGGGGCATGTCTATGAACTGTGGTGGGACGCTCGTTCAGGTCGAGGTAGTGGGTGATTTAATGCTGGGCATGTCTATCAACTGTGGTGGGGTGCTCGTTTAGGTGGTAGTGTGTGATTTAAAGCGGGGCATGTCTATCAACTGTGATAGGGCCGATTGTTTAAGTTGTCCTAGTGGGTACTTTAGTGCGGGGCATGTCTATCAACTGTGGTGGGGTGCTCGTTTAGGTGGTAGTGTGTGATTTAAAGCGGGGCATGTCTATCAACTGTGATAGGGCCGATTGTTTAAGTTGTCCTAGTGGGTACTTTAGTGCGGGGCATGTCTATCAACTGTGGTGGGGCGCTCGTTTAGGAGGTAGTGTGTGATTTAAAGCGGGGCATGTCTATCAACTTTGATAGGGCCGATTGTTTATGTTGTCCTAGTGGGTACTTTAGTGCGGGGCATGTCTATTAACTGTGGTGGGATACTCGTTTAGGTCGTGGCAGTGGGTAGTTTAGTGTGGGGCATGTATATCAACTGTAGTAAGGCGCTCGTTTAGGTTGTGCTTGTGGGTAGGTTAGTGCGGAGCATGTTTTTCAACTGTGGTGGGGCGCTCGTTTAGGTGGTAGTGTGTGATTTAGTGCGGGGCATGTCTATCAACTGTGGTAGAGCCGCGCACCAATCTTCATCTGTTTTACAAATGGGCAGGTCCGTCCGGGGAAGTACGACTTCACAAAGAACGGTGTGAAGTAGAGTTATACTTCTGCTTTTCATCTAGTGAGTAGTGAGTTAGGTAAACGGAGCCCACTTTATTAAAGAGTCGCAATCTTGGACAAGTCCGTTCGGTGAAGTACGATCTGACAGAGGACAGTTGTGGCGTGGAAGTGTTACGCTTCTGCGCTTCGTCTACTTCATTAATACGCGATGGCAACTCATAACGTGTTTTGCAAATGTCTTCAGGTGCTATATAAAGAACTACTTGCCCCCGGATAGTTACTATTTCAGCCTATCAGAGCATGGATGAGTATGTTTGTGAGGTATATGTTGAAATAACGAGACATGAGTGAGAATAATTTACAGATTGATGCTATCCTTCAACAGGTTTAATGTACACGGATTTGATTATCTAATCACAAACTATATATTATTGGCATTATGGCGAAATCATGATTTTCGAACGCACGAAATGCTCGTACAAGACAGACTTAAATAGAGATGTGCGCGTGCGTACTTGACGACCCGAATGGCGTAGTGGGTAGTGCACCTGGCTCCTGCGCCAGAGGGTGTGGGTTCGATCCCGACTACTGGAAAAATATTGTGTGATGAACTGGTATCTGGGCGTTTATGTATGTATAATATGTATTTACATACAAAAGAAAAGTATGTTTATCCGTTGTCTAGTACCCGTAGTACAAGCGTTACTTTGTTTGGGACTAGAGAACGTCGTGTAAAAATGCGTCCTCAATATTTATTATAATGATTACTTGGTGTCGGCGTCCGCATCGGCGTCCGCCTGCCTCTGGAACAGCTCTTCCAGCTCGGCGGCGGTGATGCGGCCCGAGGCGGGGCGGGCGCGGATCGAGGCCGTGCGCGGGCCCCCGCCCCCCTGCGCACCCGCCCCCGCTCCCCCCACCCCTGCCACACCCACCCCCACACCCACCCCCAGCACCGGAGTGCCGTCTGTGTGTAAAAAGTTATCCGTGTTATTATAATATCCCTACTGTGTATAAAATGTGTTAAAAGGGTTATTGTAATATCCTTACAAATCCTTACTCCTTACTGATATTATAAACGCGAAAATTTGTATGTATGGATGTTTGTTACTCTTTTACGTAAAAACTACTGAATTGATTTTAAGGATTTTTCAATAATATATAGCTAATACATCAGAATAACACATAATTTATGAAATAGCTAAAATACTTCTGTCTGTCTGTTACGCCTTGAGGACTAAACTGCAGAACCAATTTTGATGGGTTTCGGTGTAAAGATAGATAGGACCTTGGAAAAGAAAATAATCTACTGGAAGTATTAATCCTGCGCAGACGAAGTCGCGGGCACCAGCTAGTAAATTAATACTAATTCCATATCCACCAAGTTCTAATAATGTTGTTGCGGAATATGACCTACCCAACATTCTCGATTGGTGCCTCAAAAAAGAAAATACACCAGATTCCAATAATATTGGAGGATTACATAATAATATTCTTTTACAGAGCTTGCCCCTTGTCGACCCTCAAATTAACCAGTAATCTGTTCCTAACTATGAAAATCCCCTAACTGTACTCACTGTGGCTGGTCTGATGCTGAACCGACTCCGCCGACGAGGACTTGCCGGTGGCGCTGAGAGGGTTCACATGTTTCCTCCTTCTCTCCACCGTTTTCTGCAAGGACAATAGGAGATATTTCGTTCTATTGAACAATTCTTATTGTCAAGGTTATCTTTAATTAAGCAATGTAAGTGAGCATCAGAGCCGAAATAATCTAAAGAGTCTAAAATCAATTATTTTGATCAAAGCTTTGTTTCAAATCACACGACGGGTCTGATAATAGTGACCAGGTCAAATAAATTTAATCAATTTTCTTTTTCGAAAGGAAAAAAATGTCTCAAGTAGATAATGAATGGGACTTAGAATTATTAAATACTAGTATTATGATAAATAAAAAATAGTGCGTGAAGTGAAACTTCGAGAGACACGCATTCACTCTCGCTCTGTCTCTTTCTATTCCCCCTCCCCAGGAGCGTTAAACGTTCAACGCAACCTTCTTGGAAGTTGCATTAGAAGTTTCACTACAAAAAAAACTCTTTCACTTTCTATAAGCAATTAACTTGTGGAACTCTTATAATAAACAATATATAAAAGATCAGGAACACGTCCTTTACCTAGGCCGGCCACCATGGATTTGGCGCGGGCGCGGCCCACGCTGAGGGTGGTGCGCGGGTCGCGGCGCGGGGGGGCGGGGGCGGGGCTGCGGCCTGCGGAAATCGGTGCGGATCTTTTGAAGATTAATTTTTTACGGTGGTAGGGCAGCAGCCTCGGCCGTTGCACGAATGGGCAGCCCGTCCGGGTAAGTACCACGACCTCACAGAAGACCGGCGTAAAGTGGAAGTATAATACTTTCGCGTTTCGCCTGGTGAGTGAGGTGGCCGGGGCCCAATTTTCAAAAGGTTGTCAACGCATCTGCAACCCTCGGGTTTAGCAGATGTCTATGGGAGGCAGTATTTAAATTAGAAAATACTTCTAGTGCTAGTATCTGCACTCAAGGTGTAACTCTAAATTGTGGATTTTTGTATGCTGAATGGACGCCAAGCATTGCTAAATACGCTATAGGATGAAGTTAGATAAATGCCAAGATTTTCGCGCCGTGAGCGCTTAGCTTAGTTGGCAAAGCGTCTGGCCGCGAAGCCGGAATTAAACGTAAATATGTCGTTGTTATAAGTTGTTGTTATTGGTTGCCATGGTAATACATGGAAGTTGTTTATTTTGCAAATAACTTCATGATGACGCTTTTGGGGGTTCGGTGTGCGCGCACATCGTAAATATTTTACTCTCATACTTTATTTCAATCGCGCCAAAAGTGTGAAAAAGAAAAGATATGTGAAGTCTGTCAATCCGCAGTGGGGTACCCTATGTACAGAGGAGGCCTTTGCCCAGCAGTGGGACCTGTACACGCTGTTAATTTACTTTACTTTTACATTACATGTTAATATATATCGAAACAATTCTACGCACCGCCGGCCGCCTTCCTTGGAAGCGTTGCGGCGTACGGCCTGCCCGAGCTCGAGAGTTGCGTCTGTGATTTGCTGGAGGGAACGGTGCAAGCGCCGCTCTCGCTCCCACCCACCCCACCATCTGTACATATGTCTCTTTCACTCTCATCAAAGCCCACAGTGCTGCCAACAGTTTGTTTATAATATTTAGCATTTTGATTATTATATTTAGAGTCAATGATGAATAGAAATGAAACTATTATATGAGTGTGTGTTACATTTACATTTTTTCATGAAATGATTATTAAACGATTTTCCATTTAACACGATGAAAGGCGTTACAAATTGGAAAATTACAAATACGATTTTATTTAACTGTTTCTCTTCGAATATGTTAATTTTAATGAATATTTTAAAACAACGTCTAATGTTTAACTTCACCGAACGTTTTACCTAACATAATTTATTTTCCGTTTACATAAATACAGTATTCAATAGCAATAAAATAATAAGAAAAGTATTTTACGCATAATCGAAATAGTAGGTAACACAGTTAACAATTAATATTCGCGAACATTATGAACATACGAAACTCGCGAACATTATGAACATACGAAACTCGACCTGCGTCGATTCAATGATCATTAGTGGTCATGAGACTGATGTTAGCACTCACCATTACTGCTCAAGGAGACGACAGTCATCGAGACCAGAGCGCCCGAACTCCTGATCAGCTCCACCACGTGTTCGTGTGAGGCCGCCGAAACGTCCTCGCCGTTGATCTGTCATCAAATCACAATATGCAATCATTAAATCATATTCTCTGAGAAGTATGCGAGTGATTTATGTGATTTGTGCGACTTTTTTTAAACAACTTCAAAACTGCAACATAATTAGTTTCTCTATGACAGTTGTAACATATACATAATATAGTTTCTATAATAAAATAAAGAAAAAAAAATTCTGAAATGTTAAAGTGAAGGAATTCAGTCTTAAATAATCTGTGCGACGCTTTAAGGAATCACTTTGTTTATATAGACGATAAGAAACTGAAATGTAAAAGTGAAGGAGGCTAAGTCATGAATAATCTGAGCGTCGTATGTACCGGGACAACATAGAGTCACTATGTTATATTTTGGGCAAATTACAACGAAGTTGAAGTCAAGACTTTCTCGAATTAATAGTTACAGTGGAACGTAGACAATATGAAAATATCACCACTTTTTTTTTTAAAACGTTTTTTTAGCAATATTAAAGCAGTGACGGGAGAGTAAAAACGCACTATTTTGATAGCGATGCTTGCAGTCTAACTGGTCGATTATTAGATATCAGGTCTAGGCAATGTGAAAGTACCAGTAAGAAAATCAATTTACAACACGCTTTGAAAGTACAGTAGCAAGGCGGTCTGGCTCGTCAGATCATTCCCATAAAAACTAGTAAATGTAGGTACCAGAAGAACATAAGGCACAGTGTGCTTTAGCCTTCTGCTAATGCTAACACCTACAATGAGATATTTATAAAGTGGGATGATAGGTAGAAACTAGACTTTCTTCTATACTCTATGGAATTGGTCATTTTCTTAAGTCTTGCCTACATTAAAGTACCAGGGGCGCATAGAGTAACAGTTATTCAACATTTTACATTAATCAGATAGTCTAGATCAGGGGAAAAAAGTATTATTAACTTGTTAATAAACTGCAAAGGGCACGTCAAATATCCCTATAAAGTATCACGTGAGCGATTCCAAAGTACCAGGAGCGCATAGCCTCACCGCGACCAAGAAGTCGCCCACCTATAGAGTTTCGCGTGAGCGATTCAAAAGAACCCGGAGCGCATAGGGTCACCGCGACCAAGAAATCCCCCCCCCCCCCCCCCCTATAGTCTCGCGTGAGCGATTCAAAAGTACCAGGAGCGTATAGCCTCACCGCGACCAAGCAGTTACCACGTATAGTCTCGAGTGAGCGATTCTAAAGTACCAGGAGCGCATAGCCTAACCGCGACCAAGAAGTCGCCCACCTGTAGTCTCACGAGAGCGATTTTAAAGTACCAGGAGCGCATAGCCTCACCGCAACCAAGAAGTCGCCCTTCCTCAGGCCGGCGCGGTCCGCGACGCCGCCCGCGTCCACGTCGTCCAGGTACTGGAGCGCGGGGCAGCGCGAGGAGGGCCTCAGCTCCATCAGCGGCGAGGACGCCTTGGCCCCGCGCAGCACGAAGCCGAAGCCGCGCCGCGCCCGGTGCAGCACCACGGTGCGCGTCTCCATGTTGCCGTAGCTGGAAGTTTAGTATTTTTTTTTATGAAGGAAAGGGGCAAACGAGCAGGAGGCTCACCTGATGGTAAGTGATTACCGCCGCCCGTGAACACCTGCAACACCCGAGGGCTATCATCATCAATGCCTGGTGGAAGTGTTCTGAGCGTTGAGGACAATCATCATAATCATCATCATTTCAGCCTATTTGAGTCCACTGCTGAACATAGGCCTCCCCCATAGACTGCCACGAAGTACGATCCTGAGCCACCTGTATCCGTAGTACATACTTGGTACAAAACCTCAATCGGCTACGCTGCAACCATACACTCTACTCTACATTACACTCTCACGAGATTTGCTAACTCAATGCTACGAAGCATCGCGGAAAGCGTCACTCCTGTCTCACTTCGAGCAATTGTCTTAGATTTTATGCCATGCCATGAACAGTGAGTTCACAAATTGTTTGTTTTTTGCCTGTTAATTATTCGATAAATATTTAATAACATTTTGTGTTAATAGATATTGTGTTTGTGTTAGTCGGGTCCGCTACTAAGTTCTTATAAAAATTACCTTTTCTTTATTCGGGGCGCGGTGGCACTGTAGGTCTTGCTGAGCGCCATCTCACGGCGGCCGGTGACACGAGAGTGATGCATTGTGCCTCCTGACAGCACCTGCACATTCAAACGCTTCCGTGAACAAACACGGACACAGCTACAACTACATATACAGCGTGTCCTTACCATCGCGACAATAAATGAACACACATATAGGGGATAACTTTTTAAAGTTGTATTAAACATTTAAATTCTTTAAACATCAATATTAACCGAGTTATTAAATTTTCCAAAACAAACAATTTAAGTATAAATCTGTAACGTAAAATTCATTTGTAAAGGTCACAAAGCATATGAATGGGTTGAATGAATTTAAAAGAGACGAAACATACTGTTAGAAGGAGAGGCTTTTAATGCGACGCAGTGGCGCGAGTTGTATAGGATGTTACAAATTTTGTTTCTTTTTTACTTAATTAGTTTGTTTGAAAAATATTTTTTTTAATTATGGATTTGGTTTAACGTTAATATTTTTTTATGATTATTGGCAAGTAGCGTTCATTTATTGTCACGATGGTAACGACACGCTGTATACTTTAGACTCTATGGCGCAGTTGTCAAGGTATTGGCTTCGGTGCCGTGGATCGTGGGCTCAATTCCCACAAGGGACAACCATTTGTGTGGCCCACCGATAATTGTTTCGCATCTGGGTGTTTGTCCACGTGAAATTATGCTTTGTGAAACGTCTTTACAACACATGATAATGTTATCCTAAAAAACGAATAAAGAAAGAAAAGATATGTTTAAAAGTGCAAATATAAACCAAACAGGCGGTTCACATGTTGGTTGCAATAACACTCTGGCTACACAAATCCGTTACATTGTGAATTTTTAAAGTTTTGACCCCTGGATCAGGTCAAGACGAAAGTGATAGAGACTTCTACTTTAGGCTCGTCCTCTTTGAGCTAATGGTACTATCCAGGACGGGTCTGCGCATCGTGCAACACCGGAAACCACAGTGGTTTCCGGGATTGCTCGGTGGCTTGCACAGTGGTTTCCGGTGTGTGACGGTTTCCGGTGTATTCAGGAGAAAATTTACATTTTCAAATTTCATATTTTCTTATTTGTTTGTTGTTTGTTTCTAAATTGTTCCAAAACCCACTAACTATGAATACACATAACATTCAACAGCCGTTAATAAAAAGAGCGATGTGGGGTGAAATTATTCCTTGCTTACTTGGTGCAAGTGCGCTGTGTTCTGCCTCAGCCGCACCTCCTGGACGCAATGAGCGGGAAAAAGCCCAGACGCGCCAGAACCTCGCACTGTCCCTTCTAGCAATCCGTCCTCCGTTGAGCCCGTTACTGAAATAATTTATTATAGCACTAAATATTAAGGAAATTGTTAAACATCTGCAAACTCATACGTGGTAAGGCCACGCAACGTCGCTGTTGCACGAATGGGCAGGTTCGGTCGGTTAAGCACCACGACCTCACAGAAGACCGCCGTGAAGTGGAAGCGTTATATTTCTGCGTTCCGTCTTGTGAGTGAGGGAGCCGGGGCCAACTTTATTAGACTGCACCGCATCTGTTGTTGTTGAGTTGATGTTGTTGTTGTTGGAGAGTTGGACCGTCACAAAGATACGATCACAGTATATCACAGGCGTGTTGATCAACTCACCGGACGGAACGCAAAAGTATATACACTTTTATTTCATACCACACTTCTGCGAGAGCGTGATTTTTCTCCGTAGAGCACCTGTTAGTGCTCCAGGTGATCATATGAAAGCTGTATTTCCTCTACCATGGTCGAAAGCTGTTAGTAATTTGATATGATTTCGTCGTGACATTTTTGTTATTGTTTCATTTATGCAGGATTTATTATCACGAATGGGGAAGCTTTGATTCGTTTAATGTACTTCAATGAGGACTTTGACAAATTGTTAAATTGTAGTTAATAGTGATTGTTAAGAAATATGCTGTGAATTTGCCTATAACGTTATTTAACAGAAGCTGTTTATAGATCTATGATATTTTCATGTCTGATGTACCTTGCATTGTCTTAAACAAAGTTTTTCAACGGATGGAAGTTCGATTGGTTAATCTGGTCTTCTAAAAGGCTGTGGTACGTCCTCGGTCGAGTGATTCAAGGACAGACAATTGACGGAGGTTTGGATATGTTACTTGCACTGGATTAAACACACATTAAACACAAAGTATAAATATTTGACTAGAGATCTTAATGAAGGGGAAACTTCTTGGAGCTAAGATACTACCCTGGTAGAGCCAGCCTGCCAAAGTTAACACCGGCTTCCGGTGCTATTATTTTTGAAGAATATTCAGAGGAAATACAACGCCTCGAACATTAATGCGAGTTTACTCATTCCACCGTAGCGATAGTCTGCTATACGTGTTACCCTATAACGCTAATATATATGTTTAGTTATAAGCTAGTTTAAGAACCATAATAAACTGCCGCCTGATGTCTCCTCGCCCATGTGGAAGTTGGCAGCGTGGGCGTGGGCAAAGTGTGTGGGCGTGGGCTTGGGCAAGTGTGTGGGCGTGGGCGTTACCTTCGAGGATGTCACCCTGGGCGAGGCGCAGGTGTCCGGGGCCGGCGGAGTCGTGCGCCCTCAGGCAGACGACGGTCGCCCCCGGGGGCGGCGCGCTGCCAGTGTCCGACGCGCTGGTACCCACTCCGCTGGACTCCGACACCACGTCGCTCGCTTCGCCCGCGCTCTTATCTGCCGACACGCGCGAGCTCACCCCAGTCCGGATTCCCCACGTGGTGTGGTCCCACTCTTACGTCTCCGACCCTTTCAATTGTTGCCCCTATCCCGTCTGAATATTTAAGATTGTTTGCGCGTGGCTTCAATCCTATGCGGCCTGGCGATTTGAGTTTTTTATCTGTGGCTATTTGACCTCCCTCGATCTGAAGTTTTGTGTACGTGTCCCCTTCCCGTGGTTCAATGTTTGGTTTTACGTGCGTTTTAGAACTCCTGCCTCGGTTTTGGATTTGAATCATCACGCACCCGAACTTTTATAAAACTGTATTTTGGGCAAACACGCGCGCGCCTGTGTGTCTGTGTGTGTGTCTGTGTGTCCGTGCACGCGCGTGTGTGTGTGTGTCAGTGCGTGTGTGTATGTGTGATTAGGCGTGATATGTTTAGTGTGTTTTAACCCAGTTCCTCAGTTCGAATTTAAGCCCATCATTGGACCTAACGTCACCTTTGATCACTACCCCGGCGAAGTCACTATTTTATGTAATACGGTGTTAATAATGTTTCGATTGCGCTAACTGTTTTGATTAATGATCATTGATGTAACAGGTAATTTTGGTGTTACGGGTAAAGTGTACGACCAATGGGGGGAATTCGAACGGTGTTCACGTCACAAAGACAGGTACGTCCGTAACCGCCATCAGCTCACTTGGCGTAGCGATCTCGACAACTTACTTGGCAGTATTTCGTCAGACGACCAGAGTGTGGGGAGTTTGCTGGTGTAAGAACACATCGGGGACTAAACAAACAGTGGTAACGTCCGAGGTGGGAAGCGGTGAAGCGTGAGAACGGTGAGAACATCTAAACGAGAGTGACACAGAGCATGCAGTTCGTTCGCCGGCGAGGCTGGTGCACGGATGGTGATGGTTGTCCGAAGGTCACCTGTGATGATGCTCGCGTCGTCTTCGTGGCTGCGGTGGCTGGCGTCGCTGACGCTCGACGACGCGGAGGAGAACGGCCCGTCGAGGCAGCACGGCGAGCCGGTCGTCTGCGGCCGGCGGAGCAACGCGTCCAGCTCTTCGGGGATCCTGGTGGAGGAGGCCAGCGAGGTCCTGTCCCCTGGCCTCCACCAAGCGCCCCCCCACGTCGCCGACCGCCGCCGCGGGTTGTAGCGTGGCGGCCCACGGAACGGCACTGCAAATTCCCCACCAACCGCCCCCAACTGACGCAAACCGCGTGACCACCCCAACGGGTGTCGCTGTTCGCCGTGAACCCTTGCGCGGCAAAGAACTCGTCGCAATCGAATGAACGGTGTAGGTGATGCACTTAACATTGATCGATCATATCATCTTCATAGTCATATGTGATCTTGATTTCACTTTTGGACATATCTCAAAACTCTGTTTCGCTATAGTTTTACGGCTGTACCATCGCTAGAGGGGAACGTATTTATCTAGTCCAGGCTGGACCCTAGATTTAAAATATTTGAAATTGAATGGTTTTGTGGTGTCCAATTTTTAGGTTAAAGGACTTGCGAAAGAATTTTGTGTATAAAACACGCGCGTCTTTAAACATTTTTTGATTTTGAATCTTGTTTGAGTCACACCCAAACTCAGTATTACAACTCCGAAGGTATGCCCGGTGATATTTAAAAATACTGAACATAATACGAGTAAATACGAAATATGATAAATAATTGGTTAAATCAAAGAAACCCTGTGAACTAATCGACAAACCATAACTTATAACTTCACGACATGAAATTAACCAAATCATAAATACGCTGATTCAAAATAAATATAAAATATATACATAAATAATATTCGCACAAAATAAATAAATAACATAAGCATACAAATTAATATACTAATTTGTTATATATAATATTGTTTTACGCGTGAATTACGAAAAAACTGTTGGGATATGCTTTTATATAATATTATATCGTTAATATACCTGTGGATACGTAATATACAACCATCACCATTATAAAAAGCAATGGAATATAGAATCAGCTAAGATATAAAAAGATATATAATGTGAAGACATGCAATGTATGTTATGAGATAAAGCATTTGAATCATATTTGTAAGACTAATGACAACATAGTACACGTAAAAGTTAGATGACAACGGACAGAATTGCAAAGCGACTGCATATACCAATACAGATTTTAAAAATATCACGAGGAATGCCGAGTAAATTAAAACAAACAAAACAGGAGAAAATATAGAGAAAACGGATGGAATAGGATATTTAAAAGGATTGTCGAGAGAAAATAAGATTTGTTCAAATTTGGCCTAATGAAAAACCCGAATATTAGAATACATTAATATAAAATTTTATTAAGCAGCGGCCAAAGCAGTCATGCACTTTATTTAGATCCAAACTCACCAACTTCCTCTGCTTTGTAATTCTTTATCACTTCGGCCAACTCTAAGTTTCCAGCTATAACTGCAACCTGATTCAAGGATTAATCAACACATGAATACCTTTAAATAACATTTAAGACAAAAAACAATACGAGAGAATAAGTTATTTGATTAAAATTCATGAGAATAGTTTCAAATTGCCTGAAAGTTGAAAAAATTAGTCAGTACATGAAATGCATAATAAAGTAAATATCTAATAATATATGAGTGACCATGTACCTTCAATTAATACATGAAGTGTACGAAAAGATTTTTACCGACTTCAAAAAAAGAGGTGGCTCAGATCGATTGCATTTTTTTTCATTCGATTGCATTTTTCATGTTTGCTACCTAAGATCAAAAATAGTTTTTGGATTGAATTACTCCCATTTACATTTCAGTTGCACTGGACATCGGACTCCGCAGATACACCAGGGAACTCCTCAAGATCAAATAGAAAATGTATGAATGAATTATTTGAAGTTCATTTTGTTTTATGTTAACAAAAATGCACTTTTGTCTTAATATTATGTAAACGATTGCACAGTGATTCGTTGAATGTAGCGCCACCTATAGAAGAGTGCGTGGTTTTCCCCTTTGAGCGTGTCGTGTTTTATATAATTAATATTAGAAAAGCAGAAAGCTTTTAAAGGCCAGCAACGCATAAGTGGAGATCCCATATTATCAGTTCAGCCTCCTTGTTTGACATTCTCTTGAATTGAGAAAATGTAAAGTGTAGATCTACTCAAAAGCCTTGTGCAACGGGTTAATTGAAGACTTTTAGTAGATATACTATTTTAGCTAGTTTGAGTCCACTGCAGAACATAGGCCTCCCCCACAGACTGCCACGATTAACGATCCTGAGCCACCTGCATCTACCATTCCAGCACATTTGCACAGGTCGTCGCTCCATCCGTGACTAGCGCCCTATGAAGCCGCTATTTACCTGGTACGGGGTCTGGTTGGCGAAGTTGAGGGATTCCTTGTCGCAGCCGCGGAAGAGCAGCTGCCTGGCGCACGAGTCTTGGGCGTTTACTGCGCACACGTGAAGCGGCGTGTTCCCAGAAGCGTTCCTCCCGTTCATATCAGCCCCGTAGAACAGCAGGTGGTCGAGGTGTTGCACCAGCCCGTTGCGGCACGCCTGCCGATTAACACGTTGTAAGTGTTACGGGGTACAAGTTCGAGTTAAGTGTGACGGGGTACAAGTTCGCGTTTCGAATGCCATAGGGCCACGCGGTGCGCTGTTGCAAGATTGGACAGGCTAAGGGGAGGTACTACGGCCTCATGATCGGCATGAAGCGTTGGTATTATACTTTCGCATTTCGTCTGGTCAGTGAGGTAACCGGGACTTTTTTAAAGAACCGCAACTGCAAACCTTCAAGTGTTGTCGATGCCCATGGGCGGAGGTTATTTCGAGGATTGGTTTATTGCGTACGCTTTTATTTTGATGTGAATGGTAGGAGTCATCTTAAAGTGTCAACAATTGATCATAATAACTTGAATTAACTAATAACGTCGTAATATCATAAAGTAATTCGTGTACATGTCAGTGGTATAATTTTAAAGACATACCTGATGCACTTCCTGCCATCCTTGCAAATCCGTGGCACCGATCGTCGCGTGATCGTGCAATAAGGTCTCACACAATAACGGGTCCGTTTTGTTCGTAACGGACAGGTATAAGGGCGTTAATCCCTTGCTGTCCTTGTAATTGGGCGACGCTCCGAGCTCTAGGAGCGTTTTGACGGCTTCCAGAGAATTCTTCTCAACAGCGCGATGGAGGGCAGTGCTGCCATCTTTCGTCCGGTAGTCGATGAGAGCGCCGCCGTTGACGAGCGCTATTAGGACTTTGCTGGGTGACTTCAGACCAGCCGCCACAGTTAGAGGCGTTTCTGGAATGAAGACAAACAGTCTAAAATTAGTAAGGCATTCACTTTTTAAGACTCGAGCAATATTGGCCGTAATACCGATAAATTGTTGATTGCAATTTTAAGTCCTAACTTATTATGTGCTCAGTGGTGAAATTTTCTAATAGAAAATATTTGGAAGATATGTCTAGTCTGCCAATCCAAGTAGAGTCGCATGGTTGACTAAGCCTCTACACAGAGAAGGGCTTTCGCGATTTATTCTGTATGAGTACTGTTACTTTACTGTTACGGCAAGTGCTTAATTTTTAACCCCTCAGGGATGAATTCTTAACAATCTCTTCCTTGGATCCTTGCTCATTATTGTATAGGTATATATAATTAGCGTTATCGATATCAATCGACTTTGAAATCACAATACACATATAACATTGTATATTATCTTCAGCTGGGCAAAGGCCTGCTTTGTATAAAGTGTGTGACACCCACTTGGTTAAAGGAAAAATTCACTTATATTTGATAAATTTCTTTTTATTTTTTAGATATCCCCATGACGTTTTTCTTTACCCGCGGCAAGTGATAATTTAGCTTGTAAAATTTTAAAAACACTTTTATTTAGTAGAACTACTTTAATATGTAATTTGTGAGCGAGTTTTTAACATAAGAAATTATAACAGAAGGCGCATTAGTGGTTGCCTAGGTTGCTAATCCAGGACTACCTATAAAGTACAATAGTAATTATGCAGTACTAACAATTAAGTTATTTCTAGATTGATTTAATTAGTTGTTATATTTATAACATTATGATATGATGTACTTTATTTACTTTGCTCATTTTTAGTGTCTTCATCCTTCTCAAGTCTGTCAATTTTTATCACTAACATTATAATCATAAGTATATTTTAGAATAGAAATATATTTTTAAGAGTGACTGAATGTGTAAACAAGCATATTTCTAAATATTACATTTATATTTAGAACAACGAGGAAAAGTAAACGATATCAGAAAAAAATTCAATTGTCTGAATAGGTAAATATGTAAACTGTTTCCACTTCCTTTCAAGGTCCGAGGCGTTTTTATCGGCGGATTTTCCACGGCTCCGACGATACGGTATTCTTGCAATATAGCACGAGACTTGTATTAAGTATGGTTTTCAAGTTCACACAATAATGAACTCATTGTGTACAAAATAAAGATCATATTGATTTGAAACGATGTTTCGTACGAATAATGCGTAACTAGTTGGTAATAACAAAACACATGGAACAATGGTAGATAAGTGATTGGTACATTCATAATTGATACCGCCATTAGTAAGGCTACTGTACCGTAATTCTTAATATACTCGAAGACGAATAAAGGTATAAAAATACGTGTTTCTGGAGGTAAGACTTGAGCTGTTTATTATAATGGAAACAGTTAAGAGGTTTATATTTTTTGATGTCATAAGTTAGTATATTCACTACTCAAGGTCTAAAATCTATTAAGTATGTTGAATAGTGGTCATTGCTTTTTTGTACTGCTATAAAGTAACCAGAAGACCTTTTAATAAGTGATTCTTGAAGGTTGCGTAACAGTTTAACTGGTCATAAATAGTGTTTCAATTACCATATAAAGCCAAAGCTTGTGTGATCATCAAAAATAATTGTTCGAAGTATAGCTGTAATTTGTGTCCGTGATATCATGTTGGTGACAATTCCCGGGATACAGGAAATGTATCCTAGTACTGATGGGGACTCTGTACTAATGGCTCTGATGCGTAAACTTCAATTAAGTAATGCATTTTATCAGAATCCTCTAGCAGACGCAGGGAATCCTGGAGTCATCCTGTAGAAAATATAGACATGTTTGCATCCTGTTTTATTATCATAAATCCATGTCATATATTATCATATATTATATTCATATATTGTGATAGGGCCACGCAGCAGTCTTCGGTGTGTCACCAACGAGAGGGTCCGTTCGGAGAAGTATCACAACCTCACAGAAGACCGACGTTGTGTTATACTTCTTGCGTTTCGACTAATGAGTGAGATATCGGGCCCACTTTATTGAAAGGTGGGCAACACATTAGTAACACTCGTAGTGTTGTAAATGTCAACGGGCGATATCGCTTAACATCAGATGAACCGACAACTTGCCATCTTCTTGCATCAGAAACAGTCCAAGTGAGGAAATTGGGGTCTTACCACCGGTGTCTTGACAGTGGAAGTTGGGATCGAGCCCCTTGGCGCAGGCCTTCGTGATCTTGTCTATCTGCGAGTGCGTCACGTGCTCCAGGAACCGGCGGAGGTTGGCGCGCGAGTGCAGCGTCTTCATCGTCTTCTCGTCCAGCTTCAGCATCTTGTACACGCGCCGTTTGTACTTCAACTGAAACCGATAAGAACGGAGCAACCGCTCGGACACAGAAGGCCGGAGAACAAAGGCCCTTTCACACGGCCGGCTACAAAGTAACGCTGCGACGTGATGACATAAAAGAATTGCCCAATTGGATTATTTCTTAGAGTGTGTTGGGGGTAATACTTGTTTTTAAAATACATCGCTAAGCGATTAATCTCAACTGTAGTATTGATTTTGATTTTTGTGTCTACTTAAATATGTGGTACTTTTTTCATTTTAATTTCGCCGTCAAAAATCGATAGTTTAATTAAACCTGATTATAAAAGAATTCATCCTATTCAAAAAGAAAAATATTTGTCTGAACTATCAACTAAAAATTTCTGTTGAGCCTCAAACAGAAATCACCGTCTTCCTCATGTAGTTAATTCTCTAATTTCCATTCTGTTAATGTAGCAAATAGACTACCTTTAATTTTCGTTAGACGCTAATTTAATATATATAATACCTCAAGATAGCCGACAGGTCCGTTGAAGGGATAATCGCCAAGGCGCCGCTCTTCGTCGAGAAACTTGCCGGCCTTGCCGTTGACAGGAGGGCAGAACAGACCATAGTTGAAGCTCTCCTTTAGCTCCTGTAATGTCCAGAAAACAAAGTTGTACCATCATTAAAAGTTTTTCATATTTTTTTTTTATTCTTACACCACATTCTAAGAGTTCGTTATGAGTCTGGATACAGAGATAATTACTGTAGATCTATTTCTATGTTTCGATAAATTAACGAAGGCTGTCAAAATAAAACAACGTATAATATGTAGTACAAAAAGGATAAGATCGAAAAAAAATTAAGAAAGAAAACGGGTTATGACATTCCCACGTCATCTATTTACACAATATCTAAAGCACTAAATATAAACACAATTAAATTAAGAGAAACATAATAAGCTAAATAGTATTTAGTAAGTCCAATTGATGTCCAAGAGTTGGAAATTAGTGCCACCAACTTATTACAATTTAATCATTACGTGCCTTGTGAAGATTCGCCGTCTCGTACCAACTATTGGCCGGGTAATAGCATAGCAAACGGTGTAGCGAAATAAAATACGTCCAAACATAATACAATTATCGCGACTTAGTAACTACATGCAGAATGCTGTAGATCTAAAAAAGTGGAAATTATAAAACTGAATCATGATTCAAATATCGCTGAAAATACGAAAGTAAGCTTTGTAAACATTTATACTACAAATACAGAAGTAAAGATTTTTGCAGAAGGATTCACTTACAAAGACCAACCTAGTGGAGATAACATGCAAAATAGGAAAATGCTTTGTTATGAAATGCGAAATAAACAAAAGTTTCTTCAACCTTCTTTTTAAGAAAGCCTGAAATTTAAGGCTGTGTGTGTGCAATGATTTTCAAGGATTTTTTATAATATGATCCATCTATAAGGTTGCCGATACAAACCTGCTGAATTGCACTCAGTATCTTTTTATAGCTGTGCAACAATGTTGTTTAAATGGGTAAGCCATTATAATAAGTTATAAGGTGTTTTTTTTTTAATTCGAAAATAGCAAGATAAAGGTGCATTCATTCGTGACAGATATATGAAACGGCGGAGAGTTAAGCGAAGAGTTCAGGACAGATTTACAACGGCCGGTTTGTTATATGGGTGATTTGGAGCGGTTGCTGCATCTCAAGTGAGGTCTCGGATGACGCGGGGATGAAGCGAATGCATTGACGTATTTATAACCAACGTGCCCTTTGATTGTGGGTACTGTTTATGGTATTTTCATGCGAGAAGGTTGAGAGCGGGTAGACAATTCCCCTGGTGTTTTGCGCCGAAGGTCGCACCATGATGAAAGTTTTAGTACTACACTATTGTAAGGGTTGCTAATGGTCAATGGTCAATCGTCAACACTCTATGCGATCTCAGATTCATCGTGTTCCATAGAAAAGGAAAACCAAACGCGCAATTAAGGTTTTCAGTGAACTGTAGACATTTTTGCTTTTAGTTACGACGAATGAAAGCATCGTCTCCGTGTCGAGGAAATTGCTTTCAATAACTAAGGAGTCGTCCGCGTCTGAGACACTTTTTTGCACTTCCTTAATTTACCCTCGCGCGAGAAGCATTCCATCAGGGCGGTTTCCGTTTTGCTCTGATTGTTTTTAGGTTTTAATGGATCTCGAAGAAGTACGTACGACTGCATTAATTAAGGTTCTTTAGGACGAAGACCAACGTGAATTTTCAGGAGTTTTAAGTTCGTTTGACAAATGGAAATATTCTGCTCGATACTTTTTCCGTGTTTATATTCACATTAAAGTCCAATTTTAAGTTTTAACTGTTTGATAATTCGGTTACAAATAAGAAATTAATGTGTATTTCAATTGTTTAATTAGAATTGAAGGAGAATTTATGTATGCTAATGAAATAAAAGCGAATTTATATACCACGTACTATTGTACTTTTCTTGTCGAACAAAAATATAAAAAATAAGTTTAAAAAGCGAAATTTTCTTATCGCTTTAAAGAAAATCTATATTAAATAAATATCATAAATATGTTCGTGAAACATTTCATCGTATGACGACAGTCAAAGCATAATCCATTTTACTTGGGGGAAATTTGATTTTTTTTTATCGAGGATAACACTAAAAAGAAAAATTGTTGCAGCGAAATAGAAATTATGCGACTATTTCATCTTTTATTAAAAGCGTCGAGGGAATATTATATCAGCGGTGATATAACGGCGGATTTCTCGCGAAATCCCCGTGGCTGCTGCAATATCGGGACATATACCCATGTATAAAATATCGATATGTTTATCCAATTAAATGTATAAAATTGTGTTAAAAACTGTTTAATCCTAGACGTTGATATCTCCTTAAAGTTTAGCGAAAGACAACATAGTAAGATAACTTACGGACATATAATCTGTAAAACAGCCATGATAGCTCAGTGACCAGGCCCTCGCCTTTAATTCAATATACTCGAGCAACCTGAGTTCGATCCACGGTGCCGGCACCAATGAAATTGTTAATTTCAATTGCTGAATTATTACGTGCTCAGAGGTGAAGGAAAACGGAAATTTGCATATTTTGGAAATAATAATAAAAAAAATATTTCGAAGATATGTGAAGTCCGCCAATCCGCAGTGGGGCCGCGTGGTGGACTATGCCCTGATACCCTATGTACAGATGAGGCCTTTGCCCAACAGTGCGATTTGTATAGTCTGATAGTTTACTTCACTTTTTCCAGCCTTCGAGGTGAATATAGAGTCGAATAAAATATTTTTTCGTTAATTTTTCGTTACCTAATTTGATTTGTATAACACATGAATATTAATATAAGTTACAAATGATGTTTAGACGTAAAGGCAACTGAACGTGAGTAATTTTATTAATGTATTAATCAATTGTGTATAGGTCGGTAGGTATGTGCCTCGTTTAACGTACTAAACTGCCACAGTCTACTAATGTTTTATTTTATTTGGACAAACTTACAACTATTAGCATTGATAAAAGATTTAAAGCACTTAAGAAGCCTCTTACAAGTTTTCAAATTTAGTAGTATTAATTTATATAGTTATAATTTATACTATTACGGATAATTTCTACTAATTTTAATAAAATACTTTTTGAACAGCTTTTTAAAATAATTGCTGGGCATACGTTGCCATTTATTTGGTAAAGCTTAATAATTAAAGTAAATATATACTGTTCAGTAGGTATTAAGAATGTTTTTTTATATGATTCTAGTAGTGGATCAATTGGTGAAGGGATCTTAGTTAAGTTACCGATGTACTAAGAAAAATACTCTTAGATTCGTTTAATATTTTATTCTTATATGCTAATATTTCTAATTAAACGTGGCAGTTGCCACAAATTGGATATAAACTTTAATGTAAGACTTGGATATAAACCGCATTAATAGAATCAGACCCACGAGCAACGATATTTACGTCGGCCGGCGAGTGTACTTGCCATTGCCAACGGGTCACAAAACCGCCATCGCGTCGGCTCTTCTCGAAGCGTACATCAATTACGACTCGCCCGCCATCAATTGATTGCTTCCCAACAGACTCAAACGCTCTCGTTTCTTTCTGAACTCGGCCCGACCGCATTCTTGAATGGGCCTGTCCAACTTAGCGGTGCTTTGCGTAAACTCCGTCGAGTCCCGTGCTACGAGCTTTGTTTGGGCCTAGTTGTGGTTTACGCAACAGTTGTTACTCGAATGAGTATTCGTGGAGGCATTGCGAGTTCGTTATAAATTAACCGACTTCAAAATGGAGGTGGTTATCAATACGGCTGTTTGTATATATTTTAAGGGTACCTTAGAAGAAATCTAGCCAATGCCAACATAATTCACATGTGCCGACCTCATCCAGGTGTCGAGTCTAGGATAAGAGTAGAAGAATGAAGAAGTGCTATGTTTGAGTATATATACAGTAGGCGACATACTCGTTTAGTAATGTAATGATTTCTTTATATGTCGCGACGGCTTAACGTACTCAAAAGCTTTACTCCTTTCAATGCTGATTAATACAGTTAAAATTCATCTGATAGGTACTTCCATTCTTCGCATTTGCACTAGATGTGTCGCGCTCGAAATGTCGCGTTGAAACATAATCCGTGACGTTAATTGTAATGGGAACGAATCGAACCAGTGACCCAGTAGATACGGGCGGGCGTCAGAGCAGCCGACAGGGCCATTGTATGCTAACGCGGGCCCCGCCGAGAACGGGACTGCCCACATGCGTTTTACACGGTTAAATGTTAATTAGTATCGTACGCAATTTACGACCGCCTGTTATGTTTCTATTACCCACTATATTGATCAGTTCCTATTACTATATTGATTTCTATCTTGGCCCCATATCGCACGTGCACGCGAATTTAGCTTTTTCTGTGTCACAAGTGAATACACTGAAATTTATAAATTGTTTTGTTTGACAATTGGAATGCAACCATCAATTAGGTGAGCTTTAACACTTAAAAATCCCTTCTATTGATGAAAAACATAGGTTATTTTATTCGGGGATGATTTGGCCATTAGTAAAAAAATGTGCGAGTTTTTAAGTGATTACCCATTAATACATTAACACTAGCCTTCCAAAAACCACTTCCACTATATAATACTAGCTTAGATATTAAAATTAAGTAGTTACCCGATTATTAGTTTTATTTATTTTCAGAATATAAAAGTCTAATGTTAAAATAATGTAATTGAGATATAATAGAAGTAAGTCATTTCCATTGAGTCAGCATTTATCTGTTATTTTTTGAGTTGTTATGCGTGGGAGTCTGTTCGCGTGTTCCGTAAGAACATGTTCACGTGCTGGTATGCTACATGTTGTTTATTAAGGTTTAATGGAACGTTGCTAGGTCTGTGAATAGGTGTGTATCTATGTTTTTTGTGGTATGTGGTTATGTAAGATAACTTCAATAGGATTAAAAGAAGAAACAAGAACTCTTATCCATTGCAATGATGCAGTCATTGTATTGGATCAGAATATGATTAGATACAAGCCAACATTAAATACAAGCCCATTAAATACAAGCTCTCTATCTAATCAACCCCAGACGAAGAGACAGATAACTATTCCTGGAACTCTTTAGCGATTTAAAAAGAAATCATATTTAAATCTTCTGTATCATTCGTATAAATGGTCTATGTTTAATAAAACGTTCACAGCGTGAATTGTTTGTTATAGAAATAAGGGGCATTAAAGTTACGGTCATTCAACTCTTATTATATCTCATTAAAATATTAGCGAATAATCAATGCCCGCTTTATTTAAATATTGTGATAACATTTAAGACTGTCAACCGATTCGAAATCACGATTACAAGAATAGATATCACAGCTTCGAAACCATATCCAAAGAGAATGCTAATGCCTCCACACTTTTAGTATTCATGGAACAATCGCAGTTTCCTGAAGACGTGTAGGTGAGTATGTATGATTTTTAGATAATCTTATTAGAGAGATCTTAAAAAGGCGTCGTGCAAATAGACATTACATTTCTCTCGCTTGATCTAAGCGATTCGTCATTGTTGACGGGGCCGTGATACGTTAGCAGCCGAATTCCAGAGCGGCGGTGTTACATGCAAGAGAAAGCCACGCGGCTCATATCTAAAAATGCGTTTGTCACGCTATGTGCAATGTTAGGCGACAGGGTCCCACTATTGAGTGAAACTCATCATTAAAAATGATTAGATTTGTGTTCTATTTTCGTGGTTAGAATTTACAGTTGCAATGTTACACTAGATTGTCGCTGAGCTGTATTCATATTGTCGGTCTTATGAATATCGACTAGTAAAAGCTCTGATGGGCATTAGTTGTTATATCAAATTACTGGTCTTTGTTGTAAAAATACTAATATTTTCATATTACTTGTGTTTTGCCCCCAGTAAATGGTTATTATGTTTAAAAATCATGGCATCACGAGGCTGTGCGCCTCGTTCCAATAAGTTTACCAAAACTAAGTACTTGTCATGTATTTCATGATCAGTTATATCAGATAATATATACCGTAGTGTTGACTGTATCGATGATATTTTTATAGAAGTCAAGTCAACAGTTTAATAAAAGTCGGAAAGAAATTGTATTCAAATGAGGTAATCTTGTATAAAATAATTATAGTTTCTTTACAAATTTACACTGTACATAGTCATATAGGTTCTTAGATAGGTTAAAATATGATATTTATACACTAACTACCGAATCATAGGTATAAGGGCATGTCAGGTGGACTGGTATGATTTGCAATTGTTTTAAGCCATATCTTGCAGACGAAGGAATTAGCAATAAAGAATTGTGGATATTTCCACGAACAGATTCTGCGCAGTTTCGAAGTATGAGTAAAGTCAATCTTGTTTACAGAGCAATAAACAGTAACTGGATTCCCAGACAATGTCAGCTTCGTTAATAAGATCGTTTCTTCTTCTTAGAGCTTTTATGCCCTGACGTTTGTTTCGTTCGCTTCATTCACCATCGCTTTCTTTTTCCAACTGAGTTTGTCAAATATCGCATAATCTATATTTATAAGACCGAACACAATTTTGAAGGTTTTCGGTTACCAAAATAGAAATTTTCTTGATCGTGGGTTAAAGTGAAGGACAGACGCAAAAGTTCTTAACAGAAGGAGTAATAAATAATGTTAGATACAATCCGCTCGGACATTGATAAACGGGTCCGTCAGATAGAACTATCGCCTCAATAGACTTTATTCAATTTGACCGTTACCTTCACAATGAGCGATTCTTTTACAAATTACGGAGTTTAATTTTATTCCTTTCTCTGTTTTATTTTACTTTTATTTATAGTTAAGAGCTAATAAAAGGGAAGAAACCTAAAAATTTAATGAACTTCTGAAGTTACTTATTCGTTCATCGTACTACTTTGTATTCACTGTTTAAGCTTAATTAATAATCACATAATACCTAACAAGAACTGGTCACAAGTATGTATAAAGGAATTGTGGTCATAAGTTTGTATGCAGATATTATGTATTTTAGAATCCCAGCAGATATACATGGAAAAGATTGATTTGATAATTATTAATCACAAATGGAGACTTATAAAAACAATCTTACCTTTCAAAAATCTATCACAGACGATTACGGCAAGAGTTATCTTGATGTGTTGAAAGTTCGAAGTAATGGTAACGAAAGCTCCAATTAGTGATTAGCGGGTTGATGAGGGTTATGAGATATTACCCCTTCTGGATTAACGAAAGGTTTGTAGTTTTTAATTAGAGAAATATATAGAGACGGATCACACGCGATGTCAGTACCACTGCGTACATTTGCAGTGCCGACTTGCTACTGGCATGGATCTATCGTCGTGATCACATAATATCTAACAAAGGCATTAAGCCAAAGAATTCTAGTAAAGTCAGAATAGATAGCGAATAAAAAACGGATAGAAAACCACAATGCCCGAGTGTATTGAGCAACATTCCTCGGGTTCAGACAGAGATATCGAATAGTATCCGTGATTTGCGAACTGGCATAAGAAGAGATAGTCATCGGAAAATCACCATACCATTCTAGAGTGGAATGCGTCCCGCACTTTGCACGTTGCGAATAATAACGGTATATCCGACTGTTTAGATTACCAGGAATATTAACCGGGAAATCATATTAACACGTTATAAATTTAACACGCGGACGCGTTTATGGCCTCTTTGACTATTTAGATAACGAGTAATAGATCTAGATATTCGCGTTAATTTAGTATACCGCATTCAACTGTTCAGAGCGCCGACCGTCTGTGAAATTATAATAACGCCTCAGACTTACATTTATGCGTTTCGATATCAAATGGCTATGCTAGTTTGTAGATTGATGGGTAATATGATGAGAAAATGAATGCAAAAGGAAAACGATACAAATCATCAGATATAAAAATAAAGACGTAAAATCAATATACTATGAATAGAAACAAAAATATATTATTAGTTTAAAATAAGAGTATTTTTTATTAATATTTTCTTTGAAGGTTATATTTGAATTAAAATATTTAACAATAAAGAAACATTTTTTCAGTAAGTGTAAATATTAAAATAGTAATGAAATCTAAGTTATGATATTTAGTTGTCAACAAGTTTAGTGTGCGGCTAATAGATTAATTAATTGTAAAATGTGCCACGTTAATACAATTCTGGTACGAAACTCAAATCCGGGCTAACATTTGTTTGCTTAATACTATTACCAGTTTCTATTCATGAATATTTAAATCGCCTCCATGTTTGCATCCTTGAAACTAGGAATTTTCTAGAATGGAAGCTGAATTGCTTCACTTGGGTTGTTAATAACACGCTATTTTAAATCATAACAATCTGATGTATCTATATACTACATAAAATAGATACGTATAATGTATCTGTTTTAATTATAATTTTAAATAGTGACTACACGAAAGTAAATCAGAAGTGATTTTCAATTGTACAAAGCTGTTTAAAGTAAACCATCAATATGTATTTAGAAATTAAGAAGCTACACTTTTTTTTTAATGTGAAAAGTTGCCAAGCGAGCAGACCGTTCACCTGATGTTAAGTGAATACCGCCGCCCATGGACATCTGCTACACTCGAGTGTTGCAGATGCGTTGATAACCT